CCAAAGTATATTAGTGCCGTGTCTGGATTTGAACCCTCGACCTTCGCATCTCCAGTCAAGCGCCTTAAACCACTCGACCACGACACTCCCAATTAATGTGTGCAATTCGCATTCTGACTATTGATATACAATTATTCATAACAGGTGGATGAAATATTTTGTGATAAGGCACTTCAAAAAGGTGGTGCATTTTCATTGCCATTTTCAATGGAAATTCCCTGTGAGTGTTTACATGTATATTTGTTAGTTTCCATAGTAACCACTGTTTGTATTAAATAATAATTAACAGCACTGATGCATTCCCATCTTCAAATGGAACAAATAAAAAAGGAAAGCCAAGGTAAGGAACAAAGAATCTACATTCTATCAGGAATCAACCCATCAGAATCAAGCATCAGGATCAAGCTATGATAGTTTAAAGATAAAGTTGAGTGTTGTTCATACAATTGCATTGTGAAAGCAACGGTGTGGAATCAATCAGAATAGGTTGATTATCTATATAGCATATATTGGTGTGTACTGCAAGGTTCTGGAGTCATCAAAATGATAAGAAACTTGGCCCAGTCTTGGTAAAGTTACAAGCACTGTACACATAAAGATGTATATGGGACTACACAAACATGTGGCTTAAAAATCCTACCCTAGATTTTTACGATGTTTCATGCCATATTTAGAATATGAAGGTATTTGAAGAGCCATGCTTTTCAGGGAACATGTCTTATCTGATGTTCTTCCACACTTGCATAATAAGAATGATAATGCTCGTAAATTATTTTTCACTTCTTCCCAGAACTCGACCTTCTCTTTAAAAAAGATTGGTGCATTTCTATTGCGATTTCGAATGGCAATGGAAATTCCCTATGATAAATGTAAGATTCCCTGTGAATGTTTACATGTATATTTGTTAGTTCCCATAGTAACCACTGTTTGTATTAAATAATAATTAACAACACTGATGCATTCCCATCTTCAAATGATGTGCCTACAAATAAAAAAGGAAAACCGAGATAAGGAACAAAGAATCTACATTCTATCAGGAATCAACCCATCAGAATCAAGCTATGAGAATTTAAATGTAAAATTCCCTATGAGTGTGTATACATGTATACTTGTAAGTTACCATAGTAATCATTGTTACAGCCACATTAGTCCACCAAATTAGTTTTAATTAAAAATGATACAACTTGCATCAAAGTTTTTTTTGGGAGATGCAAGTTGTACACACAATGGTTGCTATGGTAACTAACAAATATAACTGATATATGATTTCTACGACGTAATGCATTTATAATTAATTTGTTAAACAACAAAATGTTGAACTTCGACCTCGAGAGATCACAGAACCTTGGGAGCTAATTTTCATCACTTTTATAGAGCGTGATTGAGATATTTCCATTTGGGAAATAAAAAGTTCATCGCAGCCTGGTTCATTGTCATCTGCAGCAGATGTAAACTTTTAAACTTTGGCAGTATACCAAGTCCGGTAAATTTCCCAACAATTGCGTCTCTCACTTTATCATGCACTTGAACAAGTATAAACTACCGGCAAACAAAGAGAAGAGAATCTCATTCCAAACTTGAGACCTGGTCTGCACAGGAGCACCTTTTTTCCCCCATAAGTTCGTCCGTATTTTGGGCGAGGAAGTTTGAGGTGAACCATCGTTCCAAGATAGCCGATCGTAAGTTTGATATCAAATGATAACTATGCTTCTGTGATGAACTACATGTATTTACCAATGTTTTATAGGATAAGAATAAGCATAGGATAAGAGGAAGAAAAGTCATTTGATGAATCTTACCATTTAAGATTTTATTAGATTTTAAAATACCTTTTACTATACATGTACGGTTGTCTGATTTGGCAGCCTCTCAGTGTATTTTGCTGTTGTTCTTGAAATAGATTTTATTTTAAATCTACTGTAGTAATTACAGTTTTTTGTGGCAATTTCTCTCTCTCTCTCTATATGTATATATCTCTATAATTTTGTCATATATGTAGGTCTCTTTGAGGTTTCTTGATAACTGCTCTTGCGTATTTTCTTTTCTTTAATGGGTCCTGAGATGTACACCTCATTATCAAAACTAAAATTATCTGTCTCTTCACGCTTAATTAATTGCCAAAACACCAGACTTGCCTACCTTACAGTACAAGTAGACCTACTATGTATTACTGTGCAGTTAAGGAGCTTTGCAGTCGGCGAGTACATGCACATTTGAGTTTCATTTTCTCTTCTTCTATGGCTTCTATCGTTTGTTTTCGTTCCGGTGATGTAAAAAGTTTTTGTCTGGTATTTTTTGTCTGTATGTTGAGTGTCTAGAGTCCAGAAAGCTGTTAATTATACTATAGGATGAAAACAATGTTTGTGTCGGTGTAACATTGGGATTGACATTGTATTCACCAAAACCATCCGTTACGTGACAAGTGTGTAACTTGGGGCTTCTGGATGAAAGAACAGTGAATGTTGTTCTTGTATTCAATTGATAATAATTGATTATACTAATAATGATAATGATAATAATAATGATGATGATGATGATGATGATGATGATGAGGATGACGATAAAAATTATTAGTATTATCATAAGACTAATAAAAATAAGAATGATAAAAATGATTTAATGATAATGATAATACTACTACTAGTACTACTACTAATACTAATGATAATAATAATAATTCTAGTTTTGTATAGCACTCCTCTGCAGGAGGTGTTTCGACATGTCCCATAACCTCTGCATATGGCTTAGTTTTTTATGAGGGATCGTAATTAGAAGGATGTGTGAATCTTAGAAGTTGAATGTACAGAACATGTACTTGCCGATGTACCAAACCTACATTACCCTTTTCTCGTACATGTACTATGTACATATAACAGTTACTTACCCAAGCACTAATTGTACATGTCTTATGCATATATGTAGCCGCAGTGCCGCATAGGCCGCACCCCGATTTTGACATTTAAAAAAAAAATTGTCGGAGGTAGGATATGAACCCACGCGTACAAATGTAGACTGCCACCGCCTTAGACCGCTCGGCCATCCCGACCCTGATGATTTCTCTTGCAGCATTTTCTCATGTATTGCACCCATATAGCTCTATGATTGCGCCATAGCTTTGCTTTCACGAGCCGAGAGGATTGAGGTTGCTTTAGCTATGGCAAAAACTTAAATCTAGATCTACCAGTAGAGTTTGGTTGGCACAAAATGTAAGTTATGAATTTTTTTTACGAGATTGACAAAACTTTCCCCTTCATTTAAAAAATATAACACATAATTGTCGGTAAGACATGTGTTATTCTAGACAGTTATTCTAGAAATGTCCTTCACCTTTCATTATTGTCCCATATGTACAAATTCGTGCTGTCTTTCATGGTTTGACTTGAGATTTTTAAAATTTTTGTACTCTTTCGCCGCAAAGGCCGCACCCCAACTTTTTGATATTTTCTCTTCCAAAAATACTGCGGCCTTTACGCCGGCAAATACGGTAACTAAATTTACTTTCCTAATTACTGGTACAGTGAAACTTGTATTTAAAGACCACCCTAAGGAGCCAAGAAAAGTGGTCTTTAAAGGCAGGTGGTCTTTATGTGCAGGTTCCTTTAGAACATGTTTCAATGAGAAACCATTTTCAAGGTAAACAATTTTTTTTTTTGTAGACAGGTGGTCTTTCTATACAGGTGGTCGCTAAAGCAGGTTTGACTGTACAACATGCAAACGTCTTGCCTTAATGTTGATCATATTGTTATGTGGTATGAAAAGTGTGATATTGTGTATTCCTGTCACATCGGATTCTATTTTCTTTTTTACGATCGCAAATATTCAGGGCCGACCAGCACCGTGATAACCATGTTTTTGTTTGTCCAAATTACCATCCACCATGGTAACCATGGTATTAAACAATGAAATTGTCAGAAATTATCATTGTTTGATACCATGATTACCATGGTTACCATGGTGAATGGTAATTTGGACCAAAAAAACATGGGTTACCATGGTTCTTTTTTTATAAGGGGGAGCATACTAGTGAGAGGTTATCAAAACATTTGAGATATTGTTTCAATGTCATGAGCACTTGACAGAAATTATTAACAGCAAAAACAGGAAATGTTTTTGTCAAAACCTATCAAATACGGTACTGAGAATTTCATGTGCTGCTCAGTACTATTTCACAATTGACCTTTTTTTAAATGCTCTATACATTGACCCATATTAGTTCAGACTTTTGTTAAATAAAAGGTTTGAGTGGATCAGCTCTGTCTCTTGGCAATTATTATTTTTATCTGTCGCTGTTACTATGATATACAGTTTAACTCTTTCACGACAATCATTCCACATTTTGTCGTTCGACTCAAGAACTCGTGATTCAGAGCCCTAAATAGATCAGGCAAAATTTCTCCACACACCCCATCCATTTTTAATTTATGACTATAATGTTTTTGATGCTAGGAATTACAACAAAAAATAAAAAATAAAAAAATAAAAAATAAATAAAATCATTAAATTGGCAACACATTTAGAGATTTAAAATCATTGCTATTGGGTCAAATTGGCCATATTTTTTGACTTTTCAACTACAGGTTTGTCGTCCATGGATATTGTTTTTCAGAGATATTTCATTTATTTTAATATTGAAGTAAAGAACAAAATATGATTATTATTGCCAATTTGAAGAACAATATGTGATCAATTTAGCCCTCAAATAAATCTTGAAAGGGTTTTAATTGAACCACTGTAAATGAAAATGTCAAAATGCAACCAACAAAATAAACAACTCAATTTGTACACAAAAATAGTGATCATAAATTCCACTCCACATTGGTATATTGCATGATCATAAATACATGTCAGTGGAATGTGGAAATCATAGTTTGCAACTGGAGTTTTAAGTTTGCGTCAAGTTTAAAGTCAGAGGATATTTTATACCTAATCCAACCTGTATATAAACAAAAAGAAAGCAATCACCTGATTTCTTTCCTGTTCTCTTTTATATTTTATTACAGGATGCTTGTGATCTGTTTGGTTCATACACAAGATTTGGAAGTGGGCCTATATATACATGTAGCTTCCAGAGCTCAGTAGCACCGAACTGTAGCAACAACATTGACCACAGAATACACAGTTTCCTCTATAGATAAACAGGTATGTATGTACTTGTAGTGTAAATGATCTATTTATAGTATACACACTTAATGTGATATGGTAATAGGATCTATACATTCATGTGTGTGTGTGTGTATGTGGAGAACTGCCAATGTTGTGTTCATGATACATGTACATTGTACAATGTAGTAGACTTACAGAACACTAAAACAGAGCATGCCAAGTATTTTTGAAAGGAAAAAAAATCCTTTAAATTGTAAATTGGCAAGCTGTTTGAAATCATCTAGTCTCTGGTTTTCCATGAAAATTGTCTTTCCTACATGTAGCTTGTATAATTTTATTTTGATTCATGTACATCTTTACATGACCGTTTGATTCTGAAGAAAATTGGCAATACTAACAAAAATTTGATGCCAATTTGATGAACGAAAGCTGATCAATTTCACCGTTAAAAAGATCATGTCCTAGTCTCCTAGAAGTGACTTACATGGACAGTACATTTGTAGGCGTATATATGTAGGGTAATGAATTAAAGCCCCACTGTCCTACTTGTAGCTACTTGCTCCCTCTATATAGAAAACTTCCCCAATCGGTGCCTGTTGCATGGTCCCCCATGATCCTCTTTTTCTTATGTTAGTTGAGAGTTGAGTTAATGAGATAGCCACCTGTCAGTGACCTCGCTGTGTGGTCTAATCCCTTCTGGCCCAGTAGTATTGACAGTCTTTAAAGGTAATGCAAAGTTTTGGGAAATTTTGAAAATTGGATGGATAGTAATTCTTTAAAATGTTGATATATTTGGATACCCATCTGGGTGTATCATAAGCACTAACAAATTTAGCCCCTAAAACACTTTTGTTTTCGAGAAATTGAACAATCCAAAATTTACCGGTGCTCCCGGTAAATTTCAAATTTCAAAGGCCATTCCATGGTAGCTGTGACCATGAAAATCTCACAATATGCAGTTCTGATATATAATTTCCAAACGGAAATAGCAAATCGGTCGATTGTAGTAGGGAAACATTGTTTTGAACCGAGCTAAAGTAATATCAGTCCTGAGAGGGCACTATACAACACAACAAGTTTATTATTCACAATTTCATCACTTTAGACTCGATTTCATTCGCGACAATGATCATTGAATCTTGTAAAATCCCATATGTTCATTTGAACCAAATTCATGACCCCAGGCCAAAACTTTTGTAATACCTTTAAAGCATAGCAATACCATCAGTTTTTGTAAGGAGTAAGGGCTCAAAGTTGAAATGACATGTTCATGTATGCATGGACCTACTGTGCTACATGTCTGTTGTGTATGTGTGTTATGTAGGGTAGATAATGATGTAATCTGTACTTTAAATGCCTACAGCAATTAAATTAAGTGCTAGGGGATTCCCCTCGTTTGAAAGGGGGATTCCCCCTTACACTATGTAGTACAAAATAACATGTGGAGCACTGTATACATGTATATATACTACCTGTGTCAGATTAGTCCTTGTTGGGTGTCAGATTTAGTGCTTGTTGGGTTTAAAGGGATCCGGTAACTTTGTCTCAGATTCTGAAACAAAATTCTGGATCTAGCTCATGATGCAATGATAATTATAAACCTTTAGGTCAGTCAGGAACCCCATGACTTTTACAAGCCGATCGCCTGTCTGATTATCAAGATATTTATGATTGGAATTACAAATTTTGAAAAACGTTCGCCTGACGGTTTTCATAACACTACAGTCTTTGGGGAAAACGAGTATGGTAAAACCGGTCACTCAAAGATTTTTACTTTTTTGAGGCACTTCTTGATCATTTTGAAGTGCAATTTTTTTAGGGCTTCAATATTACACCATATCACAGACACTGATAACACGTAGGGCCGTGTATCTCAGATTTAACATTGTTAAACGATCCCTTTAATCAAATTGAATGCATATTTCTTGTGTCAACACACAAATGACAATATTTAGTCTTGTTATAAAGAAACTAAGTGACAATATAATCTTTAGATCTTGCAGTATTACAGAATTCATTTTTTCTTATGACCCCCCCCCCCCCCACACACACACTAACACAAAGAAGTAATTTTTTAGCACCAAATTGTGAGGAACAAAAATTGAAAAAGAAATATTGCAGTGTTGCCATTCAAGGTACATTTTGTAGAAAGGCTGATCGATTCATCCTTTAAAAAATGTATGCAATAACATGCAGTATTTGTTTTCGGAGCTGCGGTTGATTATGAGTAGATTTGTTCTACTACTACTACTACTACTACATCTACAATGTACGCGTAGTCTGTGTGTACATGTGGTTCAGAAAGTGTGTGCTGTTTCTACAGTACATACATGTTATGGTTTTGATGGGGGCAGATGTATTGTGGTTTGTGTAATGTGTATGCTGCTCTAGTACATGTACATGTAGGTTACACTGGGGAAGGCCCACGTCATCCATTTTAGTTGAAGGGTATTCCCCCAACTTGTATGTAACCTATATTTATAGATTATTCAGATCTGACTTGATGTAGGCTTAGTTCTTATTTTTCCATTATTTCTTTTCCAAAACTTAATTATTTATATTCAATTTCATATTTGTAAGGCAGTATTGATGAAACTTCTTTCATACATGATGCGGATGAAATTAAAATATACACAGCTACGTAATGAAATAAAACACAATTATTTTGCAAGTGGATGGCAAGTATGGTTGTAAACAAAGAAGAGACAAAGTGCGCACAACAGCAGTCCCTATAAGCTCTTCTATGTATATGATGCAGTAAACATCGCAGTAAACATCTGTGAGTAAAGTCTGTGTAGAACTTTTGTCGCATACAGGCCAGTTGGCTCAGTCGATAAAGCATATGCCTGTTAAACCAAAGTTCATGGGTTCGAATCCAACCCAGATGGATGTCTGAAGCCTGACTTGTGTGTTAAGTGCCCGTCCGCTGTTTCATAGACGCAGGCTATGATACTGGAAAAAGAAACTCTGTCCCTCAGATAGGATGTTAAATGGAAGCCCCTTGTAGAGGAGAGTCACCACCTTTGCACTTTAAGAACCCACTGTGATGCTAGTCATATAAGAGTAGGGGGATCCCCTGGTCGAGTGGTCCACCTGCACACCCCCTATCAGTTATACCGGGAGTTATACAAGGGTTACAGTGAAGAATGACATTATGTGTAAACTTGTATTTATTTGACCATTTCCATTTCTTGAGTATGCATCTTTCTTTTCATTTTCTTTCAGCATTTCATCTGGCTCATCATTATTCTAAGCCAAAATGCCGTCACCGAGTGGCGACCAGTGGCAATTTAAGAAGCTGCTGGGATCAGGATCCTTCGGGGAAGTCTTACTCTACCAACTTGGCGTGGGCGTGAGTTTACTGATACAAAATCCCATGTTGTTTCCATTAATCTTAAAGCCCCACTGCACTACTTATAGCTACTTGCGCCCTCTATTTAGCAAACAATGCCTCATCGGTGACCATTGTCCCCTTTTTCTTATGTTAATTGAGAGCTGATTTGATCAGATAACCATCTGTCCAGTGACCTTGCAGGGGGGTCTAATCCCTCTTGGCCACACTAGTGCAGAGGGGCTTTAAGATTAATTGATTATTTGGTGCCACTCTACACTCTAGCTATAAATGTAGATTAGCGAAAGGATAACAAGCCATGAAAATCTTCTTTTATATTGAATCTCTGTAGACCCTTTGGTATCTCGCCAAGTGTTTTGAACATCACATCCGGTGCAAGGTGAACATCGTCTCATAAAAAAAGAAAAATACTTGCCTGGCACCAAAGACAAACTATGAAAAAAATTAGAAGAAAACCAAATGATTGGTGCGGGTAACAAAAAAATGATGTTGGACTACTTATACAGAGCCCGTATACATTTCTTTTCACTCCTTGCTGGGTTAGTGCACCAAGCATGTTTACAGTAGGTGCATTAATGGTGTGGATTGGACTGTTCTGATGTACCTCTGGCACACTCACACCGATGGGAACGACAACAGACCAAACAAAATTACTTGACCTGTGATAGCGTAAAGTCGGTCGGTTTGAAGCAGAGTCTGTTGATTGGAGTCGGTGCATGTGGAGTCGGTTTGGCGTCGGCGAGGAGTCAGTTAGGCCTTGTTGTGGTGTCTGGTTGGCGTCGTTGTGGAGTTGGTTTGGTGTCGATGATTAGGCAGTTTGGTGTTGATGTAGAGTCAGTTTGGCAGTGTGACTAAGGAATCGCATTTTGATAATGAGAACCAAAATAACTATGACTGTGTATAGATGTAGTTCATCTATCGAAGGCCATCCACGAGGTATCAGAGGGTGACCTGACCTTATGTTTCCTTCCTCCCAATCAGCCCAGTGTATTCTGCAGTGTAAGGCACTGTCCCTGTAAATACCATGACAACAAAGTATCGTAATATGGTTTAACCTGTATATAAAGACTGTTAAAATAAATGTAGTATTTACAGGTAGGTGGTCTTTGTAACCAGATTACTTTTTCCAAGGAAAACCACCAAAAATCCCCCTTTTTTGGACAGGTACTTTAGTAGATTTTGTTTTGGAGTATACAAGGTCGGGTATCAGAAATTTGCTTAGTCATGTAGGGGGGGGGGGGGATTATACTATTTTCTTCCTTCTGTTGAAGTCATTAATTTCTGATTCTTTTGTTCGGAAAAGGGCTCATTCCTTTCTTTCTGTGAGAATTTGTTGCAATGTCATGCAGGAATATTTGTTTGTGGTGTGGGGGGGGGGGGGGGTGGGAGAGGTTTAAAATAAATTGGAGCCTTTACAGGGTTACTTGTGTATCAATGTAAACGGGAAATGTGTTTCAAGGAAAAAAAAAAGCCCCTTTATAGACAGCTCCTTTTTATTGTACAAAGCAGATTTATTTGGAGTATACGTTTCAAGGTCGGGTATCAGAAATTTGCCGAGTCATGTAAGGGGGGGGGGGGGGGGATTACACCATGTTATTCCTTCTGTTGAAGTCATTAATTTCTGATTCTTTTGTTTGGAAAAAGGTTCATTCCTTCCTGTGAGAATTTGTGCAATGTCATGCAAATGTGGTGTGTGTGGTGGTGGTGTGTGTGTGTGTGTGGGGGGGGGGGGGGGTGGGAGGGTTTTTAAATAAACTGGCACCTTTACTTGTATGTATCATACAATGCATTCTATTTTTGTATGTATTTTGAAATCCGCCGTGCTGCTGGCAGGAGGTCGTTGATACGTACGCATGCCAAAAAGTATTATATCAATAACATAATTTACATACCCTGTAGCAATGATAAAACAATTATTAAATAATGCATACAAGAATACATACTAAGCTAGAATTGATAAGATATAGAATTATGCAAAACTTTAATATCTAAACTATTCTAAAAGTATATGTACAGCTGTGATATTGTATCCTTATAATACTGATAATGACCAATATAACCAATATTGGAAAATTTCAGCCATGAGATATACTTGCAGTTGACTTTGAGATCTCATGACTGGAGAATTCCATTTCATTCAGAAAACTTGGTGTCATTGAAATCCTATCTAATCTACAGGAAGTGATCCGATCAAGTTTTCCTTTGACTATGGGAATAGTAAATTCAGCAGTCATTCATATTGAAGTTAATTATTTATTTGTCTGCGATGCTCAATTGAGCAGGATATCCCTCTGACCACTCACACGATGCCGTGAATTATGATTATTTCCTTGTAAGGCATTCCACGATAAGGAGGGGGGGGGGGGGGTTGCTTCACAAAGATCCTAAGTTGAACTTATCTCTAAGTCGGACTTCACAATAATGGAAAGTGGTTGGCATCTTTGAAAATATTTTGTAAAAGTTATAATAAGGCATAAATTGTTGATTCAAAGCATTCATATTTTCTATTTATCAAGGAGATTTCATGTTCTTGATGTGGAATTTATGAAAAGTTTAAAATACTTGAATTTTTGCTTTTGAATATATTTTATTTTAAGGCTACAAATGGTTCTCCATAACGTTCAAGTCCAACCTAGAGTTGAGTTTGACTCGGGATCTTTGTGAAACACCCCCCAGAATTGTAGTCACTGAAACTGAGACTTCCGATTTAATGTGATAGGTATATTTATGGTCATGTGCGTACTTCAGAGAGTGTTGACCTTCCGGTTATTTCAGTTTCTGTTTTGTTTCCATCACTTACGCGTACCATTTGCAGATAAAGGGTCGTTCTGGGAGCAAAATGAGGAGATTGGAATGAAATTTTTCAGTTTGGTTTTATATCTGTCTATGTTGAATGATTACATTTAATAGAAACATGAATTTGATTTAAAAAAGAACTTTGATTTTCTGCAACAAGGCATGCTTTTCTAAAAGTACCTGTCGGATTCTTCTTCAATAATGTCTACATTTGGCAGTTTATAGTATGATTTCATGTACTGTAACAAGGCATGCTTTTTAAGTAATTCTGGATTTCTAATAAATACTGATGTAATTTGACTACAGTTGTATTTATACTTTAATACTTCTTAAGCTAGTTTTAATATGTTGCTTCGTATGACATCATGACAAGTAGTCTATCAGTGTCTTTTAAGAGATAAAATGAAAGAAAATCCTAACCCTGCACCTAGCCCTGCACCTAACCCAAACCCAGTTGCTACCCTAAATCAATTCCTACACATGTACTTTTGATGGAGTAAACCCCAATGCTTAATGTTGGGTCACCACTCAAAGCGGGCCTGCACTTCTTGTAGCTACTTGCGCCCTCTATGTGAGGCAGGGAGGTCTAATTCCTCCTGGCCAAACTATTGCAGACAGGCTTTAAGGAACAGGTATCTAACAAACGTCTGTATAGACCATTTGTCTCTTGTTCTCCTTGAGCAGTTCTCGTGTACAGGTTTGGTTTGATGTATTGTTGTTTTCCTTCCATACAGGAAACCTCTGAGTACATAGCCCTCAAAAGGTGCAAGAGCATTTTACAGCTCGACAACCTAAAGAGATGGCGAGACGAGGTAGAGTTCATGCGCAACCTGGAACACCCCAACATCGTCCAGGGGCGTCCTGTACCCCCGGAGCTCGAAGCCAAACCCAACGAGCCCCCGTGCTTGGCGATGGAATTCTGCTCAAGAGGGGACCTCCGAAAGGTTAGTAGAATCAACAAGTTTAGATTAATTATTTTTTTAAATGAGAGAAAAAGTGATGATTTAAGCCCTGTACATGTTGAAGGGTGACTAAATCACAAATTCATGTTGACTTTTATTGATCTGTAATAATGCAAACATCATATATCTTTTGACTTTTTGATGTACATTTATGTCAGTTATTAATACCATCTTCTATATAAGTAATACGCTAAGGCTCCGCGGGGGGCGCGACGTCTCGGCGAGTCTTTGTATTCTATTGTTTTTTAATGAGATCGCCGACCCAAGTTGGTGCGGCTATCTCCTCCTGAACCCTGCCCTCGGGGCACCCGTGCCCGGTGCCATCGTCCGCGGGAGAGTCTACTCTGTGGAATTGGCTATACTCCGCCCGAGGTCCTCCTCCGTGTCGACGTCCAGGGCGAAAACAGACGCGACATGCATAATGCAGGATATGCGTGACGACAGAGATACCTCATGGATATTCAACATGACATCCGTAGACACACGACCGATGACTATCCGTATAAAATTGTATACACAAAAATCGGTCGTAAAAAAACTCGAACCATATTCCATACCTTACCTGGCTTACCATGTCGCACGCAAGTACGCCAAAACACGTACATTTTCGCAGTTGCGAGATCGAGACGGAGCGTAGGGCTCGAGTTTTTGGCGGTCGATTTTGTTTTGGTAGAAGCTGAATCTAGACCATGAACCACTAAACATCGCGAAACTGCAATCAATTTCCATCACGAATTCACGATTGCTGCAATATTATAAAGTTTCCATAAATAGAGGTATGAAATTAAAGCCTATTTTGTGATGTTCTTGCCATGTTTACGTAATTTTGATAATCTATTCTTCAAAGTAAAGAAAATCAGACAAAATCACCGTAACTGACACGTATACAATACAGTGCATTGCCACTGTGTAGTGTGTGTGAGATGAGCTGAGTTGCAAGCTGAGCTCGAATCAAAGAGATTTGACACTTTGAAATTGTTATCTGTTGGTTTGCATCATTATTGCTGCGATTTCAATATAGTTTCGTGAATAGATTTGCGAAACCTGAGCTTAGAATTAGTAAAAGTATTACTAATGTCTACGTTTTTAAACGACTGTCTGATTTCCTTTTGAAAATTTTACTTTGAAAAATGATTTTCGAAATTCATGGTCAGAAATAATCACAATCTAGGGTCTATTATGTTACAGTTCTTGCATCAAATCAATGCATGAAAACTTAGTTATTGAACTAGAAAAATGTTTTTTTTCTAAATAGGCAATTATGAAGTAGACTCTAGGAATCCTGAAACCTTAGCCTACTAAACAGATCTCAACAAAGTGTAGGCCTATCCTTTTATCAATTAATGAAAAAGTAGCCCCAGCAAAAAGAAACGACTGTCTGATTTTCTTGTGAAAATTTTACTTTGAAAAATGATTATCGCAATTCATGGTCAGAAATAATCACAATCTAGGGTCTATTATGTTACAGTTCTTGCATCAAATCAATGCATGAAAACTTGGTTATTGAACTAGAATTTTTTTTTTTTTTTTTTTTTAAATAGGCAATTATGAAGTAGGAAGCCTGAAACCTTAGCCTACTAAACAAATCTCAACAAACTGTAGGCCTATCCTTTTATCAATTAATGAAAAAGTAGCCCCAGAAAAAAGAGCCCCCGAGAGTTGAAAAAGTAGCCCCCAAAAATTTCCCGAAAATTTCAAATGGAGCCCCCGAAATGAAAAACTTAATTTTTTGCCTGCCTCCCCCTCTAGAATCCCGCAGATTTCCGCGGGTCCTGAGTTGAGTGTATATATAGTATAGGCGTGGGGTCCACGGGTTTCAAGGGGCCATAAACCCCCAAAAGCTCGGGGGTTACGTTCTTCAAAGTTGGGGGGGGGGGGGGAGATTAGATCGCAGTGAGTTGAGTGTATATGTAATATAGGCGTGGGGTCCACGGGTTTCAAGGGGCCATAAACCCCCGAAAGCTCGGGGTTTTAGGCGTTTAATTAGGGTCAGATGAGCATATTTTTAATACTTTATTTGTGACACTTGCGGGTCACTAATTGGCATGGGGGTAAATACGTAGAGTTGCGTAGTGTTGCGTACCAACTACGCTGGCCTACGTTACTATATGCTGAGGGACGGAAAGGGGTACGCAACATGAACGAAAACAATTCAACATGTTTAATTTTTTTCGCGTACTTTCGGCGTAGAAACTTGACGCAGAAAGTACGCCTTTTTATGCAACGCTACCACGTACGCTACATGACTATGCAACAGTACGCAACCCTACGCCAGATTGACAAAGCAGTAAAAGCTTTCCACACAGTAAGCAACCATAAGCAAACCTGTACACCAGCCTACGCATAACCTACGCAGGGACTATTTTCCCATTAATACGCAGCCTAATTTGTGCGTAGTCAGTACGCCACACTACGGAACTCTACGCAGTTCCAGTGGCTTAAAGAATAACTACCGGTACAGTTGGATCGTTTTTTATTTTTTTATATAAGGCCAAATTAAAAAAAAAAACAGGTTTAGCGTCCTGTTTTTTTGAAAAATGGGAAAGAGGAGGCCCTTTTTTTCTTTCAAAATGGCCGCTCCGTACATTTTCCCTGACATCCAGGCTATTTTTCAAGATGGCGGCCGACAATTTTTTTTTTTCTTTTTTAAAATCAGAAATACATTTTTTTTCTTTCAAAAAAAAATTTAAAAAAATTTAAAAAAATAAATAAATAAAAAAAAATAGGGGGTGGCCCCCAAAAAGGAAGCGGGCGGGGACGCTAAACATGTATATTTTTTTAATGGCCTAAATGGCAAATAAAGTTCTTGGTGGTTTTAATTTAGACAGTCTCTATATATCTATTTACACCCCCCGCCCCCCTCTAGAATCCCGCGGATTTCCGCGGGTCCTGCTAGTTTTTTATATTACTTTTGTTCTACCTGCTAAGCTCCACCCCTAAACAAAAACCTCCAAAAGCAAATGACTTTTGTGACATCATCATGCCAGTCATTCATCAGTCATTCATCAGTCATTCATCAGTCATTCGTCAGTCAGCTAAATGAACTAAAGACATTGGTATGTCCCTTTCCATCAACTGGCGACATGTTCACAATAGCATTGCATGTTTTTATACAATGCTTACTCACAAAATTCAAGTCCATTTTAAGCAGTTGCTTTGTCAGAAATCCCCAAGCAACACCATGAAAAGAAGGGTTTCGATGGGCTATTATATGAAAACATGCAATGCTAATGCAATAAGGTACTCAGTTGGTGAGGACATACATCTGTTTTTTCATGTGCGGTTCCAATAACTGTATATACTAATAATGAAAATCCATTTGCGCTTGTGTCTGTCTTCCCCAGAAATTATCCGAGCTACCGAATATGTGTGGTCTACCTGAAGCAGAGATTCTGTTACTTTCCAAGCATATAGCCTCAGCGATGGAATACCTACACAAGTCTGACATCATCCATAGGGACATCAAACCAGAGAACATCATGGTGCAAGATTGGAAGGGACAGGTGAGAAGTCGGGTCAGGGGTCAGGTCATCTTGTCCGCATTTGCCACTCTCAATCCAGGTGAAGTAAAACCTGATGAGACAAGTTGGCTCAGTCGGTAAAGTGCCTGCCTGTCGAACCAAAGACAGTGAGTTTGAACCCAGCCAAGGCAGATGACTTAAAGGAATCCTAACTCCAAGAAATAATTTTATTTGTTCTGAGATATTTATTGCTTTCTGGCCCATCAATCTACAAGATTTTCCACCAAAGTGGATAATAAAGGCATAAACCAAGAATACAGTTTCTCAGCAAGAAATGGGCATCGCCATTTTCTTGATAGCATGGCGTACTATGCGAAGTCGTTTATCAACTAAATGTATTCAAATATATGGATGCTTGCTTCCCAGGTGTTTGTGTTGTTGAAGCATTTCATTCACCTGTTATTATTAACCTTTGTACTCCAATTGGCAGAACGCAAATAAATAAGTTGGTGCTGTTTTGAGGTGAAGGTTTCACATAAATTTTCAACCGCTATATTTTAGTATTTTTAAATAAATGAGTTATTGTTATCCTATAATATATCTTTCACAAAATGTAATTTTTACCTTCTCCGCTACTTGGTTTTGTTATTGAATTAAAAAGTCTTTCCAATTAAAGCTGGGTGCATGATAAGTACAGCTTTGCCTGGTACGTTATATTTTCAAGAAAATGGCTGCACCCATGTCATGCTAAAATTCATTATGGTACATCATGCCAAGAAATCTTAATTTATATATCTCTTATAAATGATTTATACATTGTACATCAAAAGGCAGGAGTTCATCTTGTTTTTCAGAATACCTACACTTATTCTTTGGGGTTAGGTTTCCTTTGAGCCTGTGCTTTCTGTTAAGGTGCCCCTTCCCTTGCTCCATATACACAGGCTAGGTTGTAGTGGAAAAGACTTCATCCCTCAGATAGGATGTTAAATGGAGAACCCACTGCACTATCTAAATCATGACAAAATATTAAACTTGTTGGCAATAGTATAACTCTTACGATAACAGTTGCATTTATGTTTACTATTACTTCCAGCCCCACATATAACATTTCATTTCCGATTCCTTGATCCTTCTAGAACATGTACAAGTTGACCGACCTAGGATTTGCCAAAGACAGTAAAAACCAGCCTGCCACCTCATTTGTGGGCACCAAGGAGTACATGGTAAGTTTCCAGTTGAGATGCACGGCCCTACGTGCTGTCAGTGTCTGTAATATGGTGTTATATTGAAGCCATAAAAAAATTGCACTTAAAAATGATCATGAACTGCCTCAAAAAACTACAAATCTTTGAGTGACTGGTTTTACCAGGTACTCATTTTCCCCAATAGACTGTAGTGTTATAAAAACCGTTGGGAAAACGGTTTTCCCGACAGTTTTTTAAATTTCAAATTCCAATCATAAATATCTTGATATTAAGACAGGCAATTGGCTTGTAAAAGTCATGGGATTCCTGACTGACCTAAAGTTCACAATTATTATTGCAGCATGAGCTAAAGCCAGGATTTTATTTAGAATCTGAGGCAAAGATACTCAATTTCTTATAAAAAGCTTCTCATCCAAATTATTCAAATTTTATGTAATACGTATAGACAGCAAAATCTAGAAATAAAGTGTGTGATGAGCATGCACCAGTTGTAGCTCAACACGGTAAAAGGAGAAAGAACGAACCTAAGAAACCTTGGATTACAAAAGCTATAATGAATTCCATAAAAAAGAAACATACAATGTATTCACAGGTTCTTGCCACCAACCACAATCCTGTCTATTTAACAACATACAAGAAGTACAGGAATATGTTAACGACAATAATCAGAAACTCAAAGAGAAATTACTATAGTAGGATATTCCTTGAAAATAAGGGTGATACTAGCAAAACATGGAAGACTGTAAACGAGATTTTAAGTGGTGGAAACAATTCGTTTAAGCCAACAGTGGTGGATAAATTGTGTGTGAATGATACTGGTACTAATGAAACCCTGTGTAATGAACAAGATATTGCAAATGCATTTAATGACTTCTTTGTTAATGTTGGTCCAAATTTGGCGAATGCCATACCAAACACAAATCGTAATACAGAGAAAGTTTTAGACGATGGTGTAGACAAATCTTTCTTCTGGAAACCAGTTACTGAGACTGAGGTTAACAACCATTTAATAGCCTTGAATGTAAAGAAAGCTAGTGGGTATGATAATATGCCAATCAAGCTGATAAAAGATGCTGTGCACTATGTAACTTCTCCCCTTACATTTATTTTCAATCTGTCTTTCACCTCTGGTAAATTCCCAGATGCCTTTAAAATAGCAAAAGTGACACCTGTTTATAAGAAAGGACCTAAAGATGAAGCAGGAAATTATAGACCTATTTCAGTATTACCTGTTCTTGGGAAGGTTTTTGAAAAAATTGTAAATAATAGGCTTCTTGACTTTCTTGAAAAAAATCATGTATTATATGAGCACCAGTATGGCTTCCGTAAAAAATACAGTACAAAATTGTCAATGATAAATTTAGTTAACACTTTGAGGAATTCAATGGATGAGGGAAGAATCACACTTGGGATATTTGTAGACTTTAAGAAAGCATTTGATACAATTAATCATGATATTTTATACAGCAAACTTTCACACTATGGAATACGAGGAATAGCATTACAGTGGTTTAAGGACTATTTTTATAGAAGATTTCAATTTGTACAGTACGGAAATGTAACATCTCCCATGCTGCCTTTAACATGTGGTGTACCGCAAGGCTCTGTCCTAGGCCCAACGCTTTTCCTACTTTATATTAATGATATGCCATTTGCTACACGTTACTTTAACTTTCGACTCTTTGCGGATGACTCAAACTTATTCCATACATTTCCTGAAGGGCAAAAAGAAATTGATATGACTGAAGTGAACACAAATCTTCAAATTGTTTCAGACTGGTGTAATGCTAATAAACTGACAATTAATTTACAAAAGACGAGTTATATGCTAATAAGAAACCAGAGACGGCAGATTAATGTTCCAGGGCAACTGGCTATATCAGAAGCTGAAATAATAGAAGTTGATTCTTCGCTCTTTGTTGGGATAAAGATTGATAAACACTTGACTTGGAAACCCCACATACAAATGGTTAATAAATGCATCAGACAAAAAGTAGGAATCCTCTTCCGCTTACGGCATTTTGTGCCTAGAAATATCCTAGTGTTGTTGTATAAAACCTTTATTCAACCTCATATATCATACGGAATTGAAGTGTGGGGGAGCACTTACAAGTCTCACTTAAATTGCATACTGTATACACAGAAGATGGCCATACGGACAATCACATTTAGCCATTTTATGAGTCGTTCAGCACCATTGTTTTACGAATTGAAAATCTTAGATATTAACAAGTTCTATGAGTTGTCTCTATGTACATTTATGTATGACCTAGTACATAATAATTTACCTCACTGTTTGACGGATTATTGTGATAAAATTGAGCATAGATACAATACAAGAAAAAGAGAAAAGGGCCATCTACGTATACCACTGTATAAAACAACACAAGGCAAATTTTCAGTAACTTGTGTAGGAACCCGATTATGGAATGAACTTCCCGATGAAATCAAAAACAAAGGGTCTAGAAACACTTTTCGTAAACATCTCAACGATTACTTGATGAATAAGTGATTGAATTATGCAAGTACACATGTATATATTGTAAATAATCTCCATATTACATTTTTGTTGTTTTTTTTTGTCAAAAAAATGCAATTTTTTGTATAAATAATCTGTAGATACATGTATCTATGACTTTTTAACCTGGTATATCCTCTTCATAATTATATTTGGAGTGTAGAAATTGTGCTACGGTATTACTCAACATGTATACTTCTACTGTCAAGTTTTATTTTTTGATAATGATATATTTATTTTTGCCAAGTGTGTGCTAAGAACAGGGGCCAGACTCGACTAGCACATGTGCTATTATTTGGCTCCTTTTCATCACCTTCTATATTCTATGAGAAAAGACATATGTCTAGCATATCAATACTTTGTTAGGTTTTTCTTTAATATGATCTATAATATTCATTTATGAACATGTACCATTCACGATGTATTCAAATGTTTAATCACTGATGTTATTGATGATGAATAAATAAAATAAAATCAAAAATCAAATCAAAATATCTCAGGAGATAAGGGGGGTGTTCACAAAGACTAAGATTGACTTTAAGTTGGACTTAACTATGGCAGGCCGTTCATGCCACTGTTTGCTCTCACTATTAACTGGTATTGGTCTTTCAAGGGACATACAAATCATGGTCACCAATCTACATAATTTATATTATTTGATAATTCATTATTGAATGCAAAAATATTATTGAAAGATCATAATGGTGAGATTAACCAATGGCATGAATGGCCTGCCATAGATAAGTCCAACTTAAAGTCAATCTTAGTCTTTGTGAAGCACCCCCCTGTTCAAGTGTATTGTCTTTAGCCATTTCAACCAAATCTGGTAGGCTTACTGTATAGTCATTTTCATGTTGTCACTCTTGCAGGCGCCGGAATTATACTCTGAAACGCAGTACACGAAGACGGCAGACTACTGGAGCTTTGGAACCGTCCTGTCCGAAATCATCACGGGTAATAGACCGTTCATGCTGTCCGTCTTACCAGTCGTCAAATGGTAAGAGACCCCTCTACTCAGATCTGTACAGATCAGGGCCTGTCTTACAAAGAGTTACGATTGATCCAAATCAATCGTAAGTCCTCTAATCAATCGCAAGTTTGCAGTCTTCTATCTCTTATGTACATACTTGGGATTGATTTCAATCGCAAATAACTTGGGAGTGATATCAACTCTTTGTAATAGCTCCCTGGGTACTGTTTCATGAAACTTGTTATATATAACAAGTTACAATAATTGTTACAAGCTAATAAAATCCTTGCATTTGATTGGCTGTGAGCAGACTTGGTGTAGATTTGTGGCAATCGTTGTGTCTGTGTAATCCCATACATGTATGTCCATATATGTGAGCGCTGCATATGATTTTTTTTTTTTTTTTTTTTTTTTTTTTTGGGGGGGGGGGGCAAGAATAAGTCAATTTCTTTTGGTTTTGGACATTTCAAAGCCTTGCATTGTACATTGATGCCATGAACTTCAAAGCCAGTTTGTAGATACAGGTGTTGTTAGAGGTGTCGTGGTGGAGTGGATAGGTTACCGGACTGTGGATCACAAGGTCCACGGTTTGAGTCGTGCCACGGCACTAATGTCCTTTGGCAAGATATTGATCTACATTTGCCACACTCAACCCAGGTGAGGTAAATGGGTTCCTGGTAGGATTATTCCTTGAAATGAAGTGTGCGCTGATAAATATAATGTGATATGCGCTATACAAGAAACAAATATTATTGAACAATATAGAGATAAAGGCAGAAAAAGGTCATTCGTACGAAATCGTGACACCAATCGAGACGAAGACTGGATTTGTGCTCATGAAAGTTAGGTAATCATTCATTTATTCACCGACGGCATATTCTCTGATACACAGGTGAAATTATTCTTTTCAAGGGGGCAAACAAAAGGCATTTATGAGACGCCTCCATCACTTTGGCAGTGATTATTCTAAAATGCACAAAGTGGGACGTCTCCATGGGTTAGATCTGTGGATATTTGGTGATCCGACCAAAGCTTATTACGAACAGGCCCTGTCTTACAAAGACTTGCGATTGATCCAAATCAATCGTAAGTCCTCCAATCAATTGCAAGTTCCCAGTCTCCTATCTCTTATGTACATAGCTGCGATTGATATCAGCTCTTTATAAAGACTGGACCCTGTTCTATTGCTTCTCGACTTTTCTTGTGTATCTCACCCTAAAAACAACAACAAACAAATAACCTTGTTGATATTAATTTTCTCACTTTCATCCAGGCATGAAATCATAGCCAAGAAGCACATCAAAGACATTGGCTACTATGAAGACTGTAATGGTAAGTACTATCTGAAATAAAGCATCATTGGTAAGATAGTTCTACTATTTTATTTTATTGAGTGAATGGATCTGGGGGGTGTTTCACAAAGACTACACTATGAACATGACGGACAAAGAAAGAGGACAAAATATACAGTTCCTCATTCTACCCTCAACAATTGCTGTGGTAGACAAAGAAACATCCCTTCACTGCTATTATGTAAAAATGTGTCACATGCATATTCACCTGTTCTACACATTTTTACATAATAGCAGTGAAGGTATTTTCCTTTGTCTACCACAGCAATTGTTGAGGGTAGAATGAGGAACTGTATATTTTGTCCTCTTTCTTTGTTGTCATGTTCATAGTGCTAAGATTGTCTTTAAGTTGGACTTTAACTATGGCAGGCCATTTATGCCATTGGTTGCTCGCACCATTATGATCTTTAGATATTATTTGTTTCCTTCAATAATGAATTACTACAAAATGTAGATTTGTGACCATGATTTGTACGTCCGTTCAAAGACCTATGCCAGTAGGTGGGGTGAGAGCAAACAGTAGCATGAACGGCCTGCCATAGTTCAACCTAAGACGTTCATAGTCTTTGTGAAACGCTCCCCTGGTGACTTTTTGGTGGTTTTGTGTTGCGTGGTCACATATGTGTCTTGACCACCAAAGTCATAATACTAGAGGCATCATCCATTTCCAAAGGGATTGGGTATCTTTGCCTCAGATTCTAAACAAAATCCTGGATTTAGCTCATGCTGCAATCATAATTATAAATCTTTAGGTCGGTCAGGAATCCCATGACTTACAAGCCGATAGCCTGTCTGATTATCAAGATATTTATGAGTTTCCCAACGTTTTTTTTCTAATAATACAGTCTATTGGGGGAAAAGAGTATGGTAACACTGGTCACTCAAAGATTTTTACTTTGTTGAGGCACTTCATGATCATTTTGAATTGTAACTTTTTTTAGGGCTTCAATATTACACCATGTCACAGACACTGATAACACGTAGGGCCATGCATCTCAGATTTAACATTGTTAAACGATGCCTTTAAAGATTTTTTTGTAAAATGAATATTGTTTCATTGGTCTTTTTCTTCAGGAAATTTAAGCTATGCAAAGAATGTACTGGAACCCCACCAATTGTGCCGGTGAGTGAAACTACCATTTATCTTGTGGTCAATTCCAAGCTTTAATTACAAAATGACATTTCCAGAGAATTTTTCTATTTTGAAAAAAGAATATTATAGATATTTTGATCTGTATTTATGATATGTTCTTGTTTTCTATGGTGCTAAATAATGTGAATTTCAATTGAATTGAGTTACTTTCACATGAGTTCAGTTTCCTATCAGCTACATGTATTCATCAAATTTATGCAGTATTGAACTTTAAATATGGTAGATTTGTTACAGAGCGACCAAAAAGAGTTACCTTCTATATCGTTCTGTATTAAGCAAACATACATGTATTTCAAATTCAAATATTGAGTGGTTCAGATTTGCGAAAGAACCATGCCATGAAGTAAGTGAATCACATGCGATGCAACACTAAATTTGTGCAATTTGCGAAAGTTTCTCGCAGTCAAAATGGTTGTCCTCTGTATACTTCTGTATTATTTAAAAATTGCAAATGTATAATGATCGTAATCTCCTAGTGTTTACCATCATGATGGTCATGATCATACTATATAAACTGTTGAACCATGCAGAAATAAATAAATAAATAAATACAAAAAATATTGATACACAGAAGTTTCTGGTTTTACAGTATTGGAATGGATTTTAATTTGTTTTCAGTCCAATGCGGGAAAGCCTTGAGAAGTTACTGGTTCTGTTGCTATGTCGGTGCCCAAGGACAAGAGGAGGAGATCTAAGAGATGGAAGACCCGTCTTCTACCATGGGCTTGAAACTATCCTAGTTTGCAAGGTATGTTCTTATAAACAAATATTATAATAATAAATATATTCCGTTCTTGTATAGCGCATATCACATTATATAATGTCTCTATGCGCTTCCAAAGAGCTTTGAAAATTGTAACCCTAGCTTTAGCTCCAGCAGCCGTTATCAGCGCACAGTGCATTTTAAGGAATAATCCTACCATGTACTCATTTACCTCACCTGGGTTGAGTGTGGCAAATGTAGATTAATGTCTTGCCAAAGGACATTAGTGCCACTGCGGGACGTGAACCGCGAACCTTGTGATTCACTTGACCAGGACACCTCTACAAGTATTTATACACGAACAGTCTCACGCACACACACAAAAAAACAATAGTAATCTGGATTTATATAGCACTTAATACAAAATACCATCTCTAAGTGTTTTGCAGATATTACTAATCCGGCCATCGGATTCATTCACTTGTAATGTTATATTCTAAATAATTTTTTTTTAGTATGCTAGTTGATGAATTGTCATGCACGCATACAAGAGTCAACTCTGGAGTGAACATCTGAGTGGTGCTTGATATCTAACTATTCTTCTCATGATGCTCTTTCATAGTTAACTTGTTTCTTGGCTCATAGTTCGGGTTTATTTTATGTCTTATACTCATATATGATACATCATCGGTTATTCCTGCAGTCGGTAAAGTTGAAAATGTCCTTATCTCGAGCTATAGAATCACCCATTGATTGGCTATTTCCATGCCTTGCACAGGTCATCCACGTACGCTGCATGATGGACGGCGCGATGGCATCATTCCCCACCCGTAGCAACGACGCGGTCGTCGACCTCCACAAGACTTTGATATCGGTCACGGGTCTCCCAGCCGATCAGCACCTCCTCCTCCTTGCCCATGGGGAAAGGCTGACAGACGGGACGACCATCCTCCATAGCCTCTTCAAGAACCATGTGAGAATATTTTCATTTAATATGAAGCACCATTAATAATAATAATAATAATAATAATATTCCGCTTTTATACAGCGCTCAATACATCGATACAACAATGTGTCTGAGCGCTTTACAGGCATATCATTACCCCGGTCATCGGATTCAGGCTCACCTGCACACAATTTATGCACATTCTCCATTCCCTTCGGGAGCATTCCGGCCAGTCGCCATTTAAAAGCGACAGTATTTCTACACTGTATGGATATATTTTGAGCATGAAGGGGAGGCGGACATTTTCGAAAGGTTTTTTGTTTGGTTCTGTGAAACTTAGTACAGGATACTAACACTCCATGCTCACACATGCATTGCAATCTCATCTTTATGGGTTTTTAAACATTCATAACCCTCATTTTGAATTCGGACAATCTTTGTGAAAATAACAGCTTATATGTAGTAATGGATGAATTCTAAGCACGGCTACGACACAAATAATCTCAACTTCACATATACTAAGATTTTATCACGACCAAACAAAAGGTATGCTGGATATTTCTTTTTAAATCCTCATAAATCTCTCTTACAGGCATTCCAGGTAGACACTGAATAGAAAAGTGGTTGATATTCAATTGAAACTTTTTGCTCTAGAGTATTTTACCCTGAATTTAAGACAGCTCTCGAGCAGACTTAAGCCATTTAGTTTGGAGGCCTTTATTGGCAGACATGTGGGTTTCATACGCATCATCATAAGCTGTGCTCAATTACATTCAATGCGACGAGTTGCATTGACAACGCGATGTCACAATGATGATCAAGTAGTATTTTACATTAAAGTCGGCTTAATAAAGTGAAATGTTCCGATGTGATCTGAATAACCAGTTAAGACATATGACTTAGCCAAGTAAAATTCTGAGTAAGATACTCACTTGATAATTATAGTGCTTTTATAGCGCCTAACACTTACTTTATCAGAAGTCTCTAAGCGCACTACAAATAATGCAGCATAATTACCCTGGCTTTAGCAGTGCAGCTGTTACGCGTGCTGCGTTTCAAGGAAAAAATTCCTACCAGGTTCCCATTTACTAAGTATTGAATTGAATACAGGCCCTTGACTTTAATCTATGGCTTTGACCGACACTTCTGCTTTTTCCTTTGCTTTGTGGCACAGAATGGCGACAGGATTGTCTACTTGTACCCGAAGAGTTTCCCCGTAAAGACCAACTTCTACATTCCTCTGAAGACACCGATGGTCGAAGCTTTGAGTAAGTGAATGTTACTACATATAACATGATGAATCTGTTTCTCCTGGTAAAGTGTACCAATCGCCTACAAAAATAATTTGTGTACCCTCAGAAAACTTCACCAGGCATTCTGTGTGCTAACGGATAAAGACTATAACCTGGCAATCGCTGGAGTTATAATAGTTGCAGGGCCCTCGTGAAGAACAGCAGTGAAGCTAATGAGGTGGTTTCCCTGCGTAAACAAAATTATTATTATTACATGGATTAAATGAAAAAGTTTTGGAAAGTTTATTAGAAAGTAGTTCTTTTCAACCCTTAAAGGAGCAAAATAAGGTTGGTATGGCAGGTTGAGATTGAGAGAGAGAGAGAGAGAGAGGGTAAGGGGGAGGGGGGCAGAGAGAAAAACATGTATTTGGGGGGTGTTTCACAAAGATCATAAGTCAAACTTAATTCTTAGTTGGACATCAACATTATGGAGAGCCATTTGTAGCCTTATAATGAAACATATTCAAAAGCAAAAAATCAAGTATTTTAGACTTTTCATAAATTCTGCATCAAGAACATGAAATCTCTCATGATAATAGAAAATATGAACGATATAAATCAACATCTTATGCCTTTTAAAATATCTTTTACAGATTATTTTCTTAGCTGTAACGGCATTCCATAATTGTTAAGTCCAACTAAGAGATAAGTTCAACTTAAAATCTTTGTGAAACACACACCTGGGGGGCGTTTCACAAAACTTGTCATCATTGACAAATGACAGTTTGTGTTATAAGCTACTGAAATCCTTGCTTCTGATTGGTTATCAGCAGATTTGTCACTGATTTTTGTCATTTGTCATTGAAAAAAGGCTTTGTGAAACAGGCCCCTGATCCCATTTCCCTTGTCTTTACTGTACTAGTGACTGGCAAACATCTTCAGGTATCGGAGAACGGATTCAAGGTGATGTGGAAGCAGTCCATACACTACTGTCATAACCTGATCAGAGAGGCACTAGCACGACAGACAGGATTCATAGCATACTTGTGAGTAGATGTCATGGTAACTGCATTAATCCTGACCTTAACATTCTGACGAATGATGCTTGGAGAAACCGTCCTCAGAGCATATGTCGAGATAAAATGTACAAAGGAGTAATTAAATATTATTCTCCTAATATTGATATTTTACCAATTCTTGTGATCGCTTAAGAAGGAGGTGCTAATTACAGATAGGGCGGGCCTGGCGATTGCTTTATTAGTGTTTCGTAGGTTTGAAAGCTGGCAATGTACAGTGTGCCTCTACGGCAGAGATAATAATTGAAACAATCTTTTCCCCTGAAGAAATTGAAAATCAACTAGTGATAAAGAAACCAAAGCTTTGTATTGAGTTAGTCATGAACTTGCCATTAGTTTTGATGAGAACTAAATATGTCATAGAAATACCAATTTCAATCATGATTAACTGTTGTAATACGATCTAGTTTAGAACTGCAACATAATTCCATAGAGAGTTTCAATCTTGTTCAAATCTCCTCTCTCTCTCTCTCTCTCTCCCTATTTTTGAAATTTTTATTAGTAATACTTTGCATACAAATATGGCACTCATGTGGACCTACTGTATCTCTCTCACACTATCTTCATCTCTTTCTTTTTCTCTCTCGTCCCCTCCTCTCTCTCTTACTCTCCCACTCTCTCTTTCTCTTACTCTCTCTCTCTCTCTCTCTCCCTCCCTCTCTCTTTATCTTTCTCTCTCACAAACACTCTCTAGTTTTCACTCTCTCTCTCCCTTTATCACTCTTTCTCTTTCTCTCTCTCTCTCTATATTATAATCTTTTTTTTATAATCTACAAAATTATATTACAGCATTTTTACCTTAATTTCTATAAACCTTGGCTTTTTTCTATATTACATATTATTGTTATTATTATTATTACTAACACCGCGCTTTTGTCCTGTTTGTGAGTAGGAATTATAACCTGAAGCGCAAGGCCAGTTTGAATCAGTGTGCAGAGGAGATGAAGAGATGTCTACACAGATTGCAAGCTAAAGCAGAGTTCTTCCTAGAGAGGTAATTATAATAAAAATGTTGCTTATAAAGTGCTTAACACCGAAGTCTCGAAGCGCTATAGCAAACAAAAAAGACTAATAAACGATTACATATTAAACAAAACAAAAAAGTGCAAATAAATCTACAAATTACAATACATATGGAATACACATCAATGTGAACAGAGTGAGTTAATGATCAAAAGCTATTGAATAAATGTGTCTTAAGACAAGTTTTGAATTGGTTAACAGTTTGACAGTTTTTGACATTTAAAGGTAGTTTGTTCTTTTTATGTCATTATGAAACAATAACATGTACATATATTTGAATGATTTAGATTTTTGTCATGTAACGCCTGGCTGGAATGCTCCCCAGGGAGTGGAGATTGTGCACACATTGTGTGCGGGGTAATAGTATATTTGTAAAGCATTTAGAGACATTTGTATTACGCTATATAAAAATTAAATATTAATATTTGTTGTATGACACGAAACTATCTTTTGCCTTTCAGTATGAGCACAGACACTCAGCAATACGCCCGCCAAGTCGCTACTGGCTTCAGTAAGTATTTTTTTTTTCTCACCTAGTTTACAAATTAAAGTACATGTAACTATGAGTTGTTGTCATATATAAAATAAAATAAAATACAATGGAGTGATCATGCCCTCTTTTTTCTAAGAGTTGTCAGTCTAAGCTGTTATGTATCTCAAGAATCGAAACATGGGATTCAGTTTTATTCTTGATATTATATGGCCGGCCCTATTCTGTAATTTTTGTAATTTATCAGTAGATTTCTTGAAAGCTGAGTTATAAATAATATCACCATAATCAAATTGAGGAAGAACTAGTGATTTGTAAATTAATTCAAAACAGATTCACTTATTAACAAACGTCTTAATCTTCCAAGAAAGCCTACTGTTCTCCCAATCTTGTTTCAAAATAGTTTCAATATGCAACTTCCAATTTAAATATTCATCACAATTCAGACCAAGGTAAAATGCTGAACATAATTTAAATGAGTGTTATGTAACAAAACTGTTAATACATTTTGCTTTGATATCATATGGTTGCTTCCTAAAAGCATACAACCATTTTTCTCACAATTGACACTTGACTTATTTTGGCACATCCAATTATAAACTTTTTCTAGGTCTGAAATAAGAGCAAGTTCAATCTTGGGTTTTGAAGTGTGAGAAAAATACAGGACCGAGTCATCTGCATATTCCTGTACTTGGCATGATTTAACATATTAAACTAAGTCATTTATATATATATATATATATAATAAAGAGCAGAGGTCACAGAAGGGACCCTTGTGGGACTCCACATGTGATAACATATCATTGAAAGCACAGAATTTACAAGTGTCTGACATACTCTGTCTGTCATGTAAGTTCTCGACCATGCACGAGGGAAACCAGTACAAATTTTGCATTGGCAAATTTGTGGCCCACTTTGAAATAACTTTGATCTTGCTATGAAAGAGCGGAAAGCGTTCTGTGGTTCTCCAACATTTGCTTGGGCCACAATTACTTGGGCTTCATTTTGTCAAAAGTATAGCTTTAGGGTTAGGTTTACAATGGTGTTTCAGGGTAGGTTTAGTGATGGTTTCAGGGTTAAAGTTAGGAATTCTGTCATTGTAGGAAATCATTACATCGCAGGAACGAGTGTTGTACAAGTGGGGAGATTATTATGATTAATCTCAACTACTAAGCAAACCTTCTGAGGTTTGTGAAGGGCTTACACATTATCTAAGCCCGGTCTATCATGGAAGTGAATTCAATGTGCTAGTGCCCTTTGGTAAGGCATTAATCCTCATTACCAAGTCCCTCAGAGGGGACTTAAAGCCATCGGTCCCTTGGTTGCTTACCGTACTTATAAGCACATACAAGCTTTCTTCACAGTCTGGTATAATCAATCAATCCAAATGTTGTTAATACCAGGTACCTATTATACAGTGCGTCCCAGAAAAAACGAAACCAAGAATTATCGATGTTTTTTTCATAACTTGATCACAATTATAATTTAATAAATGACACATATTTGTAAAGCTTAGATCCTCCTCTTTCATTTGAAGCAACTCACATGATGCATATTTCACGCATGAGTGATTAAAAATGACTTTTTGGTTTCCTCTCTTCAAAATATGAGTTGCTTCAAATGAAAGAGGAGGATCTAAGCTTTACAAATATGTGTCATTTATTAATTATAATTGTGCTAAAGTTATCAGTGATAAAACATTGATAATTCTCGGTTTCGTTTTTTCTGGGACGCACTGTAGTACACCATAGATTAATATCTTACCAAGCATTGTGAATACGAAAATCACATTATGTTTTAATTTTCTTTGTTCCTCTTTCCACGAAGGTGCTAAGGTCTTTTACGATAAATTGAAGAGTATGGAGGAAGAAATCCAAGAAGTAACACAGGTAGTTAAAGTTTTTCTTATTTTGGTAGGAAAGTACAGAGGGGTAAATACTTTCTGTCAGATTTTAGTTACAGGGAAACGCTAGTAAATACTTGTAAATATCAATTTTGAATGGGATTCATTACATTATGTTAAAAATACTCAGCAGAAATCAATATTTAAGGGAAAGTCCACCCTAATATGAAGTTGGTTTTAATAAAAGCATAAAAATGAGAGGAATGCGTCAGTGAAAGTTTGAGCAAATTCTGATTACGAATAAGATGGTTGTGAGTTTTTGAAGTGGCGATCACTCAATTACAAATTGGTAACACTGTAATGTATCTTGCGAGCTCCCCTACATTTGTTCTATATATATTTAATTTCATAAACTTTAATTTTCTTTAAATTATTGATGCTGGGATAGATTTTTACATACTGGGGTTGAATAGAAACATATTTGCAATAGTTATATTAGGGTGCATAATATGTTTGAAAATGTTCTTGAGGGGAAATAAACATTTATGTTTTTTTTTTTTGTAGTATTTGCCGGCGTAAAGACCGCACCGCCGCATAGGCCGCACCCCCAACTTTGACATTTCGTAGAGAGAGAAAAAAAAAAAAAAAAAAAAAAAAAAAAGGAAAAAAAAAAAAAAAAACGGACCAAAGAAAATAATTGTAATTTTCCCGTAGAACTTTATTTTTCCTACAAACTAATACCAAAATTATCATTTAATAAATAAACTGGAAGTTTACCTAAAAAAATGATCGTAATTTAGCAAATCTTCATCGATTTTTAGGCAGATTAGCACATTCATGGGACACTAGAGGGCGCTTCGCATCCATACAGAAACCTGAATGGCCAACCTATCGCAGGGTGGAAGCATGGTGGAAGGATGTATCTTTTTTATAATGTTATCCGGTCTTACCCCTATCGTACCGTCAAATGGAGAAAATAAACAAGCTTTTGTATTGTTATTAGAGATCTACCGAGGTTAGTTTGTCGCTTTAATTAATTAGATAGTCTCAATTATAATTCAGAATTATCTTACTGAAAAGTTAAGAACACCGATGATTGCACGCTGTGAATCTCCGAAGGTGCGTTGGATTTGTTAGCAACTCCAGCCCCGTAGCTCCCCACCACAGAGTGTGTGAGTAAGGTACCAAAATCATACCTTACTCACACACTCTGTGGTGGGGAGCTACGGGGCTGGAGTTGCTAACAAATCCAACGCACCTTCAGAGATTCACAGCGCGCAATCCATCGGTGTTCTTAAGGACATTTTTACAACTTTACAAGTACGAGTTTCTGGTCAGTTTTCTTCTTATTTCTTTGGTTGCACAACGATTAAAAAGATAACTTCTTCAAATTTGCTGCTGACGTGGTTCAGACTAGATCTTGTCCGATGTGTTTTCAAGTCAATTTTGTTAATATATTTTATTGTATGAAGTTTTGACTTGCGATTTTTACTCTTTCGGCGTAAAGGCCGCACCCCGACTTTTTGATATTTTCTCTTCCAAAAATACTGCGTCCTTTACGCTGGCAAATACGGTACATATTCACTAAAGTAACAAGAATTATTTGTATACTCATGTACGGAAGTGCATGTCTAGCTCTTCATCCTGTAAACATTACCAGACCGTTGGACCATTTTGCAATATGTGCTGTTTTTCTCAAAAATTATGTCTTTTGCCATTAACAGCACTTTTTCTTAGTCCAGCAAGGTTTGTAGCTGATTGCGTTGTTATTTGTTCATGACAGGAACCAGAGCAAGATGTTAAAGAGATTGAGAGGAAAGTAGATGAAACGATGAGGTTCATCTATGAGACTCAGAAGAACGCAGAGAGACTGAAGACAGTAGAAGGACTCCAAGAGACGTAAGTTATATGATGATGATGATGAACAATAACAACAAGTGATGATAAACATAGTAGTAGTAGGAGTAAAAGTAGCAGTAGTAGTAGGAGTAGTGGTAGGAGTAGCAGTAGTAGTAGCAATAGTAGTAGGAGTAGGAGTAGTAATATTTGTAGATATAGTAGCAGCAGTAGTAGTAGTAGTAGTAGTATTAGTAGTAAAAGTAATGATAGTAGTAGCAGTAGTAGTAGCAGTAATAGTAGAAGTAGTAGTGGAAGCAGCGGTGACGGTGGCACCGGCAGCAGCAGCAGCAGGAGGAGCAGCAGGAGCAGTAGTAGAAGTAGTAGTAGCAGCAACTACAATAGTAGTAGTAGTAGTAGTGATTGTATTAGTAGTAGTAGTAGTAGTAGGAGTAGCAGTGTAGCTGCCCTCGTTGTTGTCCTTACCTACTTAATAAACAACCAAGATAGCCTCATCAGTATTAATACTATTCTCCGTGAGGGCCGTGACTACCTAGGTTGAGCCAGGCTACGTAGAATTCAGTCCAGCAGATTATATTGCTATTGTAGCTTCACTATAAGATTAATGTTCTTTGGCAAGACACATTTGCCGCATTAAACCCAGGTGATGTAAATGGGTGCCTGGAAGGAATTATTTCCTTGAAATGCTAGAGCGCTGCAATGGTAGCCATGCTAAAGCCAGGGTAATAATCGGGAGCACCAAGAGTGTCAAGTCTAACAGATATGAGAGCTATACAAGAACCCACTATTATTATTATTATTATTATTATATCACTGCATCAAATCTTATTTATTTTTGCAATTGCTTTCTGTTTTGCGTAGGAGCAAAAAATGTGACTTAAGCTTCAGAAAGTTCAAAGAGGAGAATAAAGGTAAGTACTTGGTTGGTAATTGATACAAAGTTCTTTTCCCCTAAGAAAATTGAAAATCAACTACCAGTACTGATAAAGAAATGAAAGCTTTGAAATGTTGATTTATTTCTTTAAATATTTTTATCTTTACTCAATGATAAAAGAAAATTGGCAATGGTTTTTACCTAAATACAACACAGGTGAATTGGTTGAGATCAACAGAATACAGCTGTATGTTTTGTAACAAATGTAATGACTATGTAACTCCTGATGACGGATAGTCAACCTGTTCGAAACGTTGAGCCACTCCCGCCACCTATCCTCTCCAACCGGCGCCATAGTTCTCCTTAGAACTATAAGCTAAGAAAGATAACCAACAGTCCTTTTCAGGATTACACGCACTCGAGAAAGAAATATTATCGAGAGTCCTTTTTCAGGACTTCCAAATCCTCCTCTCTCTCACATGGTGCAACCGCAAGCCTATTGTATATGTAATTCTTCCATTGGAAAATCAATCGTTTCATATGGCTCGACATAATTAGTAAATGCATCGTCATACTTTGCTGATGTAGATTGTACTTATTATTGTATTCTAATGGTTATTGTAACCGATTTTTGTTGTTGTGTGTGTGCAGTGAAGCGAAGAGAACACATGGACCTGACGCCCATTCAGAATCAGATAAATGAGGCTCACAAACAGTTTTGTGAATACAATCATGGAATCTTCAAACAAATCGGGTGAGTTCTTTCAGTATTCTTCATGAATCTGGTCCTTTTCTGAATCTTTTTGCTTGTGTTTACAACATTTCTTTCTCTCCCCTCTCTCTCTCTCTCTCTCTCTCTCCCCCCTCTCTCTCTCTCTCTCTCTCCTCTTTATCATTGTGTGTGTTGAATTGAGGACCAATCACAAGAAAAAATTATTTTTGCTTTCAATATTTTCATTATAACTGATCAATCTCGGGGGTGTTTCACAAAGAACCTAAATTGGACTTTAAAATTATGGAGAGCCATTTGTAGCCTTAAAATGAAATATATTCCAAAGAAGAAATTAAAGTATTTTAGACTTTTCATAAATTCCACATCAAGAACATGAAATCTCCTTGATGATAGAAAATATGAATGATATGAATCAGCATTTTATGTCTTTAAAAATAAATTTTCAAAGATAGCTAATGGCTTTCCATAATTGTTAGGTCCAACCTAGAGATATGTTCAACTAAGGATCTTTGTTGAACACCCCCTGGACTATTTTCTTTGTATTTGCCACGTTTCCTTTGTTGAGAGTAGACCAGTCACAAGAAAAAATATATTTTGCTCTTCATCTTTTGGGTTCCATACCAGTAAACTGTTAAAGTAGTCACCCAAATAATCAAAACTATTGAATTGATGCAAAATTCATATCATTGCGAAGGGAAAGCCTTCCTGATCAAATTTCCCTTTTCAAAATCTGTTTGGGATCCCGCAGTAATCATCTCTCAAAAATATTAATTTTGAGATCCAGATTTTCTGCCTTCAGCGCTCCTCCGTAGAGCGTCAAGATTCATGACCTCACATGAGAGATATCTATATGATTTTTCAGCAAATTTCAGATAATCATGCGCACATGCATCTGCACAGTGTTGGCGTGCCGGGTTTTTTAGATTCACAGCGCCGCATAGGAAATTACTGATTTTGAGCCTTGTGATTACTGATTTTTTGATGATGATGATGATGATGATGATGATGATGATGATGATGATGATGATGATGATGATGATGATGAAGATGCTTAAACAAATAATAATGTTAGTAATAATAGATAATAATATATAATAAAAATAATAGTTATTTTCAAACTGTCACACAGGGAGGTTCAGAGGTCATGCTTGATGATTGAAGATGTCATGGCCAAGATTCAAGACTGTGTGCGGAAGATGGAAGAAAGACAGAACCAAATCTCAGAGCTGCAGAGAGAGAAACAAAAGTATATTTGGGATATCCTGAATAATACCATCATAAAGGTATGTCATTTTCCACCGAGAATTATTTCTTTTCTTGAATTTCAATGTTTATGCTGACAGGTACCGTAGATAGATAGATATATGGTTTATTAATTAACATCAAATATCATTGCGCCAAAGCCGACTTGCGACCATTTTTACAATGATAGAGCGCCGTAATGGCAGCACAGCTAAAGCCGGGTGATATTCTCCAAGTTTGGAAGCGCTTTGTGATTGCAATAAGCGCTATATAAAGACTGAGTGTTTTTTTTTATTATTATTATTATACAAAAGAGGTTATCAGCATTGACAAATATAACACATAGTTATAAAATAATAACATTTTTGTATTAATATTATCTCAAATTGTTTTGTAAAAACTAATATGACATTTGATTCTACATGTATATTCTACATGACAATATTTATGTATTTATATTTAATCCTTATAATTTGGTAATGAATATCTACTCTAATAAATTGTCACTTTTTTGCTCACTCAAATTTTACAAATAAATAGGTTGATATTTGGGGATAAAGCATCAGCCCCCCTCCCCCACCCTGGTGAAAATGTGCCCATACACTCACGTTAATTCATTATGACAATATTTATGTATTTAGATTTAATTCATATAAGTCGGTAATGAATATCTACTCTAATAGATTGTCACTTTTTTGCCCATTCCATATTTTATCTTTGTATATATATTGTCATGATGATGGAAATAAATGTCAATGTCAACATTCCATAGTTTATCTCTACAATTGTTTTCTTTATTTTTCCATTTTGTTATGTAGAAAAAGGAATCTGACGCTCAGGTTCAGAGGCAGCTGTCGAGATCAAAGAGTCTTGTTGGTCCTACCACTCCCCCTTTCCCTTTGGCCGCCCCTTCCCCATCTGGCACTCAGGGCCCGGTATTTGAACCCCAGACTGATATGCAGGAATCCATGTCCATCATGAATCAGAGCATGCAGATGCATTCAGAGTAAGACTTATATTAATATGTTTCATTTAAAGAGAAGGTTGAGTTGTGGGAAGAGGTGAAAAATAGTTTGTGAGCGTTATCATTGTATTACGCAAGTGTGGAAGAATATCAGATAAAAAATGTTCCCTGAAAAGCATGGCTCTTCAAATGCCTTAATATTCTAAACATGGCATGTAACTTCATAAAAATCAGGACAGATTTTTATGCAACATGTTCGTGTAGTCCCATATTATACATCTTTCTGTTTACAGTGCTTGTAACTTTACCAAGACTGGGCCAAATTTCTTATCATTTTGATGATTCCAGAACCTTGCAGTACACACCAAAACTTATATGCTAGATGATCAACCTTTTCTGATCAATTCCACAACGTTTCTTTCACGATGCAATCGCATGACCAGAACTCAACTTTATCTTTAAGTTTACTTTAGAGTGTACCAACCACCTGAAAAAATAGTTTATTTATCGGTAGAATGTATAAAATCAACCTTTAACAAATTTACCTGGCATTCTATAAACGGTTAAGGAGTACTGAAGAAACTATAGGGTAACATAAAACCATAATTGGGTGCATTCGGAACCTGAGTCAGATTTGGGTTCCAATTCTATCGCATGTGTTAAGTAGTCTACTCAACAAGACACAGTAATTCACTGGGAGTGTATTCAAAACCCCTCATAGGTGTTGGGAGCCCCAAAAATTTGATGGGAAAATTTCACTTAAAGAGGATGTCATTTAAGACACATTTCTGCAAAGGATTTTCAAAACAAATATCTATGAAGTGGAATATTGATGAAAGAATAATGATGTATTTCAATTTCGTTCTATTCAGCGTGCTGCTTTGTTTGTCGTAGTTGAGACGTAATATAAAGCAAATAATGAATGTTTTTCATTCGTTCAATTGTGCAAATTTATCTTCATTTGTTGAAAGATTAACATTCTATTGAACTCATAAACATTAATTATTTGTATAATATCCCACTCAAGCCATTCAATATTATATAAATATATTTTGTTTTGTTTTACCATCCTTTTCTTTATTGGTCTAACAGCTTCGACACGATAATGAGGTCGGTCTCTGAAGAACAGAGGCAGCAGGCGGAGGAATTGAATAGTTTGAACTGGGGACATCTAGACGGCACCTGATCCCCCCACCCCCACGGGGAGGGGGTGACCACACCCAGTGACCACACCCTTACCCTGCCATCAGCTAACCTTGCCCCTCATCTTCATCTCCGAGATGTGCTCCCTTCACCATGGTAACAGAGGATAAGCTCCCCGTGTCTTGACTTACTTTGTATCTTGTAGCTTCAATCCATCAAAGATGAGAGAACACCTTTTTTGTGTTGTGGTTCGTGTATTTTATCAATCCATCGTAGACCATGCCTGAGGTACACCTTCTATATCTTGGGAGAAAATCTATGAGATGAACCATTGCCAATGGAATAAGAATGCTAAATATGACAATGATATTACACAATGTGTTTTTAGTGTGAGCAGAATAAGCATCAATCTCTCGACAATCGGAGTTTGAAATTAGTTGTTGAATACGGAAGAGAAGCACTAGTATCATCAAATTGGGAACTCATCACATGCTAATCGATATTTCCCTCGCAAGTATCAACAAGATTTGTTCATATTTTTTTGCTATTATATGTGATATTTATTGATATAGGGCCATTGAATGCATGTTATGTTAAACAAAATCAATCAGTGTTGCTGGTTTTCTAAAGAAACATGGATTTCTTCAGCACCTCAAACTAAAATTGATTCCTTAGAACGTTGATACTGTGCTTTGGATTTACTTGCTGTTTTACTGAAGGAGGTTGTGCATACATGTATATTATCATGTGGTAATGGACAGTGATTTGAAATAAAATAGTACAAGGATAAATAGGGTCTTTTCGTTTGTCACATCGACATATAGGCCGCCAAAGATATGACGTCATTACGGCAATTTTCGCATGCGTTGGGTTGTCTCACATTGTCGGGGCAATTTTAGCACATGTTCCTCCAAGATTTGATGTTCGTCAGAAAACTTGTGCCCCGTCGTCAAAATGACGTCATCTTGCTATATAGCAGCGTCATCGTTTAGAGAACAGGTGATGACTAAAAACGAAAAGGGTTATAAGGTAGTGAACAGGACGGGTCGACTGCAGCAAATTTGCATTGTTAGAGAAAGGGAAAGGCGTCCGCGTCTACACAAACAAAAAGGCCATTTAATTAAGATGGAAGCGCGTCGTTGGATGTTGGATAATGACTGCGATTTGAGAAGACGTCACAAGTACGCCGATTACTCTAGGTTGGCAACGCACAATTGGAGGTGTTGGGTGAATGATTACGACTTCATCTGTCATTAAAGCCTATCTGCACTAGTTTGGCCAGGAGAGATTAGACCTCCCTGCGTGGTCACTGGCAGTTGTATACAGTATCTCATCAAATCAGCTCTCGATTAGAAAAAGGGAACCATGGGGGATCAACGGGTACCGCTTAGGCATTGTTGGCTGTATAGAGGGCACAAGTAGTGCAGTCCCGCTTTAAATGGCGTGTTTTTGTATGTTCTAGCAACTGTTTGTTGGATAATGTTTGTACAAGTCTTCCTGGGTTTAAAGTACAGCATACAAAGTACATAGTGGTCTATGAGCGAGCATGGAACCAGGCAATAATGACACGGCTTTTAACGAGGCTCTGAGGCGATGCAAAGGTAGAAAACCTGCTGGCCACTGTGGACAAGTTCTGATACAAAGTGTACGGGTATAAGGACAGATATCCAATATTTAAGGCCTGAAGTACATACCATGTATCATTGACGAACACACCATTTTGTAATTTTGTCTCATTGTTGCCAAACTATCAAATAGTTTCCCCTTTTCTGAAGGTCAAGGGGGAGACCATTAATGTCTTTCATCTTGATGTTCCTTTCCATAATTGTTCCCATCTCTGTGATTCTCCAAAAATGGAGTGTTATGTTCGCCTCGCCCCTCTGAAAGTGTTTTTGATAGTGTGATGCTCACAGCATAAGGAAATACTTCATATGTATTTTAAAAATGTCTTTGTGTTTATATATGTTGTTAAAAGACTATGTGCATTGAATCAATAATAGATCTAGATTAATACAGGGCTTAATTCAAAATACTATCTCTTCATGTGCTTCACATATTTTATTCCCTGGTCATTGATATTATTATTCATTCACCTGCACAATGTGCACCATCTCCACTTTCTAGGGAGTATTTCAATGGATGGTTAGTCCATTTGAAGACGACAATAGGGACTTTTAGATTTGCACGTCGACATAGTGGACTGCTACGTGTGACGTCCGTTTAAGGCAGTCCTTTTAAGGCAGTCCTTAAAAGGACATCACACGTAGCAGGTCCTTTTAAGGACTGCCTTAAAAGGACGTCACACGTAGCAGTCCACTATGTCGACGTGCAAATCTTAAAAGTCCCTATTGGTATGGAAGTAAGCTACAGCACAATAAAACATCTTTTTTTGTTTTTTTGTTGAAGCAGTCTAGCTTGTGTAGTTTATACTTCCCTTGTTTATACTTTATTTTATCATGCAATCTGTTGCCGTGCCGTTGAAACAGAGATTCAGCTTTTTCTTTGTGCCTGTAAGCAATATTTATGTTCCCTTCCAAAGGGATTTGTACTAACATGTAACTAATTTTGCGAGCCAAGTTTATCAGAAAGTATAGGTTATGAGAACCTAGCACCTGTATATCGAAATATATATATTTATATATATTTGAATATTATGTGTAAAAGTGTTGCATACGTAGATATGTGACTATCCCGTTTGCATTGCATCGCTGGTCATATATTACCAAGTTATTATATATTTTGTTTTTATTAGAGTGTACGATCATGTATTTACCTGTGTATCATTGTTTAATGAATGTAATTCATTTATTGATCATACATGTATATTTAAAATCATTTGCAGTTTATGGTCATGAATTACATAATGTAAAAAGTATTTGGTAATTAATAGTCACTACAGTTAACTCAGCTCATACATTAGGGACTTATAGATTCACACAAAGAGAACATGGATTGCTACGGTCGACGTCCTTTTAATGCACTGCCTTGAATGGACGTCACAAGTATCAGTCCACGCAAATCTAAAAGTCCCTAATATTACTTTCAGGACAGGATTTATTTTAAGGGCTAAATTGATCACATGTTCTTCTTGAAATTGGCAACAATACTAATATTAATACATGTACCAGTATCTGTAATACCGGTATTCCAAATGTGTTCTTCTCTGCTCTGTACATAAATGTTGACTGCAGCTGTGTGATGAGAAATGTGGAAAATGTTAAATATATATATATAAGCTTCCATTCACTGGTACTCGTCTTTCCGTTCCATTATAATTGAAAGTGTGACTTGAAAGACATAGCTGCAAATGTAGTTTGATTTAATATTTCTTCAGAAGAGAGTAAGGCTGGGTTTGAAACGAGATGTTATACTCCCATACACATGTATATACCCTTAGCCTTGGATGTTATTTAGGAATTGTTATCGTTAGCCTTTATTTTTTTATTCATAGGCCAAATTAGATATCGAAAGAGAAAGATTATTGTGAGATGAAGAAGGAAGATGAGGGCTGCATATCGATTGAGTCAAACCAGCTGCATGGACATTTATCTAGAGAAGAGACATTTAAATCTCTTCTATTTTTGTTGTCACACCCTGTATGTCTCTATTCTAGAAATAAGAATTCAAATTTCTATTTTCTTGTCACACCCTTTATGTCTCTATTCTAGAAATAAGAATTCAAATTTCTATTTTCTTGTCACACCCTGTATGTCTCTATTCTAGAAATAAGACATTTAAATCTCTTCTATTTTTGTTGTCACACCCTGTATGTCTCTATTCTAGAAATAAGACATTTAAATCTCTTCTATTTTTGTTGTCACACCCTGTATGTCTCTATTCTAGAAAAGAGACATTTAAATCTCTTCTATTTTTCATGACACACCAAAATGTGTGCAAGTGTAATTGAGGCAATAGAGTGGTGAAGTGTGACGTCATCAAAAATCTATTTATAGAATATCTCAACTTTTTCTTCATTTTCTGAAAGAGCATAAAAAATAATGTCCAAATGTCGAAAACCAATTGAATATATTAAAATATTGGCGGAGATATGACCATATGAATAAATAAGTTTCCCATTGGAACTCGGTTTTATATGCTCTGGTTCATAGTCATTAGGAACCACAGCAAATAACACCTATAGGAAACTTATTTATTCAGATGGTCATATCTCAGCCGATACGTTAACATATTCAATTGGTTTTTGGCTTTTGGAAATTATTTTTGATGCTCTTTCGGAAAATAAAGACAAAATTGAGAAATTCAAAAAATAGATTTTTATGACGTCACAGCTTCGGTACTCTATAGATCATTTGAGTGCTGCTAGTTCTCTAGTGTTATAGTATTTGGGCCCTGTCTTATAAACAGTTGCAACTATATGTATGTACATAATTAAATATAGGAGACTGTAAACTTTGGATTGATTGAAGGACTTGAGATTGATTAGGATCAATTGCAACTCTTCATAAAACAGGGCCAAGGTCTGCTGTTTGTTTGAGGGCGAGTCCAACGTATTTTGAAATCTCATTTTTGTTGTGATTGTTAGTGACAGGTATAATCGTTTCAAGAAACCTTCGCTAATTGCATTAATTCCATGTTCTGCAAGTTATGATTTCATTATTGCGAGGCATGAAACCCTTGCAACTCCCAACCATTCAAAAAGCTTACAAAAGTGTGATGCACTTAAAATGATAGGCTTGTACTTATTTCATGTCACATAGTAACCGAGTATGGTGACATCTGCTATAGAAAGACCTTGTCTTTCGTTTCCCTGAAAGTTAATTTCTATTTAAACCTGTTCAAAAGCAACCTGGGCCTTCTCCTGAAATAAGTCGAGTATTTACACACACACACACACACACACACTTGCGTGTAAGCGTGTAAAGTCTATGCAGAGATAGAATCCCCATGGTGCATTACACGCAATTAATCGCTACGTACAAAGTGAATGAGCTGTGGCTCGTTTGACAAGAATGGCACCATCTGTTTATAAAGGTCGAGTTCTGGGAAACGTGAAAAATAATCTGAACTATTGTGTTCTTTTAATGTTTCATAGCAAATTTGTTCCCTAAAAAGGATGGCTCTTCAAATGCCCTCATGTTCAAAACATGACAAGTAAGAGCTAAAGGTTGTGGACATGCACTTTTAGGTCACATGTTGTGTTTCGGTCTCTGGTTGGTCTCTTGTCGGCCCCGGGGCAGTGACTGAGGTGCATGTACAGTCGAATCTGCTTTAGCGACCACCGTTATAGAAAGACCGCCTGTCTATAAAGGTCACTTTTCTCGTCTCCTTTGGGTGGCCTTTATAAACAGGTTTCACTGCATGAGGGCTGCAGAATTCGACACTACAGTGTCTCAAAATGGGGAAAGAGGAGGAGGGAGTTATTTTTTAATTTTTTATATAAATATACATTTTGCCAATTTTGTTGAAATATCAGATATACATGTAAATGTTCACTTCTACAAAATTATGATTGAAACATTAAATGCAACAATGAATTTTAAATTAAATGTTTTGTGTAGCTTGTTTTGTGGAGTGTAAGAACTTGTACTTTTCAATACATTTAACATTCACTCAAATTATGAACACAGACAAAAGGATATTTTTTTGCATAAATAATCTTTGATCAAAATCATGAAGTGCATATACATGATAAAAATATGTATTTCACTATATTACAAATGTATATATTCTCCTCGATTTCCATGTGTGATTTATATAATTAGATATACCAGTACTGTTTAACGTGTTACACAAAAAGTTCAATATTAAAGGCATACGTGTATTAAGCTCTTTAAAAATATGTAAAATTTAAATTTAAAGAGAAGGTTGAGTTCTGGGAAGAGGTGAAAAAATAATTTGTGAGCATTATCATTCTTATAATGCAAGTGTGGAAGATCATCAGATAAGACATATTCCCTGAAAAGCATGGCTCTTCAAATGCCTTCATATTCTAAATATGTCATGTAACATCGTAAAACTCGGGGGGGGGGGGGGGTAGGATTTTTACGCCACGTGTTCGTGTAGTCCCATATACATCTTTCTGTGTACAGTATTTGTAACTTTACCAAGACTTGGCCAAATTTCTTATCATTTTGATGATTCCAGAACCTTGCAATACACACAAATTCTTATATGCTAGATGATCAACCTTTTCTGGTCGATTTCACACCGTTTCTTTCACAATGCAATCGCATGACCAGAACTCAACTTTATCTTTAAATGAGCTCATGTACCATTGGAAGAGCATTATCACATACAGGAAAACCTGTTTTAGCGACCACCTGTTTTTAAAGACCATACTTTGTTTCTCTTGAGCAGATATAACTCATTGGGTGTCCTGTCCACACTGGTTTCACTGTTCATAAACAAGAAATGGGTAATTCTTCACAATGAAAAATCTCAAAACTACAAATTATAATCAAATTACCCAAATCAACATGAAAATTAAATTTGGTGAATAATAAAAATAACAAATCTCCATGTATCAAATAAATTATAAAATTAAATAGATAAAGTTAAAATGGCATTTTACTATAATAGTTTCCATTTACCTTGCTTCATGACTTGTGGTTAACATTCCAAGAGCAGTTATTCCAAAAGCAGATATAGATAATAACAATATTTTAATGTTTACTGGCATGTTAACTGGCATCATAAACGGCATTAAAGCTTTCCTACACTGTAACTAAAACAAGCTTAAATGTTTCAACAGATGAAATTGATTGCAAAGGAGCACTTTCCCCCTCCATGCATGTAAAAATATTCCCAACACAATAGTCTGTCACTCACAAATAGTTTCTCCTTTTTTTCTCTTCAAATTCAAAGAAGAAAAAAATAGAGTGCATTGCAAATTTCTATTCCCAATCCTAATGATAAAACAAAGGAAAAACAAATGATAGTCTAGATGTATATGACTATGGGCATTAACACAGAGTTATGTACCGGTATCTATTAAAATAAACCATATTCTAAAATAAATTTATAAATTGCAAAATATTCTTGAGTTAAAAATTATATACCTGGTAACCTGATTTACTTTTCACTAGTGCTACCACCGTACAAAGTACAAATCGTGTCTTTGATAATACGTACTGTAAGTAGTATCGCTAAATACAAGAATAACTTTATAAGGTGTGATGGCTCATTGGAAGAACAGTGGTCCCATAACCAGGAGGTGCCGGATTCAAAACCAGGCCAGTGCCCTTTGGTAAGGCATTAATCGTCATTACCCTGGTTGCTTACTTAGCATTAAATGCTTTTTTAGAAGTCAGGTAAAACAAACCAGCAAATCAATCCATAATATAACCTTTTCAAACACTCCTAACAATAAGATTCTCTAGAATACAGATCAATTCATTGATATATGCTGATATGCTGATAAATCGTTGACATGAGCTATGAATAAACATCTAAATTTATCCTCTCCTTTCAAGAGATCTAATTGATATAAACGTAAAATCATACAACAAACCACATTTCATATCGATTTCCACAAAAATACAGGGCAGAATTATACATGCAAACTCACAACTGTGATATTTAACAAACATGTCAAGATGTATACATTTCAAATTCAATCACAACTTTGATGTGAAATACTAAAAATGAGATTATAAAGCCCCATGCATAAATCATTTTCTTGTCTGTTCAAAGCCAGAAGGACAGTTACTGTTAAATAATATGAGTTAATAATGCCCTTCTGGGGGTATTTAACAAAGCCTTTTTTCAATGACAAATGACAAAAATCAGTGACAATTCTGCTGATAACCAATCACCAGAAGCAAGGATTTTGGTAGCTTATAACAAAAACTGTCACTTTTCACTGATGACAAGTTTTGTGAAACACCCCCCCCCCCTGGATCTCAGAAGATTATCGTATGGTTTTACAATGTTCTTCAGAATCTAAATGAAATACACAAATTACATAATGCATTAATTGTTATCTTTTAATGCTTCCATGGTGATGATAGATTTGGGCAAGGTTATAGCTTTTCAGGGCCAACTAACCCTGTCAAAAAAATATGTGGTGTAACTGCAAACCTCGCTCAAAACACGTTATATTGTAAACCATTTCATGTTCTAATTTAGAGTAGAATTATTTGTAGAACATTTTTCCACACACACAAAAAAAAAAGTAAAGGGAGAGTTTATTTTTGTTGTTTTCGAACCTACATGTCATTGCACATAGTCTTCCTAATCTGATTCTTATCTCAACGTTGTATAGAAAAACATAATCTCATTCTTCAATTTTCTGCCAAACATGCACATGACCACAATTCAACATGCACCCTTTATGACCTTTGACCTTCCTTTCTTCCTGTCCATGGTGCATTACTTAAGGATATCCGCCCATAGAATCTTCAACATGTTGTTTCCATGAATAATATGACAAGACATGGTTTAAAGGTACCATGTCCCTTTTGCAGCCAACAACAAATTCTGTAGAACTTTGCAGGAATTATGAATACCGGTATGTCATGTATGTCCTATCTGTGAATTTAAACATTGGCAGTGTCCTAGTATTCAAATGAGGCAAAGAAACCCATTTACTTTCTAGATTTCACTATCGTACACTATTGAGTGACCGACTGACATTTTTTTTTCTTTGGTAATAACATACATTAAATGAACTGTAACAGGTAGGCCTACATGAGCATTTCTCTACATCAATAACCCTCGACTTATAATGGCAAAAATTAAACTGACTGTATCTTTGTGCAGCACAAAACTAATGGTCGTTATTTCTCCACTAAAAGCTATTTTCAAGCCCTTTGTTTTGAGGGAAGTTCTAAATAAGTATTGTCTTCCAAATGCTGTTGGAATTTAACCTTTTCATTTTTTGGGCCTGCAAATGGGACATAGTACCTTTAACAGTGGAGGATCCAGGATTCTCTGGCGTACGAAAGGGGGCAGGGCAACAAGTTTGAAAATAATGCAACAAGAAAAAAAAAAAGGGGGAAAAAACAACAACAAAAACAGGAAAGATGTGTCGAGTGTAAATAATTATGTAGACATAACACCTTATCTGGCATTTTTTAAAGCCCTAACATAGAAAGAGAAGGCAGTTTCGGGAAAGGTAAAAACTAGTTTGTGAGCTTTTTCATTCTTTTTATGTTAGTGTTAAAGAGTATCATAAACAAATAAATTCCACTGAAAAGGGTGGTTTTTCAAATGCCCTCATATTCGAAATATGACTAGACCACAACTTTCATGCTACACGTTTGTAATTTAGTCCCATATATACACATTTCTATGAACAGTGCATGTGACTCATAACAATATTGAGCCAATTTTTATAATCCTGATGATCCCAAAACCTTGAGTATAATACTTCTGCACTACAAGATCAACCTTTCTGAAAGTTTTTTTTTTCCATTGTAATTGCATGACCAGAACTCCACCTTATCTTTATCAGAATGAATTGCAGGTATTCATAAATATCAGTTCAATATTTAACAATGTTGAAAGGCACATATTTATATCCTAGTTTAATTATAGCTCATGCTTTATACACATGAAAATTCCCCCCCCCCAAAAAAAAAAAAAAAATAAATAAATAAATAAATAAATAAATAAATAAATAAAAAAAAAATAAAAAAAATAATAATAATAAAAGTAATAATAAATTAAACAAAAAAAAAATTAAAAATAAATTAATTGATTTATTCATACAAAATAAATTACCTGGAGACTTGCACTATAAACTCTTTAAAAAGAAAAACATTACCAATACATAGAAACACATACATGTATTACATATTACCGAGTTGTCATTTTTAAACAATATGAATACAGAAGTTGAAATTAATTAAGTAGCCTTCACAAGAAATTTTTTTTTTTTTAGATATAATAATTGATAAAAGAAAGTACTTTTTTGTTTTTTTCATGGTTCTTACACATGTGCCTTAACCAACCTCAATAAGAAAATGTGTACACCCACACACAAACAAAAGATCACTGCAAAAATTATTTACTTACCTAAAACTGCTTAAAAAAGGCAAAGAACACGTATATATAAATTACTTTACGGTACCGGTAATTAGAAAATCACAATAAAATGGAAAATAAACTTCTGGAATCGTGCAACCACGCAATTCAATGCAATATATTATGTAAAGGTTTAAAATATATGTGAGTCACTAAAAAGATTTTTTCCTCCAACTAGAATGAAAGCAATTTCAGCTGCTCAACTGATTGAAACCAATTTTAGAGTTATTTACCAACTGGATTTGGCAAGTACATTATTAGCACACATAGCTGCATTTATCCTGGCTGTGTATTTAAGCTTTTTTTTATTGATTCTCAACATTTCAAACACCACTACAAAACTCAACTGAGTTCACTAAAAATCAGTACTTTAGTGACAATTGAGGACACCTAAATAGCATTAAAATACAATTTTGTCAACTTACTGATGTTAAAAAGAATAATTTAAAACTTCAAATTGTAAGTCTAGTGTCAAATTTTCCGATCAGCCACATTGGTTCTATTGTGTGCAGTCTATGCAATAGTGTGTGGTGTGTGTATTTGTGTATTATACCTGCCTCTCAGCAAGTATACAGCGCTAGAGGTCAATACGCATTAGCATTGATCCTATGCTTTGCTGGAGTGCATTATTAGTAGTATTATTACATCACTATCAACACTTTCATAGCTTTCTTCACCTCACTGCACGGTCGCTTGGTTGCCATGCGTGCATTTTTGCACACAACAGTTGGCCCCAATTGAGGGAAGGACTGCTTTGTGCAACACATTGGCATTGCAAAATTTACTCATCAACCGTCTTGATTAGCTCCATGACAACCCTTTTCACACCGGTAGAGATTAAATTCTTCTACTGCAAACAGTCTCAATTAATCAAGAAGTTTTTGGTATATCGTATTTATCCCACAATCCCAATTTTGCAATGTGAACCATGGAGATTATTTCTGTTGCATGTAAAGAGTTAAGCAACCTAAAAATTGGTTTTGAGATGGATCGTTATATTATGGTCACATCTGTCAGAAGTTATTTATAAGTAAAAATATCATTAAGACTTCAGTTAAGAAAAGTACATTTAAAAAAATATAAATAAGTATAAAGCTTACCTTACGGCACTTGATTTTGAAGAATAGATAGTTTTATATAATTATTGACAAATAAAATGGATTGAACTCTTCTGGAATCAACCTTTTATTACAAAGCACTTTTATTTTTTTAGTTTACCGGTATTCATAAAAGGTCTGTTGGTATTCGCATGGACAGCCATTCAACAAGTTACTGGTGAGCTTATGTACTTATCTTTTATGTAAGGAATTCATAATACGAATACCAACAATTGGTGACCCCATGACGTGATGCGTCAAAACAAAAGTGCGCTTGAAATTAAAACTCCTCCTCGGATAGCACAGGCAATGAATGATTTTACAATGTGAGATGATAACCAATGGATCTTGGTGATAATTGCTGCTGATAAAACATAATGTAGTGTAGATGAGTTGTAATATACAGTTGCATGTGACTAGCAGAAAAATCTTGCTTCTAGGGTGAAGTCCTTCTACTTAGATGGTGCACATGGAATGAATCTAGAAAATTGTGTCATATCCTTTTTTCCAGACTGTCTCTTGATTGGCCAGTTGTTGCCATGACACAAAAACATCTACTAGGGTACAGTAGTGAAGGTATTTCAACAACAGGTGAGCTTGCCTGATTTATATTCCATTGAGTCACAATGTTGAATAGGCTGACCAGCAGTGAACAATAGAGATGATTTCAAAAGGAATTGCTGGTCTGTCGATTATGAAAGGCAATTGAAGGTTGCGTAGTAAAATCAGCTGACAATTGTAAACAAACTGTAATGAAGTGCGAATGTTTAGAATTGATGATAATTTCGCTACAGCTCAATGTAAATAAAGATTTCAAATAGAAGGTCTGTAGTGAAATGCAGACATGTTCATATGAACATGTATCATCTTCTGTGAATTAGAAGGGTTTTTAACTAATCATGATTCATGAAATACATACAGGAAAAGAAGAGTTTTAATACAAATTTTTTAACATCGATGCCCTAATTCAATAATAAATAATTAGACCAATTTATATGGGGCAACTACTATATACATATATATTATATACTCTACTGCGCAGTGTTTCTCAATCTTTAAATCCTCTTTCTGTAAAAATTATACAGCACCGTCCAAAAGCCAAGACACAAGAGGTTTTTCGATGAATAAGTGTGTGAGAGAGACAGAGACAGAGACAGACAGACAGAGAGAGAGAGAGAGAGAGAGAGAGAGAGAGAAAGCCGAGAGAGACAAATTGATATTACATAAGAATTCAGTCAATTAATTCATGCATTATACCCATTTACAAATTGCGTAGAAAAATATACAATGGTTTTCAATATCAGCAAATGTTGCGTGAATTTCATTAACCATTTGCTACTCCACAGTACTGAACCATCTCTTATAAGAAAAATGTGATTGATTTAATCAATGACAATCAATAACAAATAGCACAATTGCAAAGTCACAACTGCCTATTTCTAACGTTAGGAGTTGCAACTAGTATCAGACACTTGTAGAGTCATGATCTATTCAATGGGGCCCTCAATGTTCCCTTTTCTCAACAATACCCAAAACTTGGAAGCTTATACACATCATCAAATTGCACTTGTAAACTTGTAAAGCTACAGGAAGATAGAAATGCTGATAATTTAATTCTCGAGGCATTCTCTGGTTGTTTGACACTTGCTCCTGTGACAATTGCTCCACTTTGAATAAAAAAATTAAAACACCAACTCTTAACTTATGAATAATAAAATATAGCCCGGAGCAAACACCACAGGAACAAATGCCCAGTCACTCATATACGACGATCTAAGCCTTGGATTATCTTGCCTTCGTTTTCAATCTCTTGACCGGGCCTTCGCTAATGCGCTCCATTATCTTTGTCAGAGACGGGAGGGGCCACTCGAACTCGTTCGGAACGATGCCATCGACGTTCGCCTCGAAAAATGAGAACATGGGGAACCACACCCGCACCCTAGAGTCGCCCTGCCAGAGGGCGCGGTTGTTGGCGAGGGTGTGGTAGTAGAGGAAAAGGCGCGAGGTGATGTAGAAGGCGATGAAGACGTCGATCGTGTAATGCTCGTGGCCGGCCAGGATAAAGAAGATACCAAACAGGTTGATGACCCATGTCGCCGTGTGTAGGATGTGGAACTTCCGTGGGGAATCTGAGAAATAAGCATGTAGAATATAATAATAATAATAATATTGGATATTTATTTAGCGCACATATCCACCATGCATGGTGCGCAAGGCGCTCCAATATTACCCGGGCTCTGCTAGGCAGCCGATTTTGGCGCTCACAGCATTCAAGAGACAAATCGTATAAATACAGGCTTGATAACATCCAAAATCAGTGGTATTTTGTTACGACATGGAGAAAATAATGAGGTGAACCTGTATGGCTTCCTATTGTGAATATAAGATACTACATAGCAGTTCCAATTGAATAGGTATCACAAACAAATTCATTTTTATGTACATAAATTATACCTTTGAAAAGAAAATGTAACTGATATTCATACATCTTTATTTTTCTTGTCAATATTATTGTCAAGATAATATTGACAAGATATAACAGGAAACCAGCATGCAGGGCTCATTTCCTCTTTCATGAGTTGTAGATCTATAGTAGAGGTCAGACTTGCAAATATATTCCAGACAAAATAAAGCCATACATCTCTTTAAATTGCCAACTCAAGAACTACTTGGTTATTAGGTAGCTAGCTTGTCATCTGAGAAAATGTCTCCAGCTGGAAAACTGGTATCAATTCAAAATCATGTGAGGGAAATGGGATCAAAAGAGGTTTCCTCTGTGTAAAGGGTTTTGCATCAGAAACAAAGCATTTCACATTGATTCTTTTGAAAACTGTTGAAGTGAAGTAAAACCAGCGTAGAAAATGCTCCATAGGCTTGTACACACAATATCACAGGTATGTATATAGAGTTGCGACGCCACTTCGTCTGCATAATTTCGTTGATGTACAAATTGAGATCAAGAAGTGATCCTGACAAAATAAAGCAAATATTGACTACTTATTTTTTACTTTCAGGTTTCTTCGTCTAAATCTGTGTAAATCATTCTAAAATTTAACTGTGAAATAAAGTAAAACAAAAAATCTTGATCATGCATGACAGAGGAAACTTAACTGAATGCCATGTACAGTACTGCGCAATGTCGATTGAGAGGGGCTTAAAGGGATTGGGTATCTTTGCCTCAGATTCTAAACATAATTCTAGATTTAGCTAATGCTGCAATCATAATTATAAACCTTTAGGTCAGTCAGGACCCCCTTGACTTTATCAAGCCAATCACCTGTCTGATTAGCAAGATATATTTCCGATTGGAAATCGAAATTTCAAATACCGTTTTCCCAACAGTTTTTACAACACTACAGTCTATTGGAGAAAATGAGTATGGTAAAACCAGCCACTCAAAGATTTTCTCTTTTTGAGGCACTTCATGATCATTTTGAAGCACCATTTTTTAGGGCTTCAATATTACACATCACAGATACTGATAATATGTAGGGCCATGCGTCTCAGATTTAACATTATTAAACGATGCCTTTAAAAGAAGGACTTGTTTTGGCTAGAATGTTTTGGCTAGAATGTGTGCCTAGGAGGGAAAAAGAATACTGCTTTCCTATATCCTGATAAAGCCAATAATACCACGACAGCTCAACTTACATTCTGTGATGAAGAAGTTGGCGAGCGTGATGCAGCTCGTATGTCCACTGAACATATAGTCTCCGCACGTGTGGACACCGGTCAAAGACATCCCCAAACCTGACCAGATCTCTAAAGCTCTCACCAGCTTGTCCCACACAGTACCATAAACCTAAAGAAATCAAAGTATTACGGATACGAATGGTTAAACAAATATTTTGTGACGTCGAAAATCATAACAATAATAATAGAAAGATTAAACAAGAACTTACCCTTTGAAGTTTGATCTTTATATTATGAGTGTCGAGGAAGAGATTAGTCTCTTCAACAAGACATACAAAGTAAAATAACAATTTCAGGCTTATATGTTGCATAAATCTCTATGCCCTTAACAAATAGCAAAAGGAAAAAAAAACATATATCTAATAGTTGCTTAGACAAATAAGGGACTTAATTATCATTGATTAAAGGTAATACAAAGTTTTGGTATGGGGTCATGAATTTGGTTCAAATAACATATTGGAAGCATATGCAATCCGACAATATTCAATGATTGCTGTCGCGGTTAAAATATAGTCTCAAGTTATGAAATTGTAAATAATAAGCTTTTATGTTGTATAGCTCCCTCTCAAGGTCAAGATAAGAATTAAGCTATAAAACAATGGTTCATGACTAAAATTGACCGATCAGCTATTCCCGTTTGGAAATTATATATCACAACTACATATTCTGAGATTTTCATGGTCGCAGCTACCATTGTACGGCCGTAGTCGCTATTTGAAATCTATCCAAATTTACTGGGAGCACCGGTAAATTTTTATAATCAATTTTTCTCGAAAGCAGAAGTATTTCAGGGGCTAAATTTTCTAATGTTTATAATACATCCACAGAGGCATCTAAATATGTCAAAATTGTGAAGAATCACTATCCACCCAATTTTAAAAATTTCCCAAAACTTTGTATTACCTTTAAGACAAGAATAGTAATTTACCATGACAACATTTGGAATAGTTACACAACTTAATTACATTGTATATAAGAATTAAGAAAGTATGACATTACATAAAGATCCTAAATACATCAATTATAAAGCTGATGACTGCTGTATTGCTACTTATCATATCGATAAATGAAAGTGTTATGATGATGATGAAAAGGGTAAAATGCCACCGTTGCTATAGCAACTCTGCCGTTAACGATGCCCATGGTCATACAGCCGATTAATGATGATGTTGAACTCACCTTAGCTGAGCACTGTAGATGAATGCCAGGGACAGAGAGTGATGTAACAAACATTGTCACACACCGGAGTAAAAACACTGTCCCAGTGATAGCAAAGAGACGTCGAACAACAATGCTCCTGTGTAGCAAGCAATAGGGATGACAAAAGAAAATTAAATAAAGTACACAAGGAAGGTCGTCTTGGTTAAAGAGAAGGTTGAGTTCCGGGAAGAGGTGAACAATAATTTGTGAGCGTTATCACTGTTATCATGCGAGTGTGGAAGAACATCAAATAAAAAATGTTCCCTGAAAAGCATGGCTCGAATACCTTAATATTCTAAATATGGCACTAGGCCAAATTTCTTATCATTTTGATGATTACAGAACCTTGCAGTACACACCAATACTTATATGCTAGATGATCAACCTTTTCTGATCGATTCCACAACGTTTCTTTCACAATGCAATCCCATGACCAGAACTCAACTTCATCTTTAATAGTTCAGCGCGAAGCAATCATCGTGGTGATGGTGATGATGATGGACAAACTTTGAAATACTATCCAGTATGAGCAGGTCACCTAAGATGTTGTATTGTCTACAGTATTGCAGCATCTGTTGCAGGCATGAGAATCTCCCGTGTTTCCATGGTTTCCAGATTTATTTAGGCCAAAATATGTCCTCTCTGAGTTCAACGTGAATCCGGTTTAAAATTTGGGGGGTAGAGGTGGTGCAGGGTGATGTATTTTGTATGATGGACGCTTCTATCCCAAGACCGTGCTGATCAACTATGGCATTCTCGGTTATGAATTAATGTATTTCAATAGTCATTAGATTATATTTAAGTTGTCATTAGATTGTATTTCAATAGTCATTAGATTGTATTTCAGTTGTGATGCTGAGCAAAGCAAGTAAGCTTTACGGCAATCATCGTTAACAACTGCAGTAGAGAAAAGCATTAAACTTTATGGACTAGTAGTTTAAGCCTTAAATATTTGTGAAGCTTTTGAAACAATAACTTGTACTTAAAGGAAGAATGCCAATTTACTGGGAAGTGTTCCAAAAAATGAGGGCCCGGTTTCATAAAAAATTGTCATCGATAACAAGTAGCAATAGCTACTGAAATTGATGCATTTGATTGGCTGAGAGCAATTTTTTATAGAAATGGGACACTTGTTAATGATAACAAGTTCTATGAAACAGGGGCCCCAGGACCTATAAATTTCAATGATAATATATGTCATAATAGAAGGAAATGTAAAGTGCTTTTTCCCCCAGGCAACACAAATTCTGAATACTGAAAACCCTTGAGAAGAAATATTTGAATACCTATGTTTATGAAGAAAGAGTACTAGGCAGCAGAGAACTGACAGAATAATACCACAGAGTTCACAGGCTTTGAACGCCCAAGGTATCAGAGGAACACTGTCCAGGATTATGTCTGGCAAGGGAGGGTACTTCTCCATATCAGGCACTCGATCGTGAACGATAGTCATGACAAAAGCAGTGAGAAGAAACACCGCAAACACGTAGATGAAGCTTAGGATTGTCTTGAACACCTCAGGTTCTAATCTTGTCGCGAGGTGCCTCTTTGGATAATCTACCTGATCCTCTCCCGTATGTTGACGGTCAGGTGTCTGAGCAGTGACTGGCGTCGTTGTCGGGGCATGACCGTTCGACATCTGTCCGTTGTTGCCATTTTGATGCTTTAAGAGATCAATCTGGCGGATCAGACGCTTGATGTCTCCAAGCACTTTCATGGAGACGGGGGGACTGCGCAGGTCAGCTTCGGTCAGTAGTAGCAGTGCTTGACCGTCTATCGTGTGGTTGGTGCATAGCTGACGAGCGTACTGACCGAATCCTTTGGTGGATAACCACTTGGCCACATCTTTGCAGGTCCAGGATTCAACGTCCATGGTGGGGGCATCAAGCCTACAATGAATTTTAAAACAAAATAGCGATATGGGTTTTCACAATTTTTATGTATCACATTCTTTTCACTTGGTTATGATAAAGCAATAAAATCAAAACAAGCATCCGACCGCACCCGACGGTCGGGTGCAGGCATGCGCGTATGTTAAGTTAGCGACTGTTATTTTAGTTTACTGTCGCTAACTGAACTCACGCGCGCGCCCGCACCCCACTGTCAGTACGGTATGCAATTGTATTTTGCTGCAGTTTGCCATGAATCCCTTGAGAAAGCGCATATTAATAGTCTTCGTTTTTAGGAAAAAATACTCTGAAAAAGATAAGAAAATTGACACGAAACAGATAAAAAACATATTGGCTTTTAAATCATGACCTTTATTTGGACATTTGATGAATATTTACTTTATTTTGGGTATGTTTTATTTATAGGGTATATCTCCACGCCGGAGTTACGGGTCAAAGTTTGGATAGACTTCTGAACTAGTGCCCCATAACCTACTATCTACATCTATAAGTACTAGATCTATAAACAGCTCAGCATGATCAGACAAAACAGATTTTTTACTTTACTCTAGTTTAGACTTATCACTAATTAGTTGACACAGCACTGACGTGACAGCTTTCTCACACTCACAGTCACACAATTGATTCACAGTTTTCAGTTTAATATCGTGGCTTGTAAGTTATTTCTTATTTATTTCACAATGAATACTTACCAAAGTCAGAGAAATTACAGTTGATCAGCAGCACTCACTGTCACGAGCATCAAAATGTCTACTTGCAGAAAACAATGCCGTACTAGCTGTGATTGCATGCTGCATGCATGCATGTATGGATATGCATATAAACCTACATGTGCATGCATATATGGTTGCAGTGAGTAGTGTATGCGCTGTTTGTGGCTATCAGCTGGAGCATTGTTTACGAAGCTCGTCGACGTGGTGCAAAAGTGCGACGACATTGCGCAATAAAGGGCAACAAACTTTTGAAACCAGGTCGAGAAGTGGGAGCGAACTTTTGCCGTCACTGAAACTTGGTATTTCATGGCTTGAAATACTAGAAAAATATGAGAGTTTATATGAAGACATAATCATCATATAATGTCATAATATCATAATCTAGCTTAAAATAAATGTCTTTAAGAATGCCAGTTCGCAATTATAGACCCATTATATTGTTGTCAGTGGCGGTTCCAGGTGAGGGGGGGGGGGGGGGGGGGGGCTCCCTCCGGCCTGGTGATCAATAGGGAGGGGTGCGGTCTTCAAAGGGGCAAAAAATGATTGAGCAAAAAAAAATAAATAGTGCTTACGTCATGAATTTGGTTCAAACAGGGATCCAGGATTTCTTAGGGGTGGGGGCCCAATTTTTTTTCTTTTTTCCGAAATTTGAAAATCGCGCTGGCCGAAAATTCACTCAGTTGGGGGGGGGGGGGGGGGGGGGGGAGATTTTCATGGTCGCAGCTATTATTGTACGCCGTATATTTGAAATTCACCAAAATATACCGGGAGCAACCGTAAATTTGTAAATTCAATATTTCTCGAAGGTAGAAGTGTTTTAGGGGCTAATTTTGTTAGTGCTTATAAACACTAATTAAAAATGATTCCACTATGGCCATCATTTCTTTTACTCTCCATCTCTGTCTCTTTCTCTGCCTCTCTCTCTGTCTTTTTTTTCTCTTTCTGTTTTCCCCCTTCTTCTGTTTGTCACTCTTATCTCTCATTATTATTTTCTTCATGTATCATCCTCATCTTGTCATTCTGCTACTGCTACTTTTTCTGATTTGTTTTTATTGTCTGTCATATTTTTTGATCCAGTAATTATTTGCGAACCTACACCTAACAAGCATTGCTTTCATTCAAGTAGGTTCGTTTTTTTCATCATTTCCTGCAACCAAATCATTTTGCATTACAATGACCAAAACAATGTCAAAGGTATATCAATGCTCATTTCTGTTATATCATTACGTTTATTATATTGTCTGTCATTGTTTATATAAATGAAAAATAAATTCGCTCTGTATAGAGCTACTACTACACTACTACATTCACAGGGGCATTCAAATATATCAAATTTGTAAAGAATCACCATCCACCCAATTTTCAGAATTTCCCAAAACTTTGTATTACCTTTAACTTGAAATTTGACAACATAATTCATTACACTTTCAAAATTAACCAACCAACCTAGCTAAAACAGCGCATAACCCATTTTTTATTAGGAAAATACGTTTTGATGCATGGTGGCACCCGATCTTTTCCTCCATATTAATATGTTCTTTGTTTTTGTTTGGAGATAACACAGCAGTATATTTAAAAATAAAATAAAAAATCGAAAAATTTATATTAATTCACGTCTCTTAGTATAAATACAAATGGATTGAAAGATGAATCAGGCAATTTCCAGAACTCAACTTCCAATTCAATAATAATGATAATAAGAGATTATAAGACCTTGTTGCGTGGTATTAGGCCTTTGTTTGCGAGCGAGCGAAGTTAACGAGCTTTGCTAGTAAAAAGTGAATTTTGAAAGTAATAGGGGTCTACCGGTAATAATCATTTTGGGCATTGAATATGACTTACCAACACATCTTTTGAAGAACATGCTATCCGAGTATGCATGTCCAGCATAAATTATGATAATGGTAGATGACAAATTATATGACAGCAATTAAAGCAGTGCGATCGAAGCCTGTTATAAATTCAATCGACCTCTGGGCCCCGTCTTAAAAATAGTTGATAATTATTAATCGCAACTGTGTAAGAGATAGAAGACTGCTTATGATTGATTTGGATCAATCGGAACTCTGTGTAAGATGGGATCCTGAAGAACAAGAAAGATGAGAGGATGAATGGATTATGATGAAGGGGAGATGAAGAAGTCAAAAATGTAGGGACGAGAAGGAAATAAGAAAAAGAAAAACAAGAACCGAAAAAGGCATTTTAGCTATGATACTTAATGTTGACATTTTCTAAATGAATTCATGCAATATTGGCATGTATAGTTTAGTCAAAATTTCTTGAAAAGCGGCAAAACACATGCTTTAATTGCATTGCTGGGGGTGGGGGGGGGGGGGGGAGCAACTGCCCCAACCCCTATCAGTAATAACATCAGTGACATTCTCATATTAGCGACGAACCAAAATAATACTCTGTTTGTAAATGCTCTTCAAAATCTTCAACAATTTTCGATCGGATTGGGGTCTCTAAAAATTAATTGATTCATGTCCAATCTCACCACTCTTCTGTAAAAACAACTTGTTTGATTATAAACATCCCTCCTTTCTATATCTCCCACCCCCTCTCTCGATCTCTCTCTCTCCCACTCTCTCTTTCTTTCAATAGAAGAATTTGAAAATATATAATAAACAACCACTTGTTTTGTCTTACTTCGAATATCTACGATCATAACAAAAAAATGTCTTTTATACATATCATTATCAGATTGATGAGGGAGGGAGGGAGGGAGAGAGAGAGAGAGAGAGAGAGAGAGAGAGAGAGAGAGACAGAGAGAGAGAGAGAGAGAGGGAGAGAGACACGTATAGTTAGAATAAAAGGAAGAGGCATTGAACGATAAAGTGAGAGAGAATATGAAAAAAATAATATCAAATAACATAAGTGGAGAAAAGGGTGTGAACATTTGTATCAGGGATATGAGAGCTAAAACACCTCCCTGCATTGTTTGTATCAATGAAAGCAATTAAGGAACAACTTTATAATAATATTGGTGGGGATTAAGTTAAGCCGGAAGGGACAATAAACAACACCAGAACACAGGTCGAATTGCTTGTAGCAATTAACACCTTCGTCGGGAGATGGTAATTTCTAAGAGATTATTTGCACAGTGATGCGAGTTAATCCCCACGTTCACGTTTTTGTTATGTAATCAAGCTCTGGAAGAGGGTAGTCTTGTTGATCATGAGTCTTGAGTGCATGCTTTACTGAAACAACGTCACTCGCAATCGTTTGTTTAGGCCCGCATGCATCTATAGTGGTTTTTGCTCATCATTTCGGCCAGGTATAACGTGTAAACATGGACACAATTGATAAGGTTATGGAAGCTTCAGAGGAAGGAACTGACTTAGATGCAGCTTTTCAGCAGTACCAGCGCCTGGTGAGTGTTTGTGTTGCATTCTTATTTCGTTAGCAGTTAAATATCAGCTTGGACTTTGACCGAAAAGTTCCGTCTCTTTCGTTCGTTAATGAGCCTCTGCATGATTTGGGTAGGGTCGGCTACTAGCTCTCGGTCTACAGGTACGATGTGGGCCATGCGGCTGCGGGAAGATGGGGTCGTAATTAATGAGAAAGTTCTTTGCTAAGAAATACTTATGCCTAGAGATTTTCATTATGTATTGTTCTCATGCGTATTACAGGTTGTCACATACATTATCATCACCAGTCAAAGGCATCATCATCAATGCTTATATACTTTCTTTTGTGCAATTCACTTTATTATCTGCCGTTTTCTATAGCCACACTTTAATTTAAACTCTTCAGTCCGACTTGAAATTTTCTTATCTTTTAGTTTGTTTTAATTTTGTTTGATTTTATCATACCAGTGCAAGTATATCACTTGTCTTGTTTAATTCATACATTTAATTATATTCCCTTGCTTTATTTGGATCATTTAAATCCAAGCATGAATTTTATGTAGGTTTTTTCTTCAAACTAAAACGTGTTCTGTTTTATTTTTATTTCTAGTAGTAAATAACTGTGTATTATGTATTGTGTATATGTTTTTATTTGTTGTCGTAATTTTTACCATGTACTTTGTCACTGCCTACAGGGCTATAGCTCCTTTGAAAAGCAGGCATTGTGGCTCTTAAAGGACTACCCTGTATTTTTAAAGAAGAATGAATAAATAAATATATAAATAAATAAATAATCTTGGTATCCCTGTATATTATAGCCAAAACATTAACAAACAAAAATTGAGAGGGGGGGGGGGGGCGGCGGTAGCAGCCGTTCCACACACTATAATTTAGTTCACTGCCCCGTCACCCTACAAACGTACAAAATTTAATATGCGGCCTAGTCATATATAGTTACGATAATGGTAATAACTAATAACAAATATTTTGAATAATAGGGCCTGGTTGCATATAATTATAGGATAACAAAATTATGTGCCGTAATTTATACTGTGAGGGAGCGAAACGAGCGAGCTTTGGCAAACTATTGCAAGTAAAAAGTTATTTTTTTAAGCAGTAGGGGCCTATATACCTGACATAATTTGGGGCATTGAATATGGACTTCCAACACATTTTTTGGAATAAAATACTATATCTCAACATTGACCAAAAAAATTATCCGATCTACGATTTCAGATGGTATGCATATAGTACATGTAGGTGCAGAAGAATAGTGATGGTAGATGAAAAATTAAATGATAGCAAGAGCAACCGTGATGCGTAGGAAGCTTATCAGAAATTTATTATACCAGAAAGAAAAAGACAGGAAGAGGATGAATGCCAATTTCCTGACACTGGAAAATGTGGAAATACATTCAAATTTTCAAAGTATAGTTTAATAATATTTACATTCATGAATTTTAATGGGGGCGGCCAGGGGGGAGCTATGCCCCATGCGGAAACGCCATGGTGCTGATATAAAATCACCATTGTTGTTGTTGTTGTAACAATCTAATTACCATAGTTTGCCATAGAACAAATCTTGTTGAACTTTGTTTGAAGTTCAAATTGTACATGCTGGCAAAATTAATGTTTCCAACCAGTGTTAAAATTTATTACTCCATAATGTTTAAATTCACACAATCTAGTAATCTACTTAAATTTCTTTTCCTATCCGACCCTAAATTTCAAAAATTGTTGTCTTCAATATCATAGGTTTGACACAAAATGTGCCCTATTCCATGGGAAAGTGCCCCTTTGTCCCCCCCCCCCCCCACATGGATACAACCATGGTCTGTAATAACAACATTTTTTCCTTCCAAACTCATCATCTCTTTCATCAGACCAGCACTACTGCTGACTGCAGTGGTGTTGCAACAGCAGCAGGACCTCTGGCAAAGAAGCCTAAAAAGGGAAACGGTGAAGGAGGAAGAGGGAGAAAACGAGGAAGAAGGCAGAGAGAAGGCAGCAGCGACTCATCGACCCATGGACCCAACCGAGCAAGTCGCGGCGGTGATCGAGCACCGGTGGGGAGAGGGAGTAGGAGGGTACCTCTCGCACTTCACATCGTGACACATGGTGACATCGCCGCCCAAATAAATGAGTTCATGACGACAAAACTCAAGGTCAGCATTTCACGAATTTGTATTAGAAAAAATGTAGGCCTACATGTTCCATAAACACAATAGTGATCATTCTAAACATATTGAGTCGAAAATAATATTTTAACAAGTGCATGATTTGGGTACATTTTTTTTTTTTTTTTTTTGTGGGGGGGGGGGGGGCAACTATCTGTCGTCTGCTGCCTGAACTTTACCTGCAGCTCATATCAGTCTGAATTCGAGCTCCTTGATAATTCATTATACAAAATATTGATGTGTGTACATGTAAATATGAGAGAGTACTAGTAATAAGAAGATATACCGGTAATTTGCATATTTCTTGTTCTCAAATGAGATTTTCATTTCTCTTGCAGGAGATTATCTCTGGAATGGAAAGAGCAGAAGTTGAGGCTCTGCTACTCCGGGAAGTGGACAGGGATCCTGACATGATGTTTGATCTTATAAATAATCTATAAGATCCACAGCGGCCAGGCCCAGAAGATCCGATCCAGGAAGAATTGTTTAGGATTTGATAGAAGTCATAGAACCCAAGCGTAACACCTATTTCACACTTTCCAACTCAGTTTTTTTTTAAACTCAGTATTCTTATTAAATTTCCAGTATTGGTTACATAACTTACATTCACTTTGTTCCATGTTGATGAAATGGCAAAAAAGTGAAAAACACAATTAGAAATCCAAATCTTTACTAGGCTACAACAAACACTACCAACTTTATTCCACAATAATTTATCTGTATATTCAACTAGAATTTAAATTGGTGCTTGTGCACAAATATCTCAAGTGACCTACAGTCGTCCATGCTGCCCAAAACAGTACCGGTATATGCTCACAACCTTAAGTTAAACGTGTTCTACCATCAGAGCAGTACTTATATCACTTCTTGTTCTTCTTTCTTACTTCAGTAAAAGTCAGAGCTATATTATATAAGGCTCACAGAAAAAATACTGAGTATAACATACATACAGATATAGCTTGTCATACCTTAATTTTGAAAAAGTATAGTTGACCATTCCAGTGATACAGGGTGTAGTAACAATCTCATTTTCACGTTATTTATGATAATATTTATATATGAAACCATACTAATCATCTCCTTACTTTAAGCTAGTAACCTGTGTAAATTGTATATGTAAGAGAGGAGTATGCCAAATCTACTACAACTTTTCTGTTCTGAACTTGTTCTAAACATTATACCCTGCATCGTTCTTGCATCACATTGAAGAAAAAAAAAGGTGCCTTTATGTACATTTCCTAAATGAAAATAAATTGGTTTATTACTCCAACAATGCTGTTATTATTTGTCACGCATAATTAAAAAACAACATTTGATTCACATACCGCCTTGATACCTACAATGTATACGTTAAACTATCTAGTGTATACAATGTGTATATTAAACAGAAATATAATTCTACCAGAACTGTTTTTTTTTTATCTGTTCAAGACATTATACCATACATCGTTCTTGCCACACGAAGAAAAACAAGTACCGGTACTAACATGTAAATGTTTTAAATAAAAGATAAAAAACCATATACATCGTTCTTGCCTCATATTTTTTGTTCTATTTTTCTTTACATACCTAAATGTTTATGTTAAGCTGATATCTAGTGTATATCAAAGATATAACAATCTACGAGAACTGATTTTTTTTTCTGTTCAAAACATTATACCTTAAATCGTTCTTGCCTCACAAAGAAAGACAAGTACTAACCTGTAAATGTTTTAAATAAAAGATATTGATTTTTTATATTGCATCAACAAATTATAGGGTAGCGCCTGGTAAATTAGAAAAAAGGGAGGAAATATCACAAGAAGAAAATTACGTCGAGCTGTAGTGTTACGGACTTGTGGATGTTTCTGACTGGTTTTAAGGACTGTTTGACCAAATATTTTGAGCTTGTTGATCACTGATTTATTGTGGTAATCCATAATTTCCATTCTCACTAATCCTATAATCAATCTCCACTTTTTATAGTTATTGCCATCGCCCCCTTCCTCTCTTTTTCTCATTCCCTCCTTCTCTTGTTTTTGTTATCATCCCTCTCCCTTGAAGCTCCTTCTTTCTCCCATTTTCTCTCTCCTCTGTCCATATCTTAATATTATTTAATCTATCATTTTACATCTCTCTACTTGTATCTGAGTCCATCGTTCTGCTTTCTGGTTTTCAGTTAACATATATCATATTGCTGAATAAGGCCTAAAATAAAAACTTGTTGTATTGCCCCCTTTTTTTAAAAACCGTTTTTTTAGATTTTTTTTAAATTAATGAATAAAAAAATATGTATTTTGTTTGTTTAAATGGGATATAAATGCATAAAATCAAATTATTCCAAAATTCTCACTCGTGCAAACCATGGATAATTACGAGGTGAAAAAGATATCAATGGAATGATGACGTTGAAACACATGTATTTTTGGTTACATAACTTACATTCACTTTGTTCCATGTTGATGAAATGGCAAAAAAGTGAAAAACACAATTAGAAAACCAAATCTTTACTAGGCTACAACAAACACTGCCAACTTTATTCCACAATAATTTATCTGTATATTCAACTAGAATTTAAATTGGTGCTTGTGCACAAATATCTCAAGTGACCTACAGTCGTCCATGCTGCCAAAAACAGTACATGCTCACAACCTTAAGTTAAACGTGTTCTACAATAAGAGCGGTACTTTCTTGTTCTTCTTTCTTTTATTCTTTCTTACTTCAGTAAAAGTCAGAGCTATATTATATAAGGCTCACAGAAAAAAATACTGAGTATAACATACATACAGATAGAGCTTGTCATACCTTAATTTTGAAAAAAGTATAGTTGACCATTCCAGTGATACAGGGTGTAGTAACAATCTCATTTTCACGTACTTATGATAATATTTATATATGAAACCATACTAATCATCTCCTTACTTTAAGCTAGTAACCTGTGTAAATTGTATATGTAAGAGAGAAGTATGCCAAATCTACCAAAACTTTTCTGTTCTGAACTTGTTCTAAACATTATACCCTGCATCGTTCTTGCATCACATTGAAAAAAAAAGTGCCTTTATGTACATTTCCTAAATGAAAATATATTGGTTTATTACTCCAACAATGCTGTTATTATTTGTCACGCATAATAAAAAAACAACATTTGATTCACATACCTATACGTTAAACTATCTAGTGTATACAATGTGTATATTAAACAAAAATATAATTCTACCAGAACTGTTTTTTTTTATCTGTTCAAAACATTATACCATACATCGTTCTTGCCTCACGAAGAAAAACAAGTACTGTACTAACATGTACCCCGGTAAATGTTTTAAATAAAAGATAAAAAACCATATACATTGTTCTTGCCTCATATTTTTGTTTTATTTTTCTTTACATACCTAAATGTTTACGTTAAGCTGATATCTAGTGTATACCATATATATCAAAGATATAACAATCTATTCAAACTGATTTTTTTCTGTTCAAAACATACCATACATCGTTCTTGCCTAATGAAGAAAAACAAGTACTAACATGTAAATGTTTTAAATAAAAGATTTTTTTTTTTTATATTGCATCAACACATTATAGGGCAACGCCTGGTAAATTAGAAAAAGGGAGGAAATATCACAAGAAAAAAATTACATCAAGCTGTAGTGTTACGGACTTGTGGATGTTTCTGATGGGTTTTAAGGACTGCTTGACCAAATCTTTTGACCCTGTTGATCACTGATTTACTGTGGTAATCCATAATTTCCATTCTCACTAATCCTATAATCAATCTCCACTTTTTATAGTTATTGCCATTGCCCCCTTCCTCTCTTTTTCTCATTCCCTCATTCTCTTCTTGTTTATGTTATCATCCCTCTCCCTTGAAGCTCCTTCTTTCTCCCATTCTCTCTCTCTGTCCAAATCTTAAAGGTATTACAAAGTTTTGGTATGGGGTCATGAATTTGGTTCAAATTAAAATATTGGAAGCATATGCGTTCCTACAATATTCATTGATCGTTGTCCCGGTTGAAATCGAGTCTAAAGTTATGAAATTATAAATGATAAACTCTTTATGTTGTATAGCTCCCTCTCAAGGTCAAGATATTAATTTAGCTATGAAACAATGTTTCTTGACTAAAATCGACCGACTAGCTATTCCCGTTTGGAAATAACATATCACAACTACATATTCTGAGATTTTCATGGTCGCAGCTACCATTGTACGGCCGTAGGCGCTATTTGAAATTTACCGGGAGCACCAGTAAATTTTTATATTCAATTTTTCTCGAAAACAGAAGTGTTTTAGGGGCTAATTTTTTTAGTGCTTATAAGACATCCACAGTGGCATCCAAATATATCAAAATTGTAAAGAATCAATATCCACCAAATTTTCAAACTTTCCCAAAACTTTGTATTACCTTTAATGTTAATTCATCTATCCTTTTACATCTCTCTACTTGTATCTGAGTCCATCGTACTGCTTTCTGGTTTTCAGTTAACATATTTCATATTGCTAAATAATGGCCATTCTATATGAATCAAACATAATTGGCATACTGTCACATTTTTTCTCTTTCTTTCCCTCTCACCATTTCTTTCTTGTCTTTTCTCTTCTGTCCTCACCTTCTCTCTCTCTCTTCCCCCTCTCTCTCTTCCCTCTCTCTCTCTCTCTCTCTTTCTCTCTCTCTCAAATAGATGATACATATATAAACTTTTACCAAAGAAGAACCCAGACTATATTAGTCGTTAATATGTGCTTTTATTGCTGAACATAGCATGTACTAGCATAAAATGGTATGATTAAAACACTGTCAGTAAATTTATTTACACATTAATTTCAGATTTAAATGTATCTCTTAAAAAATGTTTTTTTTTCTTCAAATACATATAAACTTTGTTAAAGTAAACCATTCATCAAGTTCTTGAGATTGTGAATTAAATGAGAATCATAACGGGGCTCTTGAAGTATATTTGGTCTTAGCTGTCATTTCGCTTACTTAATGTACTTAATGCAGGGATTCAACTTTCAATATGAAGATGATCTGGTGAAATTAGAAACGAACAACATAAGTTAAAGATAAAATAAGCTGAAGTACTTTTGTTATAGAGCTGCAAATCAGAGCTCGATTTCTATTAGCCAAAGAACTCATTTTGTACCAAAAAACATTACCCTACACTTGATAAAAAGCTTTACAAATATTACGAGGGAAATATTCACCATATTCAAGTTCTAAAGTACTTGCCAATATGCTCCACTGCTTAAGATTTCAAAGGTGAAAGAAAGAGAGACAAATTATAAGGTGGGTTTTAAATAAGTGCGAATTTCAGTACAGCTATGTAAAGTACAGTTTTCACACATGAAATAAAGTATTAGTCAACGATTGCAATACCAACAAAAATGAGACATACTCGTCACCAAACATATCGCCCAAACGTAATCTATGATCATAAATAAAATACATCGCAGGTAATAATCAGAAAAGAAAATTGTTCTTCTCTGAAATACATAAAAACTTAATCAAATTAACATCGTTCCTGCTTTTCATTTTCATAAACATGCTACTAGATAAAAAATAATGTGTTCTTACGCAAAAATAGAACATTAAGTACAAGCATGTTGACGAAGAGGCCATTTACCTTGTACTAGAAATTTGTCCGTGAACATAAAAAGATTCAAAATCTTGGATTAATACTTTACACACAGCACACAAACAAGAAAGCAACATAACTGTAATAGTTTTAAAAACTGTTAATCCTAATCCCCAAGGGATTAAAGATAATCCTAATCCCAGATGCATAATCCATTGTTAGTCTATCCCTTAAACCCGGTGCAACTTCATCCAGCGTCATATTTGCTATGATGTCTATGTATCTTTCAATTGTGCCCAGCAGAAGGGCATTGTTAAGGGAATCCCTAATACCATGGAGTTACTAGCAGGGGGTATTCTCTTGCCAGGCACCGGATTATTTGCATTATGAATAACTTTACCAATACAAAGGGGAATGGTTATCTCCTATAGCGGTCTTTTGCACAAAACGTGGACTACACCACTGGTGGCAGTATCCCTTTAACAAGGAAAGCTGCTTCTTTTTTTCCTTTTTTTTTACAAAGTAGGGGATTATGATTACTCACCATTCACATGCATCGATATGCTTAATCAATAAATTCTCTGTATTATTACCTTTTTTAGTGGTTTTTGATTTTTGTTCTTCTTTAATTTAGCATAATACTGGATTAATTGGATTTGAAAGTTTTTAATATGAAATTCAGATTGTTCATGTTTTAAATTAAAAAGTGAAACAGTTTCTGTTTATTTGGGTGTTATGAGCCTTTATAGGCAAACTAAAACAAAATGCTATTGTATTTTTTGGGGGAAATGATCAGCAATATCAGAGACAACGATTTCTTGCTAAATATATGATTACATTAATATGTGTTATGTAAGTTTCAAAGAAATATTTACTGAGTAATAAATTAAGTATATACTCCTCAAATACAGACGGATGGTATATGCATATACTGTACTTATCAAGTATTGTAGTTTGATAAATAGAGGTATGTTTAAATGTTGAGTTGCACAAGACTATTTTATCATACTCATGTTTTTATATACCACACAAGCCTAAGATATACTGTACTTTCTTTTGATTTTCATACACATATTTTAGGGTATTCCTCCTTTCAATCATCTATCTAGGATTATCATAAAATATTTAGGGATTATATGATGAAATACATACTTTAGTGCATATATCAGTACTTTTGTTAATACATAATGAATTTAATAATAATTCTAATTGATCTCATATTTACATATCAACAATCATATTCTTTCTCATCACAAAAATCCTCTACTCTCCTCCAAGTAATGTCCAAGAATTCACAGAAATCATATATCTGCGACCAAACATGCGCTTCACCCAGCAAAAAAATAATGCAAATTTGTATAGCTTTTTACAAATAATACAAGTCTTTTGTTAATTTTTACAATGAATCATAAGAAAATTAAATCACCATAATTTAACATCTTTATACAATTATACATAGTTCAGAAATGTTCAAATGCTTGCACTGGCCACGGATAGATAATATGTTCCAATGACGGACTTTATAACAGAAAGTCAAGAAATAACCCTACCGGTAAACTATAATGTCGGCTAGTATTGAGCTAAATGAAATAAATAATTAAAATACTTCAATCAAATTGCAAAGGTTGACTACGAGAAAGACTGTTTTTCTTGCACAGAGACTGAGTGACAGATATTGTTTTCTGGTTACACTGCAAGAAAAGGATACACAAATCAAAATGCAAACACATCTTGTCATGTATTATTCCTTGGACAGATACATGTATTTCCACGTTCCTGTATTTAGTAAACTATATGCAAATGTATAACCACTCCATATGTTGGAGAAATGCCTGTACCAGTAATTTGATTGATATTCTACAATATGAACTGGTTCTTCCTTTTCATCAAAAAAATAAAGTGACTTAACGCCGTCAAATATAAGGCAACACAAAATTTTGAAGCATTTATGAATCGTATTCCTTCTGCAGTTTGATGCAGACATTAATTTCTATCAATCCTTTTAAGGTGAAATATCTGAAATTCTCTTCTGTTTAATACAACTTCGTAGTTCTGGTCCCTTTAAAATGTCAAATTTTTGTATTTTTGGAAATAATATTCTGCTAGCTCTGCTTATTTTTTCTTTAGATGTACAGAGTTATGTGTTAGTCTCTGAGACATAATCCTTAGTTGTCTTCATCTATATTATAATGTTAATTAAACTGAATAAAAATGGAACACTTATATTAATCTAATTCAATTGATAAAATTCCCCTTGGAAATGGCTACAGGTTCTAAGCTATGATGAAAAATACAAACTATGCACACACTCACAAATAATTTCAAGAGGAAACTCAAATCGGCAATGAATAGTTCTCTATACACATAAAACAAAGTGATGGCTTAACACATCTGACAAATGGATAAAATTCAATCCTCACTACACACTACACATAAAGCAATTTTTTCATAAAGAATAAGTATTAAATCTTTGGTTCACTGAAATATAACAGACATTTGATAACAAGTGATTCACAAGGTTCAATCTTTGCACATAGTAAAGCTAAAAGTAAAATGAAATTTTTCGGAAAATTCTCAAAGCGTGTCTTTCTTGTGTTTCTTTTCTTTGCGATATGTGTACATCAGGAAGACCTCATACAAGCCATAACAGGAATAAATGTGCAGATTCAAGTATGTATGCAGTCATTTAACCTGTGAATTAGCCCAACAAAAAAAAGTAAAATGATGCTTATAAATGAAATGTATAATCATAAAACACCGGAGAGAAAATATGAAAAAAGAAAAAGTGAAACCCCCCGCCCAAATAATATTAATAATCATAAATATGATAATGAGAAAACTAAAATCAAGAAAAGAATTTATTACGAAATAGAACACTAAACCAAACTTAGTTTTGTAATTTCATACTGGGATGAGCCCAAGAAATTTAATTTTCTACTTATTTCAACCCAATTATGTAATGTACATTTATCTGACCTCTTTCTTAAAATGTAAAAGACAGGAGAACAAAAAAAGCCTTTTAAGTTTTTTATTCTTTCTTGTCTTCTTTTTTTTTACCGGTCAAGATTAACATCTCTAATACTTTCAAAAACAAGTACTGTTACAACAACTTCAATTAGATTCCAATTCTCTTAGATGGAAAAAAGGGAATTTTAAACCAAGCTTAGTACTGCAGATACAGTACTTTACATATGTGGCTTTGTTTTGTTATTTTACTTCTTGAAAAAAAAGGTCACTGAAATATACATATAGAAGAAATGCGCAAATCAAACAGTTAATTAGAAGGAATAATAAATGCCGGTAAATTAGAAAAGAAAAGAAAAATCCAAATCTTGTAAATAAAAAGGAATAATTGTATCTAAGTATTGAACATGTTTGTCCATTTTAAAAATGAATGAACAATATCTTTAATGCTCAAACTCCCTGTTTTTGGCTACATTTTATATAAATTTCATAACAAGACATTTAATATTCATTCTTCTACTGTATATGATTAAAAATATTATTGTGTAAAACATTTCAAATATATACCTATGTACATGTATATATCATAGAATTCATTTGTATTGTTATATATTGATAGTTTATTTATTCACTGATGCATTTGAAAGAGTGAATACTGATTGAAGATTTATAATAACTAATTCATTTATATACCAGTATATTCATTTGTAAATAATGATTATTGGTGTTTTACTTTCATAATTGGCTCGATGTGTCGTGTACTTGCCTTCATGGTATTAAAATCCAGGTACAGCTTGCAGTGACACTCATGCACACATGTTGAATAACAAATGGTAGATGTTTTTTTCCATATCAGTCCCAATCATAACAAATAATGTGTGGTTTAATGTACCGCATTCTAATAACTACAATGCATTTGCAGCTCTGCATTGAATAGCATTGATCACTGAGTAAAATACATGTATGTGACTTGCAGTGTTTATCACAAGACCAAATATCAAAGGTATATGAGCAGCTATTTTCTATGTTTGATAGTAATGAAGATAAAATTCTGTTTACATGTGTCAAGCGCATTATTCGCATCATGATCTAACCGCTTGATGCGCTTCAAAAATTCTTTGGAAAATATCGCCCAAACCATAGCTCCATCAAGTATTTGAGAATGTACTGTACTGAATCGGTAGTAACTCATACTTTAGTTATGAAATTTTTAAAATATATTTTAAAGCTACTTACATCCCTAAATTAAGTAGAGTGGATCTAGAAGTAAATCAGGCAGAGAACTGGCAGTGCTTTGATACACGACAGTTACACGTCAGCTCTCAAATGAATTGAAAGGTGTCCAGTTTCAATGGTGAATCTCAAATATTGCAAAAATATTTTGTAGGGAGCCCCACTCTCTTTCCAATCCCAATGAAGATCGCCGCTCAACCACTTCCTTAATTGACCTATGAGCAATGAGATCGGCCCTATCGTTTATACCAACCTCAAGCATGTTAATACCCTTGTTCTTAATCCTGATTTATACAGTCTGGATTTTTTTCAAATCATAGATCAAGATACATCTTACATATGCTTTTTCTTTTCTAGATGTACAGTGACTATACATTCATCATAACATAGTGTGAAAGTCCCGTTGGACCCTGTTTAAATGTACCTTGCATTTTCTTTGCACACTGAATAGTATCAGGGTTTTCCCCCAATCAGATGGCACTACCCTAATCGTTTTCCTTGGGTGCGACTACACAAAGTCTTAACACAACGATGGAGTGCATGTACTAGCCTGACACCCGACTGAAGTTACACTTCTTCTCCCTTCCAAGCTCTCTGCTTAGGTTCCCTGAATACATTCCTCTGTTCCTAACATGGAGACGAGGACGCGGGCACGACAATGATCGGCGTACCGTGACCGTTACCGTTGGCGGGCGGCGTCACGGCTTCGGAATCACGGTTATCGGGCTGGTGCGACCCGTTCCTTTGGGGCTCGATAGGGGGGATGACTGGGATCGATGACGGGAGGGGTACTGATGATAGGGCGGGGCTGGTAGGGGCCTGAGTGATGGATGCTACTAGCCTCTCTGGTTCTCTGGGTCTGTCCAGGAGTCTCTCCGAAGGCTTCTCTTTCTCCGGTTGTTCCTTGACGGTTTTCTCGTCCTTGGGCTTGCGTGGCTTCTTCTTCTTGAAAGCACTGGACTTGGCGCTGGCGCTGGGTGGGATGGGGTTGTAGTGCATCAGGCAGAAGACGAGGTCGGTCGAGAGGAGAGGGAACTCAAAGGGCGGGTTGGTGATGGTGTAGCGCTTGGAAGATGGGGTGCTGGTCGAGGCCGAGCTGTCTCGGAATCGGTAGATGCCAAAGCACAGGATGCCATAGTTTTTGATCGCATCCACAAATAGGTCTCCGTACATGCCTCCATTCTGTAAATATCAACAAAGAAAGCAAAATAGTGAATTACATTCTACACATCAATGAAATGGTGATGAACTTCACCTACGCTTCAGAACAAATTCTTGCAAAATTCCAACAATATAATTTAAGCTAGGTGAATAATAATGTAAGAGGTATTTTGTCTGACTATTTGTATAGAGATAAAAAACAATTGATGATATATTCAGACAGATAGAAAGCTATTTATACAAAGCGAAACTGAAAGATACTAAGAAGTTGACAGGGAGAGAGGGAGAGAGCTAAGGAAAAAAAGAAAAAAAAGGACAAAAAAAAAAGACACAAGAAGACTGACATACAGACAAAAAAGGACACAATAAACAGACAAAAGGAGAGAGAAAGACTGAAAAGGAAGACAAATGAATCTAGAAAAGTCATCACAACCACCTACAGGTACATGTTTCCTGGACTTACCCCATATTGTGAGAATGGTCCCTCAAAGAGGGGCAGCTGTGCAGCCTTGCATCGATCCCTGTTGGCCAGGAGTTCTACGTTGTTCTGGCCCGGCTTCATACCACCTCCCTCAGCTAGGATCTGTTCCAGCTCTGGGGTAGCCCCTCCCGTGATCAGGGTCCTGATCAGGGTTAGGGCGTTGTCATTGAAGTACGTCTGTGGGAAGGAAAATATTAGAATGATATTAGCTCCTTCCATCATTCCTCAGTCTCACTGAGCCCGTCTTACAAAGAGTTACGATTGATCCAAATCAATCGTAAGTCCTCCAATCAATCACAAATAAGTTGCAATTGATATCAACTCTTTGTAAGATGGGGCCCAGAATAATGATATCAGCTCCTTGCATCATTCTTCAGTCTAACCAAGACCAAGACCGAGACCAAAACCAGAATAATGATATTAGCTCCTTGCATCATTCCTCAGTCTAAACCGAGACTAAGACCGAAGCCAAGACCAGAATAATGATATTAGCTCCTTGCATCATTCCTCAGACTCAACGAGACGGACTAAGACCTGACCAATCAAAAAATTAAATTACTCTGAAAGGCCAAAAAGTGAATGATTGGCCAGTGTGACTGATGTGTGAGATTTTATTCCTGTAAACAAAACTTACATCGGCATACTAGCATAAAGAGTCTTCAATATTTCTCTATATACTTTTCCCATACTTACCATGGACACAAAATTGTTATTATCCAGATTTTAACATTTGTATTGGTGTCTCTAGACAGATTGAGAAATAAGTTTCTTGATACAGTGGTGCTGTGGCTTAGCACAAGGCCACAGATTCCGCCCACAAATCATTGTTGACAGAGATAGCTTTGCAAATCATTCAATTTGCACACAGACAATGGGTGCTTAAAGAAAATTGGCTTGAATTCTTGTGTGCTGCTGGCCTGTATTGTTCACCATTTACAGAGGCAGGCACTCGTTGGAATGAAACATATCAATCTGTGCATAGCAAGGGTGCCTCATGCAGAGTCCACTTAGAGGCCCACTGCACTACTTATAGCTACTTGCGCCCTCTATATAGCAAATTATGCCTAATCGGTGCCTGCTGGTCCCCCATGATCCCCTTTTTCTTATATTTATTGAGAGCTGATTTGATGAGATAACCACCTGTCAGTGACCTTGCAGGGAGGTCTAATCCCCCTTGCCAAACTAGTACAGACAGGCTTTAAAGCTTAGATTACTTACAGCACTCATGAGTGAATCCAGTACACTGACAGCGAATGCTGTACCGCAAGCAAATGGCTGGGTCAGGTAAAGCTCTGTGTCTGGGTCATCATCATCATCTTGGTCCAAGAACTGCACATTGGAATCATTCACTAGAAAAATCAAAGACAGACATATATATGATATTGTGACCGATAGTCATTGTGTAATATTGGGGTGACAGCGGTGGGATATGTTTGCGGATCTCATCTTTTTTACACTCATCACAGTCGCATCTGTTCATGAAAACAATTTCAGATGATCCAGGAACATTTAGAACTGTAAATATATGATATTGTGACCGATAGTCATTGTGTAATATTGGGGTGACAGCGGTGGGATATGTTTGCGGATCTCATCTTTTTTACACTCATCACAGTCGCATCTGTTCATGAAAACAATTTCAGATGATCCAGGAACATTTAGAACTGTAAATATATGATATTGTGACCGATAGTCATTGTGTAATATTGGGATGACAGCGGTGGGATATGTTTTGGAATCTCACTCATGTCATCTTTTTTGACACTGATCACAGTTGCATCTGTTCATGAAAACAATTTCAGATGATCCATGAACGTTTAGAACTATAAATATATATGATATTGTGACCGATAGCCATTGTGATATTTTAGGGTGACAGCGGTGGGATATAATTTGGGATCTCACTCTTGTAACCTTTTTTGACACTCATCACAGTTGCATCTGTTCATGAAAACAATTTCAGATGATCCATGAACGTTTAGAACTATAAATATATATGATATTGTGACCGATAGCCATTGTGATATTTTAGGGTGACAGCGGTGGGATATAATTTGGGATCTCACTCTTGTAACCTTTTTTGACACTCATCACAGTTGCATCTGTTCAGGAAAACAATTATAGATGATCCCTGAACATTTATTAGAACTTTATAAAAATTGTGAGTGATAGTCATTGTGTAAAATTGGGATGACAGCGGTGGGATATGTTTGCGGATCTCATCTTTTTTACACTCATCACAGTCGCATCTGTTCATGAAAACCATTACAGATGATCCAGGAACATTTAGAACTGTAAATATATGATATTGTGACCGATAGTCATTGTGTAATATTGGGATGACAGCGGTGGGATATGTTTTGGAATCTCACTCATGTCATCTTTTTTGACACTCATCACAGTTGCATCTGTTCATGAAAACAATTTCAGATGATCCATGAACGTTTAGAACTATAAATATATATGATATTGTGACCGATAGCCATTGTGATATTTTAGGGTGACAGCGGTGGGATGTAATTTGGGATCTCACTCTTGTAACCTTTTTTGACACTCATCACAGTTGCATCTGTTCAGGAAAACAATTACAGATAATCCCTGAACATTTAGAACTATATAAAAATTGTGAGTGATAGTCATTGTGTAAAATTGGGATGACAGCGGTTGGATATGTTTTGGGATCTCACTCTTGTCATCCATTACGACACTCTTCAACATTAAATCAAGTATATAATTACAGATGATCCAATAAAATGTAGAAAATATGATATTGAGACTGACAGCCATTATCATAGGACTGGGTGGCAGCCCTTGACTTTTTCATCAGGACTTCCTCCTCTTTTCGTCCACCGTTTCACTCATCAAAACAAACTTACCTAACTCTGTGATCATAGGTACATTAGCTCCTACAGCTGATCCTCGTCTTGTGACCTCTGAACTCCTCGTATGTAGAGGTGATAGACTCATCGGCATGATACCTGGTAATCAACGGTCATCAGAAATCATCACTAGTTCTATTCTTAAATGATGTAGTTGGGTCTGTTAATACATACTAACCCTAGAAATTTGACAAAATAAAGCCTTGAGAAATATTCATTAACCCTTCAAGAGCACTAAAAAATTGTCATAAATTGTAGAAACAATTTTCCTACAGCATGTCTTTGCAGCTAGAGTTTGTATTCTCCCAAAGTATTAATTTTCCTTGCTTCCGATCGCTTGAAGCAATCATTCAATTTTCTATTCAAATTATATATTTCTCTCTTAAATTAGCTTATATCACATCATTAAAATACATGATATCTGAAAATGTTGATGCATTACAGACTACAGTAGCTAAGGGCATTTAATGATACTGTTAGCTGGTTTGACATATTTTAACTCTAGATATATTAGGATGAAGATCTAAGCTACAAATTCTATTGCAATGATAGAGGCTACTGCTATTAATAGTCTTCTTCTTACTTGTCCTTCAGTCAAAGATACAATTTTTTTTTGCAAATATAATGAAGTGATTCTATAAATAGGGGGAAAATGATAGTATGGTTGTAGTGAAATTGCTTGATTATTAGAAATTAGATTATGGGCAAAAATGAATCATTAAACAAGTTATGACATTACACATGCTTCATGCAACAATACAAATGCATTCAATTTTACAACCGGAGTGAAGCAATAAGAAAGACAGGCAAAAATAGAAATTGAAATGAGAAATAATTAAGCTTCTTGGTGTTATTCTTCTTTTATTAATACAGTGATGTATATTTCATGGAAAAAATATCACCGATTTAGAATTTTGGGGAATTTTCATTATTTGGGCAACAAAATGAGATGTTTTTTTCCCTATTGCTTCACTCCTATCAGGGTCACAGGAGAGCACATGACGCAGATATCATGATGGCAATGATGTCATGATGATGACAGATGGAGATGGTGTCAGGATGGCTTTGATTTATCCTTGCACCCTTACCCCCCTCTTCTTATTCCCTTACCTCCCTCACTCCCCCCTCTTCTGAAGTTCATCATTATCTCTATCTCCAACTCAAACCCTTGACTCAAGTATTACCCAGCTCATGGTTCCTCAGGGTGATCCGATGACCTCTTAAATTCTATTTCCAAAGCCCCCCTCCCCCAATCTTCCATCTTCTTCTTCTCTTAACCTCCCATTCTCTTCTCAATCCTTCTCTTCTTCTGCCTCCCAAGCAGTCATTGATGCCAAGAATTATCACAATATTGGACCTTACTGAACACAAAATGGACATATTGAATACAGTTATCTATTATTTTCAATATACTACAAAGCACCAAATGCTGCCATGTAGCCTGAGCAGGACCAGAATTTGCATTTCAATCAATTGATAGGTAATTATAATATAATATGGTCTTATCTTCCGAAGAAGCCTAAGTATTTCTGTCACTATTCCTGCAGGCCTTGCAATTATTGTCCCAGCAATGCCACGTACCAATCTAAAGCACCTAGGCAGAGACGGACATATGTGAGCAGACACCTTGTTCAAGGATGTATAAAACTCAAAGCGGATTGAACCGTGACTTTTCGTATGGGAGTCAATAGCATTCACTAATATACCGAAGTGGTCCAACTTGTCCTCACCCCCTATTGATGTGTGGCAATTGCCTTAGCGTTTCATCTATTACAAACAGTGTACTTTTGAATAACCATATTAAAATAATCAAGCAGTATCCCCATCTCTATACAAATATATGAAGAACAATTGCAGTATAGTGCAGATGAGGGTATCTTACCTCAACTCTGGAGAATAATCCAACAAATGAAAGACAAATATGACGACAAGCATCCTATTGGTTGGTTTGTCTGTCTTGTGAAGCAACACTTAAGTCGATCGTCAACATTAACATGGGTGGAATGTTTATCATTTGTTAGTTGTCAGTATAAAGTGCCAACAACAAAACAATGCATGCACTTTACTTATCACTTCATTCAACAACAAAATGACTCATCTTTTTCTTAGTGAACAGGGACTCATTTTAAATCCTAATCTTATCTTATGGCATGCTTTCTTTCGATGCTTTTGAAGTAACTTAAAACTTCTCATTTATTTCAAGCTATTAAAAGAATGCTGATAAAAAGAAATGCTCATGATTTAAGGGCAGACCTCCGCAAAAAGGTGGCTTGAACAAAAAAAATGTAATTTCTTGATCTAAAATATCACTTTTTATGCAGGGTCCTTAATTTAAAAAAATAAATTCACCACAAAAGTGAAGTTGGGACATAAAACAAATAAATGAATAGACATGCACATGGTCACAAACTAAAAACCAAATGTATGTTACATATTTGATATCTAATAATATTTGGATAAAATATGATCAAGATCTATGATAAAATTGGGAAGTATAAAAACATATAGTGTCTTTGAATATAATATGATTTGGAAACATATTTGGAACATCTTTGATGAAGATGGGGGATCATTTACAGATGGGTATGAAAGATACTGATTGAATGAAATAAAAGGGGAAAGAAATGAAAATTATGGAAAATGCAGCTTAGCAAAATTTGAAAGTATTTCAGAAGCATTGATTTTATCCTTGCTTATTTGAAGAATGAATATTCACGAAAAATGACAGCAGTATTTTAGTTCATTTTTCTAAATAGTCTTAATAACAAAACTCTCGTTAAGTTTAATATGGCAATGCCAATTGAGACGATTATGCATAAGATGAATATAAAGCAATCTGATTTGACTATCAGGAACTCTGCTAAATTTGAATTTCTAGACACTCTTATATTCAAAACAGAATTTACTGATTCTAAGAATGGAAATGCATAAAGTGATTTTTATAAAAAGATATGTTACAATCAAAGGCTAGCAACTGTTAATTGTATCTTAATGGAAATTTATAAGTTCAGTTTAATGACTCTCCAAGTACATTTGCACATGTTTTTTTTTCTTGAGATGTGATGAATATGCATGAGATAGATAATATATGTAGATTCTGTGGAGGCCCAAGAGACTGAATGCTAATACTCTTCAAAGAGAAGAGATGACTATTGCTGAGAGAATTTGCTTTTGGAAGTGAACATGAATTAAGATCTAAAATTGCATTTAAGCTTTTAACTATTGCTTAATGAATGTTATTGCATAGTAAGAAAGCTGTGGTTTGCTTCTAGAAGTGACCAAAAGTTGGAAACTAAGATTGCAATTTTTTTTCTTCTAACTTTTCAGATTAACTAGAATCATCGCATTTTTTAGGAAGCTTCGAGTGAATTAAAATAAGGGATGTTACACAGAATCATGTTCATGAGGCTTATGAAGACCACCGCACAACCTATGACTCAACAAAAACTAGATCGTTTGAAAGAACTTGTCAAATGAACTAAACTAGAATCGTCGCATTGTTAGGAAGCTTTGAGTGAGTTAAAATCAGGGATGTTACACAGAATCATGTTTGTGAGGCTTATGAAGACCACCGCACTAGGACTCAACAACAACTAGATTTTTTGAAAGAAATTGCAATAGGATACAAAACTCTGAACTGTACATTTCTTTGGGGTCCCACAGGGTTGTTTAAACATTTAATACTGAAACGGTGACCATATTTTGAGCCTTTGTGTCAGATTAAAGGTCTGATTCGTTCTCAATCATTGTGATATAATACAACCTGCACAAGTGCCCATCAACTGTGGCCAATTGGACCTTCACTCCAACTCTTAATCCTTGCAATATCCTGTGATTTTCATATTTACCATTCATAGGGCCATGTGGGTCTCAAACGTGGCAAATAAGAATTTCAAGATTACATAGCTAATCCTATTGCGACTTCTTTTGCAATTTTGTTGTTGTTGTTGTTCTTAAGGTATGCAGTGGTCTTAAAAAATCAAAATGAACTGGCAAGGCGCAATGAGGCAAGTGTCAATGCACTGTACAGGCAATTGATGGGGTGAGAATTAAAAGGGAGTGAAGTATCAAAAAGGGAACCACGTAACAAGGAACAGACCTTGCAGATCAGTATCCCCACCATCCTCGAAAACATCCTCCCTACTATCATCATCATCATCATCATTGCCCTCATTGACATCCTTGTCCTTGTCCTCCTTCTTGCTGAAACCCGTCGACGATAGCATTTGGTTGTTCCAACCTTGTAGGCCCGCCTTGGTGAGACCGACGGAGTCGTCGAAGGTCATGGCCTTGATGTTGAGGGAGGCCAGGATGGTCTCCTTGTCCTGGAGGCTCTGGTCGTCCAGGCTGTTCCTGCTGGCTGAGAGGATCACGCACATGTCGCATTGGTTGACGTTGACGGCTCGCAGGTCCGCTCTGCTCAGTGGTGACCCCTGTGCAAACAAACAAGGACATATGTGAAAGGTTGTAAATTTGATATCTACTAAATGTGGTGCCACTAAAATCAGGTGGAAAGCTTGACAGTTAGATTTATCTCTATTTTTATTTCCCCCCCATTACTTTTTTTCATTTTCAATTTTTTAAGAATGTATTCTTTTTATTTTCTTATTTTTTAAATTCATTCATTTATTTATTTTATTTTATTTTTTATTTTTCAATTTATTTATTTATTTATTTATTTATTTATTATTATCATTATTATTATTATTATTATTCTTTTTTTAATTTTTTTTTTTTTTTTTTGGGGGGGGGGGGGGGGGAGGGATTTCATTAACATACAGCAATGCCTAAAAAGCATTCAATTACTTTTAGTTATTAATTTGCATGCATTTACTTGTGTTGAGAAGGACTACTGCAGACTGAAAATATTTAGCTTCCACCTTTCAAAGCACTCTTAAGCTCGCGCATGTTTTTCAACTTGTATACAAGAGAATTACTTAAGGAGGGTTTCTATGTGTTCCCCAACCCTGTGATTGAAAGAAAAAATAGTGGACAATTTTATACAGCACCCATTCACCCATCAAAATCTTAAAGGTGTCCTGGTCTAGCAGATATGTCACTAGACTGCGGACCACAGCACTAACGCCCTTTGGCAAGACATTGATCTACATGAATGCTTTTAGTGCTTCATGGCAGCTGGGCTAAAGCCAGGGTAATACAACTTCTTTGTAGGGGCATTGAGCATCTCCTGGGATGGATATGTGTGCAATTTAAATGTAGCTATCATAATCATAATCATCATTACGATCATAATCATAATCATTACCATTGTCGCAATCATAATCATAATCATGATCATAATCAAGATCATAATCATAATCATTACCATCATCATCATCGATCATCACCACTATCACCATCATCATCATCATTATAATCATAATCATAATCATCATCATAATCATAATCATTATCATCATCATAATCATAATAATTACCATTGCCATAATAATCATCATCACCATCATCATCATCATCATCATCATTATAATCATAATCATAACCATTACCATTATTATAATCATAATCATTATCATTAGCATAATCATCATCATAGTCATAATCATCATCATCACCATTACTATCATTACTATACTCACATTGAGGACGAAAACTTTGGGGAAGTTCTTGAAGGTCTCCCACTCTCGCTTGATGTAGTCTATGTTACCCAGTAAGACTATCGTCTTGAGTTCTTCGAAATGGAAGTTGCTCGCCCTGAGAGGCATCACGAAGTTGCGCAGCCCGATGATTGGTGAACCCTTGTCACCAAACAAGCACACCACCACGTGTGACGTCAGAGCCACTTTGTGAGCCTGTGTCCGATCCTGTCATACGATCAAGCATTAAATAAATCATAAATCAAATTGGCAAAAATGACGTGTAATGACATAAAAATTCCACATGTGTGTACAAACATATGAAGACAATGATTCAAATAGTATGTACAACATATTAAAAGCGGTTTGGGCAATAAAAATCCACTTGTAAAACATCACCAAAAAATTGTCATAAAAAAAATAATCTTGCTAGGAGGTAAATAGTTTCTTGAATAAAATCCATATTAATAATACAAAGTCTTTTTAATTTGATACTACAGATGAAAGCCATTATTTTAGTTACTAGGCAGGTTCTCAATTATCATCTTTCTGGTAAGCAGGTTGCTAGGCAGGATTATTACAATCACTGCAACATCTAAGTATATTTAACAAACTTTTAAGGATAGTCTTTGAAATGTAATTCTTGCTTTTCCTACTTCCTTTATATAAAACAATATTTATCTTTATAGCTATGAATTATTTGGTATCAAAGATGCAATCCATTGTCTTAGTTGCTAGGCAGGTTCTCAACTATCATCATTTTGGTAAGCAGGTTGCTGGGCAGGATTCTTGCAATCACTGCAATATCCATAGATATTTAACAAACTTTTAGGGATATCAAACTTTGATATAATTCTTGCTTTTCTACTTCATTTAGATATAACAATGTTTATCTTTATAACTATGAATCATTTGGTATCAAAGATGCTATCCATTATCTTGGTTGCTATGCATTGTCTTGGTTGCTATGCAGGTTGCTAGGGAGGTTTTCTTACAATGGTGGCTTCCTCCAATGATTTTTCTGGAGCCCAGTGGAACATCCCTGTGCAGTCAAACTCGACCACATCTTCTTGCTCCTGAATCTGATTGGCCGATTCACGCCTCTTCTGGTGTGGACCGACCCTGTAGGTCAAAGGTCAAAGGTCATGGATTAGAGATCTATGCTTAATTGTTTAATAGAACCGAGCATTTCAGCTTTCACTTAACCTGCTGATCGCTGAAATTTATTCACCTATAGCTTTTTAACCCAGGAGCAACCCAGTTAAAGTAAGAAATGGGTTAATAATTGAAATTATCATTAGTTTTATGGAATTTCTTTTCTTTTATGATAATTGTAATCTACCTACCCACCAAAATGAAAATGATTTAGAATTAGTTCCCACTCCCGGAATTCCAAAGTTATTAATTAAAACCACTGCAGACTCCTTTTGATCCATGTTGTCTTTGCACCTCGATCTGTTTACTTCCCCCCTTTAATTTTTTTAAATGAATGGGAAATTTTTCAAAGCAAAAGTGAAATTGGCTGTTCATAATTGGTGTGACTTCCGTTTTACTGATCAGAAAGTGTAAACAAATCTATCTATTGAGAAAACTGATAAATTTAGAAAAGCACATGTATTGTAATATCCGTAGTATAGAGTATTTAAAGTTGCAAAACAAAATTGATATTGATAAAAATTGAAGAAGAAAAGTGCATCTAATATCTAAAATCGAAGTTGTTTTTTATATTTTTTTAAACAAAAGCTACATTATGTACCAAAAGCTTTGTTTGAAGTGCAACAAACACTTTTCATTAAACCATGCAAAACAACTTTAAAGTAAAGCTTCAATTTTTAAAGGAAAGAATGTGATAATGTTGTATTTAATGATTGAATTTACATTCTTAATCCAAAGATTTGGTGAATTAAAGATGCTTGTAAAACAAATATTTTGTTCATGGTAAAAAGAAATATAAAATTGAAATCACACCGATGATGAACAAATAATTTCACAAATATCGATACAAGGATATCAGGTGCCAAAGAAAAAAGCAAATAATCATGATCTATATATAACCGTACTTGATCTTATTGTCCATGTTTAATTTTGAATAAAAATTGTCACTTTCAACATTCATAATAGAACTGTAACTGAAATAAAAGGATTAGAGTGAATAATTTTGAAAAACAAATAGAGTGAATCATTTTGAAAGTAAAAAGATTATCAGGCAGAATAATAAAAGATTGTCATTAAAATAGGAAGGCTAATTTGAAAGTGAGAATATAACTTGTATCATCAGAAATCTGTGATAACATGAACAATCAAAATAAGATTGAAAAAATCAAAAAGAGTCTGCAAAATTGATATTAGTGACAATAATGGTTGTGAAAAGTTAGATGAAATGAAAAAATGGCTGAGGTTTTCTTCTATTTTCAAAATTATGCCTCGTTCAACTAGCAGAATATTCTACCACATTCATTATCATCTTTACAAGATTTAAAGAACATTTTTTTCTGCAATGTCTAGAAAAGCTGCAACACTTGCCTCATCCAAATTATGGTGGTTAACAAGGGAGAAAATGTTCTGTTTGTTGAAAGCTAGAAAGACTGAAGTTAAAATGCCCTTCTGGCTCTCAACAGACAATACAAATAATGTTTCTTCCACAAGAGACACAGAATTGTAATGACAACACTTTAATCAGACCTCGTTAAGATGGTGCAAGATTCTTTGATTTAGTCTTTGGTCTAAGAGAAAGAAGGGCATGATATCTATCAGAATGTGGGCCCTTCTTGCTCGAAAGCAGACTGTTTGTATTTTAGACCCAATTGCTTTAATCTGTGGATTACAGCCAATACTGTTACATTGATCTGTCAATGATTTCTGCAATTTTGGCTATAAATCAGGAATTTGGAATAAAATGATCAATCGAGTGAGGTTTTCAAGAAAAGAGCACTGTCTGAACGAGTTTGATTTACAGACACCAATGAAATTACAAGGAAGAGCTTCTACAAAGCGGTTTTTTGACTGTGCGAAGGGGTAAAACATTCAAGTATGACAATAGACTTCAATTTTCATGCAAATGTTTGACTCGACAATGGATGTAAATTGGCAACAAAATTTTGTGTCTTACTGTGAAGGTAAATAATGAAATTGACTGTATTATAAACAAATATGGGGCTTATGAACAGTATGATAGAGTCAAAGAAAATATTTAAATGTTTAAATTTCAAAATGGAAAAATGTCCACAAATAATTCTGAAAATAAAATAAAACGGGAATAGAGCATGAAGATGAGAAACATTCCAAACCATAAAATTGCCATTCGATAGTGAATGAAATACTTGAATGTTTGAAGGATACTAATGTGAAAAAGCCTTGCAGAGCAACATGGTTGTAGCAAAACTACTGTGAAAGGGCATTTAACGGTTGTTGGAAACTACGGTGAAAGGGAATGACAGGGCAACATGAATGTTTGCTGCTGTAGCTGCATAGAAGGATGTGCACCACATGGGCAACAAGTTGGTGGTGGTGTGTGTTGCAGGTAGCTACGACTGGTTCTCAACACTTACCTAGGGGTAGCAACCGGGTAACACAACCAGAGGAGGGTGTAAGGGTGGAGGGTGGGGGGGGGGGGAGGAGAAGAGGTTGGGGTATTGAGAGGGGGTTTAGACAGGGGGAAAATAAACACAAGCTGGTTAATATATTGTTAGGTGCACTTCAATCGAAATTCAAAGGGTTAAATATGTTACTAGTTAGGACGGAGGGAATTAAAACCACGATGATCTATTGTTAAATGAGCGATGAGAGCTAAAGAAGCAGAGGAGAGGGGGTTAATTGATGCAACCACCAGGGTGTGTCACCATCACCAACACGAAGGTAGCTAGCCTGTAGGGGGAAAGAGATGGGCACAACACACAGAAAGCTACACATGGGACTATGAGTGATGGTGATGTCATTTCTTGCCGTGTTATGCATTCTGGTTTATATGTTTGTGATGGTTTACATTGGATTATATCATGCATGAGTGTGCAGCAACATATTACCATTGTCCATTCATTTAACACATCAAATTGTTATGTCACCTCAATTTCTTTTCTTTACTTTTTTTTAATTTCTTCATTTTGTTAATTAACAAAAAAGAGCATGCTCCAAATATGCAAGGCAAATATGCAAGGCAAATATGATTTTGATTCAATAATATCATAATCACTATTTAATTTAAAATTATATATTATTACTTAAATGTCCTATACTTTTTGACATTGAAACCATTATATACATTTTTGTGTTCCCCTCTTTGGATTTTTAATCATGCATCCAATTCTAACTAATTTCTTTCCCTTTTTTCTTGGATTAAGAAATCAAAGGTCTCGTGATGACCCTTGAACATTTCAACAAAATTTTAAAACGAGGCGTCACTATGAAGTAAGTACATGTGCATGTTGCTGTGTGTCTTGCACGTCCGTCTACATTTGGGCTGTTTGGAGCCAGGAGGACATTAACTCATACACTGTATGCAGAGTTTATTAACGCCCTTCTGGCTCCAAACAGATGGTTTTTAAGTCATGACCATGAAGTTACGAGTCCAATGACACAAATTTGGCACTGTTCTTCATAACTGTATGTGGATGAATCTTTGTAGTTCCAGTGCAAGGGGATTTAGCAGCAAGAAAACAAACTCTTTAACAATTTGAGGGTAAATTGGAATACAAGTAAATAAATTAAGAGTTTGGTGAAATTAAGATATTCTCTTGTTGCCATTCATCTTTGAGACCATTTCATGTGTTTTTGTAGATGAAATAATATATTTTCAGATTTCAAGATGGTGCAACATGGCTGAGCATATCTTCTCGTTTAAAAATTTGATTCATAATATGTATACAAATTCAGAAAATGTACATTTTCAATAGTTTTGTTAGGAAGAGGAAAGAAAGAAAAGATTTTTACATCCTAATCATCCACATAAACGTTATCTCGATCAGTACCAATATATGTGTAGGTTGGACACCAATGTTTGAAGTGCATGGCATGGATGTACAATGATGATGAAGGGGAATGGAAGGAGATGTGATGGATTTGTCTACATCTACAACATGTATTGGGAATTTGGGGATGAATGTTCTATGTCACGATGACAATGGATGAATGACTTGCAGCAAGGCTTTTGGGGATCTATCTAGATCTATTATTTGAAGAGAAGAGGTGGTATTTTTGTGTGATTTTGACATCGAGATGAGAGGGAATGGGAAACAAAGAGAGAGAGAGAGAGAGAGAGACAAAAAGACAGACAAACAAAAATATGAAGTATTCAACAAAATGGACAGAAAGAGGCTTAATGAAAAGTAAGTAAGTAAGTAAGAAAGAAAGAAAGAAACAAAGACAGCGAGAGAGAGAGAGAAGAGAGAGAAAGAGAGAGGGGCAGGGGAAGAAGGGAGGGAGGGGAGAGAGAGAGAGAGGGGGGGGGGGGTACACATACATGATGTAGTCTGGGTAACCTAAGTGGGTATATGTTGTTTTTATGTTAAATGTAGAGGGCGAAAGAGACATATCTAAAGAGGATATTTACGACTCTATCAAGGTCTAGAGAAAGAGAGAACCAAGAAGACCACTAGAAGGACTGTTAGACAAAAGACAAACAGACAGATAAAACAGAAACAAGATTGACTAACGACGATATACAGGGGACCAGGGTTATGATGTAGCCAAGCTACTCTAAGACAACCTGAAACAAAATGGAGGATTTTAGGTGGTATATTATGAAAACAAAATAAGTTGACTGTAACTGCCTGGCTTCCTTTTTTTTTTTTTTTATCGCTACAGGATATTGTCAAAGTTATTAGAATATTATAATTTAGACTATTATAATATCACAACTTTACAGTACATGTACATGAGTATGCCAGTTTGTATTTCCACAGCTTTCTTTTTCAAAAAATGCATATAAAATATAAGGAAAGCATTATTTGTTTATAATTATTTAAATGTATTTACCGGGATAAAAGACTCTCAAAGCAATTTTAAAGTAGTCTGTTCCACTTAATAAATAGCTTTTGAATTAAGTTCTAATTCTTATCATTTCAAAATGTTCAACTTAATACCCTAGTCACGCCCCAAACTGGCTCCATACCAAATATAAACAGACCAATTTTTGGCCATCGGAACAATGTAATTGCTTGATATTCAGAGCAGAAAATACTTTTTTTTCCAAATATATATTTTCTGTGCTTTTTTCCACTATCTAAAAAAAACTAGTTTTAGACTATTGTATTTTGACCAGGAAGAGATATTATGGTCATTTTGTAATTACAATTTCTCTTTTGTAATTTACTTTGATACAAAAGGTACATGAAAGCATCCTAACAAAAACATGTGGCATAATGTTACTCTAAACACACAACTCTTTGGGTTTGTGTTTTATAAAAACTAATGGCAGCATTGAAAGGGTTTAAAAAAAAATTAGTAAGCCAGACAGTTACAATACTTGGGGTTGAAATGAGAACAGAATACAGGCTTTTAACCCTAACACAACAAGCAAACTCCAATAACCCTCAAAAGATCCTGAAACTCAATGGTTAGAATTGTTTAATTACAACTCGATTGTCAAAACTAAAGGTCTAAAAGAATAGAACAGAAAATCCACCAACTAAAAATTCACACAATTCCTGTGAAAACCTGAAATTTCAAGAGGTTAACAATTAGTGTTTGATAATTAAGAGAAGGAACTAGAGAACTATGCAATTTTTTTGCAGATTTATAGATATATATATATATATATATATATATATATACATATGTTGCGGGTGCAGCTAAAATGCTATATAATATATATATATATATATGCAATTCTTCACTTGCTTTATTGTGCATTTGCTTTGGAATTGGGATCAAAACATTGCTTTCTGGCATTTTTTCTGAATATGATATTGTTTTGGATATACCATGCAAGACACACATGCTTGTGCTTGCTGCACTAATTTCTACAGCACATAGGCATCTAGATTTTGAGAGGTTGTTCATCTAGAAATCTGCATCTATAATTACAATCCTTGCTGATTAGAAGAAACAGAGAGAAAGACGGAGAGAGAAACTATGCCTGTACTCTGCTCTGCATTGAGCAGCATAGGGCCATACAACAAGTATTAAAGGAGAGACAAGGAGAGACAGAAAAGAGGCCAACGGAACAACAACGAGGGGGTAGTACAGGCGATGTTAGTGATCACATGGCATTGAACCCACCAATGCTGTATCAGCTTTTTGGTCCTGTCTAGGTTGCCATTGGCATATTTCAGCTTAAGAACGAGTTGACCCAGCGACCCCACACTGGGGCGTGGGCAACCACCGGTCCTGCGTGAGGAGGAGTGAAAGGGGGGCGTGGAGGAGAACAAAACACACAGAGTGTGGAAAAACAAAAAAATATAGATACACCAATGAGTAATGATATGAAATGATATATGTAAAGTTATATAAATCAATCACCTGCAAATGACATATGCTTCATATATATGTGTGCAAAATTATTATTCCATTTATACATCATTCATAGTCATATTTACATCTGAGAATATTATTATCATTATTATCCATTTATCAATATTACCATAATCATTATTTATCAATATTACAATAATCATTATTTATCAATAATAACACAATAATCAAAAACAAGAAGAAATGCATAATAGAAGTAGTTAAAGAGTTAATTTAGTGGTCTTTTAGACAACCAGTTTCAAATTGATATCAGGATTCCATTACATTAAAAAAGTTGTTACATCTTTATATTCTAAATATTCTAAATTTGCTTCATCAGAAAAAGAAAGAAAAAGAAAGAAAAAATAAAAATAAAAATAAAACCCAGCAAAACATTCAGCTAAATATGGAATTAAGTTAATACTGGTGATAGAAATAAAACTTGTGACAAGCTGATATTAAAAATGCGTGAATGAAACTGTCTACTCTGGCATTGCATGATGTGGATGTAATGCATTTGTAATGCAATGAAAAACATTATCATGTTAGGAATCATCGATATGAAATTTTGTTTGAAAAAAATAGGATATATTAGAAATGTTTATTACAATCATTCAAAGATGGTTCTCTATCCATCTCATTTACCAAGAATGATTGAAGAGAAACTGGGTTACAAATCTTTGAAATGAGCAACACAATTTAATATTTTTATTTTAATGACTTGACTTTTACAAAAGAACAGTTACTACAGACTTCAGAGTTTAACTTACATTTATAGGTGTAATTACAAACCCTCAAATGTTAAATCTTTGGTGTAGCTAGCTATCAATAAATATGTGATGTTAAGTCTTAAAAGGGCAAAAACTCAACTAGAGCTACTATTAATTGGCCAGGGTTGTCGGTATTCTAAAATCATTCACATTTCACTTCTGATTCTACAAAAATTACTTTGAACTGTAAATATACATGTATTCTTCAAGTGATATCACTATACCTATATTTACTATTAATGCAACTTATTATTACTATTTTTACTACTGTTTTTGTTGTGGTACTAGTACCACTACTACTTCTACTTGTAGTTCTACTTTACCTCTACTTCTACACCTGCTTCTACTTTCATTCTACATTTCCCGAACAATACGTATACAGCTCATCATTTCTTTCTTTCTATAACCCTCCACAACCAGTCAACACCTGACACTGTCCGAGTTTTCAATTTGTGAGTGTTTTAGTAAGTGACGGCATCTACAAAGTGCCACTAGACTTTACAGAACACTACAGTCCAGGAAAATACCTGCCAATGAATGTATCAGGGCTTGTTTCTGTTTTGGTTTCTTGTGTCGAGTTCCTGGATGAAATAACCAACACAATCAACATGATTGAGTCACTTGTGAATCAAATCAAGATCTGTTGCCACAGAACGTTGCTTGGATTTTTCAGTACCATAGATAGGCCTCATACCTTTTATTTTTCCGTACTAATTAACATACATAAACCAAAACTAATCCAAATTAAACCGGTTAGGCATGCAGTCAGTTCCACATTCAATCCATACAGAGTAAAAGAAACAGATGATACCTCATGCTTAGCCACTGATATGTAATATGTAGTAACATTAAAGCTCACCACAACCAGGTAATATTAAAAGTGGCAGTAATTATACCATGCTTGTCAAAATTCTACATGATCTGCACCGTAAATGCATTCCCGTTCAATTTTATGTCTATATTCTTTTTTATTATAGTTCTTTGATGTCTAATGCATGTATTTAATAATTGATAAAATCAGGGATGACTGTTTATTTCTATTCAGGTGCCAACCAGTTTAATTCAAATGCCAACCAGTTTAATCCAAGTGACAACCAGTTTAATCCAAGTGACAACCAGTTTAATTCAAGTGCCAACCAGTTTAATCCAAGTGACAACCAGTTTAATCCAAGTGACAACCAGTTTAATCCAAGTAACAACCAGTTTAATCCAAGTGACAACCAGTTTACTAGCAAGAGTAGCATCCACCAGAACCCACTGCTTTCTTTTGCATTCTTGGTCTATTATCTTGAGATTTTTGAAGAATAATCAATCTTTTAAAATTCACAGTTGAAGTATCAACAATGATAACATGTTCATATAAAGTTATGTCTTTTTGTCAGTGTCTATGGTTAAAATTATGCAAAAGATTCAACCAATGCCTACCAAAAAGCGATATTAAAGTCCTAACATGGTTCCAATTCGATTTTTACAACCCATGATCAAGCGTAATTCAGCATTTTTGGATAAGCAATGATGGCTTTTCATCAGGTGATTAATTTGCTAGGTAATCAAAGCCTCTAAAAGAAGGAATACGCTATCTCTAGAAAGAAATTGTTGGCGTAAACATGAAGGATTCTTTTGTCCTATCCGTGTATTACTATTGAAAGGTGGCTGTTTACTAGTAGCAATAGTTAAACTGCCATCAAAATGGTTTCTTGTATCTTAAAAATTAGCCCTTTGGTGCAAAAATATAAAAAAATTTGTGCCCTTTCAATTATTTTTTTAAATACGGTCGGAAATTGCAGCAGTGAATTAAACTGGTGGCAGCGGTGGGATATGTTTTACATCCAGGCCCTTTTTCACAAAACCTGTTCTCAATCACAAGTTATGATGATTGATATGAGCTACAGAAACTACTGCCTTTGATTGGCTGTAAGCAAAGGCATGTGGAAGTTTCTATCCATAACAAGTTTTGTGAAACCGGGCCATGAACAGAGATTTTTTTCATGCATGAGGCAAGATTCCCATGTCCGATATCCAGAAAACCATTCTCAGGCCAAGAATAAAAACCACTAGCAGATAGAAAAGGTATGAGGGATTCGCAGGAAAATCTTGCTTTTTTGGAGTGAAATGTAGACAGAAAAATACCTTCTGATCATGGTTGAATTACGTCTGTGCCACTGGGTCATGTTTAAGATTTGAGGACCAGACGGTTGTCCGTCAATATACAACGGTTTACATGACCTGCCCCAACAAAAATGTTGACACAAAGGCCAATACCGTAGAGAAGGGAATGGGTTAAGGAGAGGAAGGGTGAGTGGATAGATACGAGGTTAGATATAATGGAAACTCATTTAAGGAATAACAAAGGAACTTTAGGGCGTACCTTGATAACGGTTTTCTCTGAGACAAATAACTACTACAATGTCAAACCACAATTAAAAAGGACAGAACAAGTACGTAAGCTACAGTAAAACAGTAATATCAATTCAAATGAATAACAGGTATATCTCCAAATAAAACGTAAGTAATTTTAAATCATAATTATCACAAATGAACCAGTGCTAGGCTACCTGTACTAAAAATAACTAAAAAATATATTAGACTATAAAAGACAATGTTTAGTTTTAAATCTCCACTTAAACAAGATTCACATTCTGTAAATACACGTAGTCTGTATGGAAATGAAGGCCTTTTTAAAAGATAATAAGCTGTACACCCTTCATCAGAATAATACATATATTTTGCATAAAATACAAAGGTCAATGCATCCTACTCAGGCAGAAAAATAGTCTTTTCAAATGATAGCTTTCAAAGGCTGATTCTTATTGGTTAATGGGCGATATGGAATTGCCAATGAACATTTTCTTATCAATGATAAGCATTAAACTTGTGGCCTGAAATCCTAAAAATGAGAACATTCCAATGACTAAGTTGATTTCTGATGAAAATCCATTAGATATTGAGTTTTCTCCACAATAAATATGATAACATACACATATGAATTCATGTATGACAAATATATAAATAACCAGTATGGTATATAGATCACCAATTATGAATGTATGAATGAGAGACCCCATTGACACATGGAATGTTTGATCGCAATGTTCCTGGTGAGACAGTTCAAATGAAACATCTATTTTCAAAGTACTCTGCCAGATATGTATCAGCTATTAAACATTAAACCCACTACTTATGATAAAAAAACATTCATTTTTCTACTATGATGAGTACTTCTACGACTACTACTTACTCCTACTATTACTACTACTACTACTGCTACTTTTACTAGTACTACTACTTCTACTGCTACTACTACAACTACTACTTCTACATTTAGAGTGTACTACTTCTTCTTCTACTAATCCTACTATCAACATAACAACCATCCTGCTACAATTCATACCAATCGTAATTGTATCTATATGTAGGCCTATTTTATGTGTCAAAGTGATTTCTTGCCATTAAAGACCCAAACCCCATTCAATCTCATCGATTCCTCATCTTGGAAGAAAAAAAAAATCTATTAAAAGCGAAGGATACATGTACCTTCATCCATATATTTTCTGTCAAGAGTCAGAAGGGCATTAACACCTGTATTTTAAAACAGATTTAATGTCCTTTTGGCTTTAAACAGACAATATTTTAAATCCCATTAAACAATGGAAGGTACTATTATTGATTCAGAGACAAAACATTGACATACCTTTCTTGTACTTGCATGCCATTTTTGCCTCCAGCGCCAAGGTTGGATGGAACAGCAAGAGCTGAAGAGAGAGAGACAAAATTCAACTTGCAAACTAAGTCAGGCAAAACCTATTTTTAAGTGGCTAGCTTGATAATCTTTGTGTACATTCTATGCTTGTTGCAAACATTAATGGTTGATGCTTCTATTTTTGTTGTTTCTATAAGTATTCTTTTGTAAAGTGGTGTTAAAAAGACTAGGCCTACTGGGAGCAGATACTCGAGCTGTCTTTTTTTCTAGAAAAACTAACCAACTTCAATTTTCATATTTGCCATATCTTATCAATTCCAGTTTACTTAATACTACATGTAGTTATCTTCACGATTATCCCTCCCTCTTTATCATTATTCTTTTCAAAACTTTTAGCAGTTTTATATTATCATCAATGAAATCCACTTTATGATATTGATTTCCTTTATCATTATTAATATTATATCTATAATCACATTTTTATACTTATATCAACACAATAATCCTGGCTGATATTTTCAGCACTATTCACTGCCAAATTCATCATCATATATCACTTGTATTACTACTAAAGTCCATACACATTTAGACTTGAATAGTGCAATAATAAAGTTAGAAATTGCTTCATTGTATGACCTGTGTAAGTGAGCAATAGCAATTTATGTAATAGATGTGCATTGCTATCCTAAGCTAACAAATTTACTAAAGAAAGCTTCTAGTTAAGAACATCTCATGGAGTGTGATCATAAAATATATTCCAATTGGGAACTCAAGCAGTTTAAAAAAGGAGGATGAAATAATAAGTTGAAGGGAAAATATTCAGTTCAAAAGCAATATGAGGATAGGAAGCAAATTTTGATAAAGGGTTAATAGGCAAAAATATAAATACATAAACTGATAATATAAAATACTAAGATAAAAATGAAAATGTTCACTTCTATGAATAAATATGTAACTCATAATATTATCCAAAATGAAATTATATGGTAATCTAAGGATGGTACATAAAACATCTGTCTAGGAAAATGAGATACTATCAATAACAAGAAAGCTTGCAAATGAAATTGAATAGGCAATGAATACTTCCATGAAATATAGAGAGGAAATGTGTTTGTTATGTCTCTGAAACACATGATAGGTCAATCATAATGTAAGGAAATATATGAAGCGTTGGGGGTAAGAATGACTGGGGGGGGGGGAATATTTGACAATTGTCAATTTGATATTAAAAAGATGTCATAGTTGGCTGATATATAACAGATTTCACATTTACACAAAAAACCAGGGTATAATATAAAGGAGTACAATTTGGAGTTATACAGAGTGTATATACATATTTAGTAAACAATTAAAGTTATAAACCGCAAAGACTTACATGAAGATTAATTACAAAGACATTAAGACATATCTAAGACTGATTTAGAATATATATAACATGAATAATAACAAATACATGTACAAAAAAGTGGCAAAATCAATTATAAACATAAAACAAAAAGAAATAAATAACATGAATTTAACAATGAAAAAAGAATAATAAAGTAAGGAAAAATAAAAATCAATGAAACAAAAATGAAGTAGAAGACCCCTGTTTCTTCAGTTGTGGACAATATATATCATTCATTTAATTTTACATTGCCATGAAAAAAATATTTGAAAGATTTAAAAGATTTGCAGGTCCTCTTACCATTATACAAATGGTAGAATCGTTTATCGGCAAATAAACAAAATAAAACTTAGAAATTGAATTAAAATGATTGAAAAAGAGAAACAAATGACCTGGTAATGATGAAACAGTTGAAGTAACCCACACTCTGTCACTGTCAACAGTGTGGGTTATTGTGGTGTGCAATGACAATGTGTAAAACACTGTTAACATATGTAAGAATGTGGCGCTTAATGAAGTCAAATGCAAAAAAGTGTGGGTTATTATGGTGTGTGTGTGTGTGTTTGTGAGTGTGTATAAAGATGAAATAATGTCCAAATGACATAGTGTTTATGTATGAATACTGGGGAAATTAGGAATTTTGTTGTGGTCTACATCTATATTTCATCTTCCACAACATTTTATAAATATCATAGGCAATGTCATTTAAATGGTAAAGACAAGTGCCCATTGCAGATCACGTACCACAGTGTACAAGCAATACCGCAACGATGTGTGTACACATACTCTGAATGTATGCAGTATGTACATGCACACTTTTATCAGTGTGGTTTTTGCAAGAGCAATTTTCAGTACAAAAATACAAGCCACAGTTCCACATAGTGTGCCACAATGTACCACAGTGTACCACAAGCATTATTGTCATATGTGAAACACTTTGTGTGTGCAAGTTTCCATCAAATGTGTGCAGCATAAACATGCACTATTTTAATCATTCATCAGTGAAATACTGTGTACAATTTGTTGCAAAAGCATGATTGAAGTACAAAATTCTGGACACAGTCCCATAAAGTGTGAACCACAGTGTGTACATAGTGCATAAATGTCATATGTGAAACAGCATTGTGACTGTACATACACCAATGTACTCATGCCTGTAGTAAGAGTGTGGCAGTGTAAAGTTGTCTGCTAAGAGCAAGAAGGGCATTAACTCTAAAGTAAATTCTATATATTAATGCCTTTCTTGCTTTCAACAGACAATATGTGTGTTTCACTACACAAAAGACTCTATACTATGTACAAGTACATGTACATACATTTACTTGTCAGAGTTTCATATAATGTAAAGTATAGGTAATGAAATGATATCACAACTCAGTATCCTATCAAAATATACATTATGCGTTTGGCTACCAGTAAATGCATTCTAATACTCCATAGTTTGTTTTGCATTTTTTGTTTTTTATAAAAATATATTTACATCATCTAAGACTGCCATCCCTTCATGGACGGGTGTACATATGACTACCGGTATTTAAATCCTTTTGACTGCAACATGCTGAACTTGAGGGCATCACATATGGGAGGATATAAGATATTCCAGTATTCTATTCTTTTACAAAGGTAACAGACAGTTTACTTTACACTCCTCTTATGGAGATAAGTAGCCACATAGTAGACTATTTAACAATTTACAGAAGACATCTTAAGAGGGGTTGTACTCTCCTATGACCAATGCTTGACACTGGTTCCAAAGTTATATGGGTAGACTTTTACAGGGGGAACTGCCTTTAGCATGCGGTGTACAATATAGGGTGTACAGTGATATATGTTGACAAGTAAAAAATGGTAGAATACTACTAATGTGGGTAACAAAAACCTTCACAAGAAGATACTACATATACACGTCTATTATGCATATAAAAAGGGGTTATCTTTTTTGCCCATCTTTGTTGACAGACGCATTAAAAAGAGCTGCGCACCACAATCATGTGGGGTATGACACTATTCACGACAGGGGCACTTTCACATAGGGGGTACTTCTTCCAACATGCATTTACATTATATTCAGGGGAGTAAATGTACATCAAGATATATGGGGGTAGATATACAGGTATGTAATTTTGGTTTCACTAGAAGCACATTCCATCTACATTCACCATCTTACTATCTCCTTCATGGGTTTCCACCAATTTGTTGACATTTCAATAAGGTTGCGCACCACAGTAGCATGCAGTATGACACTTATCACATAAGGGGACTTTCATATGTGGCTACTGCTTCTAACGTGCATATACATTGTGTTCAGGGTTTCCACATAAGTATTGACATCTCAAAAAGGGTTGCACACCACATTAGTGCACAGTATAAAACTTATCACAACAGGGAGATTTCCACATTTGGGTACTGCTTCTAGCGTGCATATACAGTGTATTTTGGGGTGTACATCGAGATATATTTGGGTGGAATATGTATTTTTCATTCCACTAGAAGCACGTTCCATCGAGACATCCACTGTCTTACCTGTGTTCTCAGGCTCTGGCGATGATGATTTCTCTGTTGTGTTTATTTAGGGCAATTGAACAACAGGACAAATAGAAATCAGAACCTTATCTCATATTCTCTTTAGATATATATATATATATATACTGGAAACAATTGTATCACTACTTCTAAAGTTACATTTTGAATTTCATTTATTATGGTACTTTTTAACATTTCAAGTTAAAATTAGAAATGATTACAATCTAGTATTAATTAGAAAATTGAGGAAATTTGCCTCTTTCTTAAAAACTTGTTTAATTTGCTTTTGGCAAAGGCAAGCAGAGAAATGGCTCTAAATACATAACAATGTATTCTTCTTTTAAAACGTGGTTTTTGTTGTTGTGTGTGTCTTTCACAACATTTAGGATTGCAAATATGAAATAGAACCTGAAACAAATGCCACAGCTAGACTACAAGATTATTTTTTTTTTAAACTCAGAGGACTAGAAAGAGAGACTCACAATCCCTACATTTTATTACCAAATTAACATCAATAGATGTTGCATTGTGAACAATATATACTGTTCAGCAACTTTCTACACTTGTATATCTATATCCACTGACCATATTTTGAAAATCATGCTTTTTAAACATTCAATAATGAAGTCTGTTTTAACACTTTTTAAATCTTCCATTCACATACATATATACTTTAATAAAATAAAACTATCTCATTTTTTATTTCATTTTTTAACAGAAAAAAAATTAATTAAGGACAAATAATCCAGCTTGTTATTTCTAAGGGTGTGCATTCCTTATACTATAGTGCTTACTCTGTCTTGTAGGCTGGGTTGGTATCAGGGGTGCATTATTTGAATCTGTGTTTGAGGTAGATTCTGGAAGACGAAAATTTGGAGAAGAAAGACTACTATTCCTAACTGCCGCAAACTTCGTTCGTGGTGAAGTTAATGTGTGCTTTCTTGAAACTAGGAAAGCATATTTGCTAGAAGAGTGCAAGCACTGATTTGTTTCAAGTTAAGAAGCTGGTGGTTACATAATTTGCATATTGCATCACTAGATGGTTGTATTTCAATAAAAGTACTGAGATTAAGATAAAATACTACACATTCCGTAAATATGTACAGGCATATTTTCAACTGCAGTAATATATGGAATACAGAGGTTGTCTGATAATGAGATTAAGCAAGAGAATAATAGCGAGATGAAAGAATAAGAGTATAGTAATCATTCACCATTAAAATGTGTTATATGGTCATCATAATGCACATTACCTGATTACTGTGTCATACACATGCCGAGAGGGTGATACCATATTTAAAAAGGGGTAGGGGTTCATCTGTTCATCAGGGCTGAGGGACTGACTAAAACGCGATAACATGATTATTTTTGGAGTGATTTGATGGAAAAATGGGTAACGGCTATGTATGTGTGATGTAACACATCAAATACTTGAAGGAGATGGAGGTTGATTTTTGGTGAATGTGTGAATCTCCATGAGCGAGTGGAGGAAAAAATGAAGAAGAGAGAAGAGGGCTAAAGATGGGATAATAGAGAAAGTTACAGAAAGATGAAAATAGAATATTGAGATAGAAAGATTGACAGTAAGGAGAGAAAGGGAAGAGAAAGGGATAGACGGGGAGAAACCAAAAAGAGGAAAGACCGAGTGTAAGAGAGCAAGAAGGAACGATACAGAGAGTAAAAGATAGAGAGAGGAAGAGAAAGAAAGAGAGGGAGAAATGGAGAAAAGGGAACATTTTGTAAACCTATGTTCCTATCATTACTTATCACATAGAAAAGAGTATAGGTCATTACAGAAAGAAAAGAGATTTATTTTTTTTAAATTCACTTCTGACATAAAAAGAGGTAGTCAAGAAAAGACAAAACGATGAATCTGATTGACAGAAGAGCGAAAGAGAGATGTCTGCATGAGGATGGCTGCTGTGGAAAAATTCAAAGTCGGAAGGAGAGGTCTTACCATCCATGGTCGGGGTGTGTTCTTGCATAGGTATGTTTTCCCCGTTGGATGCTGCGGGAACGGTAGTCGTGACTACAGAAGATTCAGTGGCAGAAAAGGACACATGGAGAGAGGGGGGGCAAGGGTCGCCATTAGTAGGGGACACTAAATATTTCAAACGAAAAACAACAAAGAGAGGCAGCACGAAAAAGACAAACAACGACATACCACGCACAGACAGACAAGGTGAAGGAGGCAATGAACGGTCGTCGGGGGAAGGAGGGGTCAAAGTTTGTGAGATGGAAAGCAAAGAAATAAAAAAATATAGAAAATAAAAGAGAAATAAAAGAGAATGGGATAATGAAAGGGAGAAATTAAAAGAGAGTTTTGCCGGCTGGATTTGACAAGCATTTTCTTCTTTAATATATTTAGACGACATGATGATGGTGTTTGATAGCAAAACAGCTAAGTTTTCGTCATTTGCTAATCAAAATTTCTTGTGTGAAGTGCTATCATGTGACTACACAGCTCTTTTGTGATCGGTGAAAGCATGCATTTTCAAATAAGCCCGAGCTTGGAAGAAGGTTGCATCAACTCATTACTGAACGGAGTGTCAAAGGGCAAAGTTTGGATTATTGACTAATTTTTATGTGAAAACATGGAGACAGGTGAACCTATAGAGAGTTATAATATTACTAAGCATGATAGAAGGCAGACATTGGCCTAACACAAGGATACATTTTTCCCTTTTATTTCTTTTGTTTGTACAACTATTGCACAGTAAAATGAGATCAAACTCCAAAGAGGGACTTAACCAATTTATATATTAGGGATAGTCAAGAATTAAATCTTAATTTTATTCTTGAGTTTTAAAAAATTGAATTTGCCTGATAGCCTACTATCCTATAGAATGTTCCTCATCATGCAATTGTCCATATTTTCCATTTGTATTTTTTTTTATAGACACACAAAATTGAGATCATCATTAAAATTTGGCTATGTCTCGGGCTTATTTGTCAAAGTGAAGTGTTTGTATACTCCATGATCACAAACTCACAAATGAGATTTTAGAGAAATAAATAAATAAGAATTTTCTGGGTTCTATAACCCTTTTAACAATGATTCGGGGACATTATCGATGCATTTCTTAAAAACTTATCTGTTATGGGAACAAGTGAATCACATACAGTAAACTACATTTTGAGAGAGTATATATCTTCACCATTTTAAGAAAGAAATGAGATTCTCTATCAATCTATTCATTACATTGAATGAAGACAATGTATTGTCCTCAGAGCGTTATTATTTGCTCGATCAAAGGATATTGAAACTATTATAGGACAACAGATATATTTTTGTTTATCACATTAACAGCCCAAATTACTTGGGTATATTTTCAATCAAATTCTAAACAAAGTTTCCTTCATTGATTCAATTGTGATAAGATATAAAACATATCAAGTACCGATCATATATAATAGAGATAAGCTTATACTTGTTTTCACATGATAATGATAACAATAAATATTGAATATATGTTTTTGAGCTTTTTTTTTGGTGTTATAACTTCTTCAGGGCAGAATAAAATGTGCCAAATTAAATCATAACAAATAATAAATAAATTTACATTTATCAGCAAAATGATATGAAGCAGCTAATGCAAATGTTTTGCCATTTCTTATCAAACTTATCATTCGAATGGCACAATGCTTTCAATGATTTAAAAAAACAAATGGATTTCTCTTGTAAAACCTCCATAACCTGCTTCAAATCTTGACTTTAAAACCTATTTGACAGCAAGTACAGCTGATGAGGAAAAGATTTTATTCCTACTCATAAAATAATACTTTATATGGTTTCTTTAAAAAAATGTTTGAGATTAAAACATTCTTTTGCAGAGAATCTTTCATAAAAGTTGTATTTTTGTGTTTTATATTTATGAACTTCAAAAGTCAGATCTTTTAGATGAATATATTTTATAAAAGTTCTGATTTTGTTGTGATTAGGCAACACTTGCCATGGCCAACGTGTTTTTTTTGTAATGTGTATCTATATTTTTACAGATAATATATATCAAGATTTTGAAACAGGTATGGATTGGAACTGGGCAAACAACTTAACAGGCAAATAAAAAACACAATAAGCAAATGCTTATCAACTTAAATGCTGCAAGTACATCTCACAAGCATGAACAAATGAACATTTTAATTTATTTCTGTATAGTATTTTGATTAGTAATTCTATTATATAGTTTCTAACTTTAATAGCCTGGCTTCAATTCTTAATTGTATCATATTTTTGCAAAGCATCATTATATAGAAATAGTCATCTGCAGCTATGTTAATCAGCCATCAAAATGCTCTGAAGATAAAAGAGAAGAATTCTTCATAAAATGTGTTTAAAAAGTCACTTTTTATGAAACAATATTCCTATATAGTCGATGAACCTAATTTTTTCTAGAAAATTCTGTTTGTAAAGTGAAAATGAAAAAAGCAATTAAGAATAGTCTAAGCAAAAGAAATATGATCTCTACAAGTGATTTATATGTCAACAAAATTGCCGCCTCTAGCTTTAAGACTGTACAGTGTATTTCGTATGCAGTAATTAAGAGAAAAATAAAGAAGGCTCTAGAGTCTTGTGTATTGTGTAACCTCATACTTCAATAGCGGTGGTGAAATGGTCTGATAGCACATGAACGTCATTGCAGAGTTGTGATTATGTTTTGTTGAAATATCACGATCTAAAAGTCATTTCCTTTGAGCTGTTTTGAATTGCTCTTGAAATGGTACAACAAGCCTTTCTATTGATGATCAATCTTCTAACATGTTTTCTTTTTTTATCTAGCAGACTTGAAGCATAATGTGACACATCAGATAATTCTTGAAAACAAAATGGAAGCATCCTAATCAAAGCATCCTAAGTTGACCTCTCTTTTTTGTGTGTGGAGAAATATGACCTCCCAAACTACCACCCTATGGTCAAATACCCCTAGGACAGCCTCCCCCCCCCCCTCGCCCTCCTCCACCCAACTCTCAAACAACCACCCACAAGGGGGTACCATACCACATGGACTACCCTGTACATGGGGTTTAATTGTCATATGGGATCGGTGTTCCACTCTTGGGGAGGTAGTCCCAGACCCCCCTGGGGCAATCGTTTGGGGCAGGTGTCTGGGGTACAATATTTTCTAAGGGTAGTTGTCCTATAGTTATCTTTTTGTTTTCATTAAGGAAGGGGTCTGAGCCAAATAGAACAAATGAACAAGATGCTGGCATGCATCAACAATTCATAACCAACACAAATATTAAAAAGTTTAAAAGTTAAAAGTATTCAAAATGCTCAGGCAATTATACAACAATAATATAGTAGTAAAAACAAAACTGTTTATCAATCATGAAAAAGATTAGTATAATGTTGGAACAAATCATGAAACAAATTACTGAGCTAATATAATAATATACCCAAGCCTTCCAATATGCAAATATAACATATTTAATTACAAAGAAAACTAATGAATGAAATGCTATGCAATTGGATGACTGTATTAATATATTTTTTTGTCACTAAACAATTTAATGATAGTCAAGTCCCTGGTGGGTTTTATGCAAATTGCAGCTAGATTGATATTGGTAAAATCTAGACTATACTAGAAAAAGAGGCATGAGCAATTTTGCAGCTTTGTAAAAAGAAAAATCCCCTTCTCTACAAAAATGAGAGTACATGTTTAGAAGTCTACAAGTACAGAATTTTCAGTTGCTAAATGAGCTATATGCTTTCTAGATGTTTCTAAATTTCTTTTGTTTTAAATTAGATCAGCAACATTTTTATCTTGGAAATATTTCTACAATCTACAACATCTAGTGCAAAATCTTTCCGATGAGATCTATTAATTTTCGCAATGCCTCTAGTGCACTCTAAGGTCCTGTTAAATAAAGTCAGCGCCCGTTTCCTTTTTGTGAGAACAATGAATATGGCATTCAGTTAATTGCATAACATCATATTATATATGCTGGGGGTGTTTCACAAAGATCCTACATTGAACTTACCTCTAAGTTGGACTTAACAATTATGGAAAGCCGTCAGCATCATTGAAAATATTTTGTAAAAGTTAGTTCAAAAGGAATAAAATTGTGATTCCAATCATTCATATTTTCTATCATCAAGGAGATTTCATGTTCCTGAAGTTGAATTTATGAAAAGTTTAAACTACTTAAATTATTGCTTTTTAATATACTTTATTCTAAGGCTACAAAATGGCTCTCCATAATGTTAAAGTCCAACTTAGAGTTAAGTTCTACTTCGGATCTTTGTGAAACACCCCCTGGATTAAAAAAATGAATCAAGCACGATGGATTGATTATGGTAGTACATTCTCAGGCAGCCAAGCATTGTGGGACAAAAAAATTAAGTGTAAATGAGAAACAACAAAAAATAACTTGAATAGGAACACAGCATAAAGCAATGAGAAAGCAACGAGATAGAAAAGGTAGAAAACCTGTTGAAGAAGTTGGCGGGTGCTGCTTCTTCTTCTTATGGCCGCCGAAAATTCGGTTTTTGCGGACCGAGGAAATGCGTCGTCTGTTGAGGTAGTCCGCTGTGAAAAATGGGAAACGATATGCAGACGGTTGTTTTAAAGAGACGAGAGAAAGAAAAAGTTGTCTGGCTGTTATGGGAGAGAGAAATTGTTAGTTGTCGGTGCGGGAGGCATGCAGGGGGCCGGGCGGCAGGCTTGCAGTTAAAAACATCGAGTTCGGGAAGGTGTAGGCGTGTCTCCTAAAACATTCAGCATCCATGCTCAGGAGGGATACTAGTTACTAAAATAAAAGTGGTGCAAATTAATCAGGAATAAGAAATCATACTGGTGTTTAACCATGCACAGAACAAGAGGTGGAGGAGATGAATCTTTCTAATTGGCGGACATTTTTTTTTACACAACCATGCACTGATATCACCTACGGGCGGGCTGTTTACACAAGAGGCAATTTTTTAGAGGTTCAAATACATTTGAATCCCCTGTAAAAAAAAAATTCCAATGTATCCTGTGCGAACTCATATAACTGCTCAATACCTGCATAAATTATATTCATTGTGCAATTCTTACAAATAAATGCGCTTAATCTCAACTAGTTCCTCAGATCGATGGAACTTACCATCTCGTAGCGCTTCATTATCACAAAACAAAAACCAGTTCACAGTGGTAAAAAAGTTAATTATTGCAAATTCATTTCAGTACTTTTTTGCAAAGGGAACACAACCGTGATGTATTCAACTCAAGGAGAGTTGGACAGCATTTGTAAACCTTATCAACCCTTCAGGACAGAATTTATTTTAGGGCTAAATTGATCACTTATTGTTCTTTAAATTGGCAACAATAATATTTTTCTTTTATCGCTACGTTGATAGAATAAAATGTAATGTCTATGAGAACAATAAACATGGGCGGGAATGCTGTAGAAACGTTCAAGAAATTGCCAATTTTTATTGAAAAACAATGATTGTAATCTCCCAACTTGTTGCTAATTTAAGGATTTTAAAACTCATTTACCTTCATAAAATTCCTAGCACCATGTGCAATAACGTCTTGTAAGAAAAAAGGAATGCAGTGTGTGGAGAAATTTGTGTCCTTTCCACTTGGGTATCTGGTATATTTGGTTTATTTTTTAGGGCTTTTAATCAAAATTTATTGAGCCAAACAAAATGTGGAGTGATTGTTACGAAGGGCAAAAGGACATTAGAAAATAATAAAGTGTAGATGCTACAGGAGAGAATGAGAGTTTTAATAGACCGTAGAGCTCGCCTTCTTGGGGCCTCTAATACAGCCTTTACTTGGGCTCTCTTCAAAATGGCAACTCAAGAAAGAGTTGCATTTACCAATTGACAAACCCAGTTTTTTTAGTTAAAGCTATGTCAGGAAAGCTTGACAAAAGCTTTCTGGTCATCTAGATGAACTTAAACTTATTTCCAAGACATGCTTTAGTTTGAATACTGATCGACTTGGAGCTATTCATATCTTCCTTTGAAATAATGAAGAAAAAATACGAAAAGAGTGACTACTCTCAACAAAGGCAATGATCACAATATGTGAGACAATATCATTTTACTGGTGAGAGCCAGCAGAGCATTGACTTTGTGGCTAACGGATTGAGTTAGTACTCTTCTGGCTCTAAACAGACGCTACCTCCTACTAAGACTAGGTCTAGGGCACAAAACAATCACAGACGCATACAACAAAATGACTGAACGAAACAATCGCATACAAATGTCTGATACATTCACTGAACAAAACAAACGATTAGATGATATATATAAATATTTTCGGTATTGCCAAGAGTTGGCTATGTTTTACATATAGTGTATAATAAGGTGTGCTAGAAAGAGAGGATTTGTGCAGCTCAGATTTCTATTCAGTGAGTACAAGGCCTTGTAGATTTCAAGGATATGAATAAATATATATATATAACAGTCAAACACGTGCAGGCGGGCAATATGTATACTAAACTGTGTGCACGATAGTGCGATTTTTACATATGCAACAAGATCACCGAAGGGAAGGGTATGGTGTATATATATGTTTGTAGGCATATTCATAAATCATATTAATTAACATCTCTTATTATACAACCATATAGAGAATCATAAGGAAAAAATTGTCAATATATTAAGTCTTCAATATAAATATTTTAAAGAGTATTAATCATTGTTATGATGTCTTATATACTGTATAACTGACAAGAACCCTGCCCTAAAGGATTTCACTTTTTTTTTTACAATTATGATCATCACAGCAAATACAATGCCCTCTTAACTATATATAAGTTTGAGTCTATACACATAAAGTTCTACAATTTTCTTGCAAATATCAGTTACTTGACTACAATAGCAACAACAAAACAAGTTGGAATGTTCAATATATTTGCTTCACAGATTCTTAGAGAAAGAGATGTAGAATTTGTATGACAGAGTCATAATACTGGATAATTTACATTAATACATTAGACACTGCAATCTATCAAATATATGACATATTTTTAGAATGTGTTAGATTTCAACTGCAAACTGGTATATTGCTGAACCCTTCCTAAGAAATGTTGATAGATACACATAACTTGAGAGAGAGAGAGAGAGAGAGTAATAGAGTGGGAGAGATGAAGAGAAGAGAAATAGAGAAAGAGAGAGAGAGAGGAAGAGAGAGAGACAGAGAGAGAAAGAGAGAGAAAGAGAGAGGAAGAGAGACGGAGAGAGACAGAGAGAGAAAGAAAAAGACAGAGAGAGGGAGAGAGACAAAGAGAGATGAAGAGAGAAAAGAGACGAGGACAGAAGAGATGAACTTCTAGTCACTGCACTATAAGGTCAAAGGTCAACATACCATTATCGCAGCCACATTGCTTGATCTTATCTACATCAACAACATCCTCGTGACACGACTTGCAGTAGAAGTAGGCCCTGTAACAGAGAACAAAATTAAAAATTCACATTAAAAATAACAGCATGTAAAGAGTCAATGACTGTACTGAAAGTCAATAAACCAATCAGTCAAAATCAAGGTACGAGTGATGGGCATAGTTGTGTACATATGTCACGAGCATGCTTTGGTGTTAGTTGTGTCTGTCATGTTGCCTCAGCTGTTTCTTGCGCTTGTTGCTGTCTGGCATTATCATGAACGGTTGGCTAGGGCAAGAAAAGGATATGAGTGCCATGGCAGGGATTCAAATCCTTAACCATGTGATAAATGGCCTGATGGCTATAACACTAGACTGCAACACCTCTACATATAAACATGAATGAAATCAATGGGACCACAGAATGGAAAAGCCCATCGGGAAATGTAAAGTAGAGAGCTTCCAGTGACTACTCCGAGACAGCTAATGCCCTTATGCCATTAAACCTCCTTAGTCTTCCTTAAACCGCTTGTAATATTTGGATCATCTCCATGACAGGCTGCATAGCCCTTAAAAAATTAAAGCCCGACTACACTAATTAAAGCTACTTGCTGCCTCTATATAGAAAAAAATGCCTAAGCGGTGCCCGTTGGTCCCCCATGATCCTCTTTTTCTTATGTTAATTGAGAGCTGAGTTGATGAGATAACCACCTGTCAGTGACCATGCAGGGAGGTCTAATCTCTCCTGGCCAAACTAGTGCAGACAGGCTTTAATGGAAGAAGAAGACCATTTTCACACCATAAAATTTGAAACAGTTGCATATTTGACCTTTACCTTTTGACCTCCTGAGCTGATGGGGCGACGAAGAATCCCAGAGTTCCTTCCTGGACACGGACATGAGGGCCGGGATTGATAGCAATGCTGCATCATGGGATAGAATACATGGAGAAAAGATAATCACATGAGATAGCAATTAACTTAATTTTCTTATAACTACTATTGAAATTCTGTAGCAAAAGCACACAACAAAGTTTGTTCCAAAAGCCCAAAAACTGTGTTTGAAATGTTACATTTTACATGATATTGGTAGTTTAAATCATTTTAATGTAAAACAAAATTGAACTGATTCATCTATATCATGACAAAGCAAACATTCTGAACAAAAGCTACTCTATATAATAGGTATTCAATTGGTTTCACACATTTCCATAAATCTCTGTGTATAAGACGCACTTTTTTCCCACCGAAAAAAAAAAGAAGTCTGGGGTGCGTACAAAAATATATATATATGTATATATATATATATATATATTTTTTTTTTTTGTGTGTATGTGGGTTGATTTATGCCCCCTCCACCTGCAATGTCTCCCAGCTCAGTCATACAAGGTGTGTTGACTCACCACTCACACCAATACAGTCAGAGTACGATACTGTAGGAAGTTATTTGAAGTGGCACAGTCACTATGAATATGACTGACAAAGAAAGCGGACAAAATATACAGTTCCTCGGGAAGACAAAGGAACATCCCTTCACTGCTATTATGTAAAAATATGTAGAACAGGTGTCACATGCACATTCACCATTTTACATAATAGCAGAGAAGGGATGATCCTTTGTCTACCTGAGGAACTGTATATTTTGTCCGCTTTCTTTGTCTGTCATGTTCATAGTGAGTAAAACTGTACTAGATTATATAATCTGTAATCCAGGTTACAAATTTGCAACAGTAATGTACTCTCACTATTTGTCACCTGGGTTATAGTGATGGCAAAGCATCAAACTGTAGGATCGAACTACAACAACGCTATCTGTATGGCCGGATTTCTGTTTGGACTTGGAGAAATTTTTTTCTGGTATCTTTAGTTTTAAAAATGACATTGTTACTATTATTTGTGACAAGTTCACAAGAACAAATCGGCACCTTTAACTGCACCTCGCAGTAAAATAAAGGTCCTTCCCCACATGCGTTTTTGAACACGGATCTGGCTTGCTGTCTATGGAGCAGCAAAAAAAAAAAAAATTCCCCCCCAAATAGGGGTGCGTCTTATACACAGGTGCATCTTATACACTGAGATTTACGGTACTTTACGGGTATATCATGTCAATTTACTTTGAGAGCACACTAAAACTTATAGTGACTCGGTAACATTGCCTCAGATTCTGAAACAAAATCCTGGATTTAGCTCATGCTGCAATCATAATTATAAACCTTTAGATCAGTCAGGAATCCCATGACTTTCGCCTGTCTGATTATCAAGACATTTATGATTGGAAATCGAAATGTCATTTTTCGTTTTCCTAACGTTTTTTTTAATTACACTACAGTCTATTGGGAGAAATGGGTATCGTAAAACCGGTCACTCAAAGATTTTTACTTTTTTGAGGCATTTCATGATCATTTTGAAGCGCAATTTTGTTAGGGCTTCCATATTACACAATATCACAGACACTGATAACACGTAGGGCCATGCATCTTAGATTAAACATTGATAACATTGGATAGGTGACTCTACAGGTGATGGTTCATTAAAATATGAAGTCGGTTTATACTTACACACTCTCGACTGTATCAATGTTTGCCTCCACAGCAATGATTAGCAGCTTCAGCTTCTGGAAGCAAATTCTTTAATAGGAAGTAACAAAATAAGGAATGGTGATTACATCATACCAAACAGAATGGGAGATAATTAACAAAGAAAACAACATGGCACACAAACATTTTGAAAGAAAATAATAATGAAATGGGATAGGAATAAAGAATAGAATGAGTAGACACTGAAAAAGAAGGAAATGGTGAAGACAGATTGCGAGTACCGGTAGACTAGTCGATGCACACATCGACTTATCACATAGAAGAACCCAAGTCCGACTTGGGTCTCATGTGGGCATTTTAGGTTATTCTTTAATTTCTTTATACTTCTTTACCGATCCTTAGAATGCCAAGGGTGTGTTTCACAAAGATTAAGATCTACTCTAAATTGGACTTTACAATGGCAGGCTGTTCATGCCACTAATTGCTCTCACCATTATGATCTTTAGATAATGTTTTTTCTGTCAATAATGAATTATAAAAATGTAAATTCTGTAGATTTGTGACCATGATTTGTACGTCCCTTGGTAAATGGTGAGAGCGAACAGTGGCATAGACGGCCTGCCATAATTAAGTCCAACTTAAAGTTGATCTTAGTCTTAGGTTACCTATTATGAGGTTGATTTTACAAATTCTAGCTGTACAGAAATTTCTTTTTTTCCTTCTCTGATTGGCACGCTTTAAACGTGCACTCTCAAAGGGTATAAAATAGAGTATTCGGTTACCATCATTTAAAAAAGTGTATTTGTCTACTTACTGTGTAACTTCTGGAAAGCTTAGTCCAGTAAAGGATTTAGAAAGATACTCTGTATACATCTCATTCCCGCATCCTTCCAGGTAGTTACTTTGCCATGATCCCCTGGGTACTTGCTGAAAAAAGACGGCCACAACAAAAAAGCAAAAATCAGTTTCTGCATTTCCCTATACAAGCCCTAATCAAATTCCCTAATTTCTTGTAAAGATTAATCTAAACTTCATAAGAAAACTATTTTCTCAAAGGTTCTACTCCCATTTATGTCTGCTGACAACCAGGGCCCTGTTGCACAAAACTTACCATTGATGGTAACTTTGCCATCAATGGTATTACTACCATGGAAACCTAGATTTTGATTGACTGTTGAGCCCTGTTACCATGGTAGTTGCCATTGATGGCAAAGTTACCATCAATGGTACGTTTTATGCAACAGGGCCCTGAAAGGCATTCATAGACTTTTATCTAGACTTAACGACCCTCTATCTCTCAGTAAATGATGAGCATAGATACATTTACAATAGATAATGTGACCCTTGTCTACAAAGTTCATAACATGACTGCCATTTCCTGCCATGCTACATGAATATCCTTTGGTCATACAAAGATGGCAATCATTAAGTGATAGCACAAAGCGGGATACCATCATGATGCAATCACGATGTGATTACAAACAATGGAATGCGATCTTGATGGTATCCCACACAATAGAATGAAATCATAATGTGATTGCACACAGTGGAATGCATTTATAATGCGATCGCATACAAGATCATGCAATCGTTATTTGAATGCATATGTTTAAATGCAATCATGATGTTATTGAGCAACTTGACAGGAAACTGGCAGGCATGAGGTCAAGGGTCACTTTATCTATTCCAAAATATATCATCTGCAGGTATTTAGGAATCTAATTTCAAAATTATTAGGGACAAATTAAAAAAAAATCAAATGGAATGTTATCAGATTTCTACCATCCCTATTCTTTATCTGGATCTAATCAAAGAAAATATTGTCTTCAATACTATTTACCATTTCCTTCCCCCTCCCTTCTGCACCATCATTGAACTATCGTGAGGGAAAAGGATGATGCTTTGATTGTTACCTTGGGGGAAATGAGAAACTAATGATATGCCATCAACTGATGATATGCCATCAATTGTTGAATTTTACACCCACACAAAGCATTCTCTCATGGTAAATGTTTTATATTTGTCTACATGCCCTAAATAATTATAATGGAAGTCTCTATGACATATTTTAACCCCTCTACAGTACAGGGAAGTGTCCATTTGACCAACTATATTGGCAGACTGAATAACGAAACACATCAAAAGTTTCCCTGTTTACAAATTTTCAATGCTGGAAAGCAGAACAGAAATATGAATTGTATTTTGCTCTGTCTTCAAAACAAGAAATCACAGCTAGAACAAATTAACAAGTTACTTTTCAAAGTTTGACAAACTGTGTGGCAAAAAAAAAATTGAACTTCCACTTAAAAAACATACAGGCAAAGCAATATCAAATGAACAATTACACAAGAAAAAAACAAGTGCAAATAAAAGCAAATTGAATCTTATCAAAATGGGGATGAAATATGTCAAAGACCCCATCAAAATTTAGCCAGATTAAACAGATTTATTCTTTAAATAATGATATCATAATTTATGCAATATAAATGAATGTTAGAAATTTGTTAGACATGACCAACTTTTCCATTTTAAGACAAATTTTAGTGAACCTTCTGGCTGTGCGGCTATGCATACATATTTGAATATATATTTAAAGCATTTGTGATTTCTGAGTAGTAAAACCGGAGTCCATCTTTTCAATGGAATCTGGAAAGCTAGACTAAGATTAGATGAACATATTATCAATGTGAAGATTTTAAAAAAAGGTAAACTGCAGGGGGTTTTTCTGTCCAAAAATCAACTACTCGGGCACAGGAATAAAACAGCAAGGATCTATGGAATTTACAAGGTAGTGGAATCAACTTCTAGCCAACATATATTGTCTTTTTCTTTCTTATTTTTTAACGCTACAAGCAGGTGAAAGAAACAATGACAATTGATATGCAGGACATATGAGAATGACAAAATAATGGGGAAATGAAAACGGATTAGCGTCTCATCCATGCCACTGACACTGTGCTCAAGGTACATTTACTCTGTGGAAGTCAAAAAGCAGTGAGCACAGTTACACATGGTGAAGTTAGCAGAAGCTTTAGCTGGTACTCAGGGAAAAATGATGGTGGCTTTAAGGAGAAAACAAGCTGCAATCAGGGATGTTTGCTTCATGCCTCTCTCAAAAGTTTTTGAACGTGTCTAAATTAGGAGATCAGCAATTGCCTGTGGCATACAAGCTTATCTCATTGAAATTGAATAAACAAATTCAAAAGCTTTTGAAAAAGACTCAAATGTATTTCAAAAATCAAAACAGAAAGGGAGAAACTGGTGGCATAAAAAGGCTTGGGCAGGATTTGTGAATTAGTAATTTTGTTTCAAATTATTCAAAGTATTAAAATAACAAGTCAAAGAGACTGAGATAGATAATAAATTGTAAATTTCATTTTATATTGCACTCATGCCCTGAAGAATAATTTAATTTTTCTTCATATAATATTTTTTTCCTCACATAATATGTTTAGGAACTCCTCGCCAAACAATTAAAAGAGGCAAATAGCATACCAAACTTTTCACAAAATTCATTATAACTAAGAAAATTAGATTGGAAAAATAGACTTCAAAATTCATTTTCATTTACTGATTTTTAACATTTTTACTGTGAATAACAACAGATAAGAGAAAAATGTTGAAAAAAGACGACGAGCTTTAAAATACTTGCTTTAATTTGAGGACTTGACAGAGTGAGCATTACAAATTAATTATCTAAGTTCTCTTTTGAAGTGAACAACACAGAAATATAAGACAATCTTGATAAATTTACTTAAAATGTGGTATGAAATATCATGTAAGGGAATTAATTGAACGATGTCACTCTCAAAGCTTGTAAAATCAAACAAATCAAAAAATAATGTATGTACATTGAAAGGGGTGATTTTTGATACAGTGGATTCTTTATAGAAACACCATTAATTACCATCAAACAACAATGAATAGCATGTATGCAAATTCATTTTGATATTGATATCAATTAAACAGATGAATGTTAAATAATTTCAGAATGTTGATTGTTACATGCATGATTGATGCATGATGGTAAATCAAAGTACCTTTAATCAAAATTAGGAACACTTAAATGCATGCCTTTAAAAGTAAATCACACAGATCTACGAGAATAACACAATCAAACGCACAAAGTAATGACATCTGATTCATTCGTTGAACATATGAAACGAACATTGATGGTGCATGTTGCAAGAAATAGTCAATCGGCATAGATATTTTCTTTCACGTTTCACATAAATTGATGACGATGCAATGAATTCTCGATGACATGGTTCGTGCTTTCTATCTCCTACATAATACATAATTTCACTTCGATTTCCTTGCTTGAATAATTTCACGTATCAAGTTCTTTTTTTCCTTTTTTTTTCTTTCTGACAGAGTGCATAGTAATAAAGAAAAACGTAAGATACAGTTATCGAGTGCTGATGATAAAAAATTACGTGAAGCATGACCAAAAACTATAAAGAGATAGAAAATATTCATTTCAAATCAGCACGAAGCATCACATGGGCTACACTCAAAACGGAATACTTGCTATTTACCAGACTGGTCTTAGTTTGCGACATCAGAAATGGTGTGGCGTAACCCTGTATGAACCGTTTTCTCTTTTTTAGGGGGAAGCCGAAAAATCATAAAAGTCATACGGTGAGTATAGATAGGGTTTAGGCAATGAAGCACTCTGGAATAGTTATCAATCACCGCATCTTTCATGAAATACCTGCGGTTCTTCGGTATCGTTTGCCGGCACGATAACGTCTGTTCAGAGCCAGAAAGGTGTTAAGTCCATTGAAATACATGACTCAATGCCCTTCTGGTTCCAATCAGACGATATATGAAATGATGGAAATGTATATGTAAACTAGTGGAAGCATGGTTCGGGGTGGAGTTACAGGATATGTAGATTTTGTTTTCGATTATAGAAAGCTGCAAAAGATGTTACTCTGTCCCTCTTTTGAGGGAGGGAAAGTAACTTGCTGGATTGAAAGTGGACCAACGGTTTGAAGACAACAGGATGGAAGGAATGAAGCCCGGAATTTTTCAACAATTCGTCGTCTCCGACTTTCAGGACCCGACACGAGAGCATAAGGATTAAGAATTGCAATTACGCCAGTTTGTGAAATCAGGCATGAATTTCTGGTGGAATTGCTGAATCATTTCTGATACAAGCCATTTTGTTTTATAAACCAAATTAACCTGCCAAAAACACTCTTGACATATTCGAGTCACAATCTGTTCGGTAGAATATGAACCCTAGAATGCCTGAACACTATTGATGATAACATAGTATTCTAATAACACTCCCTTTTGCCTGTTAGCTCTGGTATACAGTTATGTCAAGTATCAGAGGTTTTTCCCTCTCTTTTTAAACTTGAGAAAACAAGTAAATATAAATATTCACAAGAATATCCCACCAAACATTTTGCTATGTTTGTTATAGACTTTTTATATTGTACTGCTTTGATGAACACCATTTTTTTTGTAAAAGCCGGTTCACCCCCAAAACAACATGCTTCAAGAGATGGTTCACCCCCAAACAACATGCTTCAAGAGATGGTCCACTTTGAATCGAGAGCAGAAATCAGTATGGGTCCAACTCATCAGCACCTAGAAAACAGAATGGAGCTTGGAGGTTAGTCTACGGTCAACAAGATGACACATCTGCTATTAGGAGATTCAAAATGAAATGAAATTCAACAACTGAACGTCAACTCAAAAGAAATGAAACTCTGCACACTTAAAACAAAAAATATGAACTCATTAAGGGAGGACGAAACAAAAACAAACAATATTGAAGAAAAAAAACACAAATTAATGCTCAGAACAAAAGGCAAATGAATGATTTGGAAAGACAGCAAGATAAAATGGCGGAAAGGAAAAAGTAGGGTGTATGCTGTAGAAAGGGAGGGAAGGGGGAGGGGTGGTTGCAGTGATGTGATAAGGGCCATGATGGGACAGGTTTTGAAATAGTTTAAGAGTGCAATGTTAGTGTGTACATGTAGGTGTTTAGTTTTAAAAGACAAACGTGTGAAGTGATTGGAAAGTGATAGAAGACCGATAGGAAAGTCATTAACATTTACCAAAACTAATTTTAAACCGGTATTCCAGGATATTTTCTTTTCAGTTATGTCTGTGATTTTAACATGTTGCTGACAAGATTTCATTTCATAAACTTCTTTTTGCGACAGGAGTACAGGTTTTAGACATAAGATAATTTGCTAGGAGTTTCATCTGTGTTATTCCCATGCTAGCATAAGAAATGCCCCTTATATTAGTTCAGTATACAATTAATATAATTAGGGTGAGTCTACTCCATGGGCTACGAAATTTTTAGTTGTATGACATTATCTAGTCCAAATATATTTCTGTGCAGTACCTTTGTAGCCTGCGAAGCATTGTAACTTCTTTAGAATATTATGTTGATGCTTCAAAAACCTCATTATAGAAACATTTCTAATGAAAAAAATCTAGAGTTAAACTTCTAGTTACTTGTTTTCAACATACTAGTGCACAACTAACACTAAACATCACATTTAAATTCTCTACAGGTGCGTATTTCTATCATCTAAACTGATTTAAAATATTTTTTCTCAGATGCTCTCTTGAGGCTTACTGATGTTAAAGTGACAATAACTTCTTGGAGGGGGGGGGGGGGTATTATTTTTGTTTTTTCTATCAGATTTCTTTTAAAGCTTTGATGAGCTACATATCACTCTATGCTCCTGTACATTATTTTCACTGTATCTAAACAGCCTCAAATCTTGTTGCAAAGTGGATATCTTTTCTCCATCTGCAAACCATTATAAAACTTAATTGCAATTGAAAACTTACCGCTTGAATCAGTTGCATGTGGAGTTAGCATTTTTTGTGTTAGTTTTGCATGAATGATAGGGAAGGGGGAGGTTTCAGGATAGATTGAATGAATGATGAGCGGAGGAGAAGGATGAGGAGGAGGGGGGAGAGGAGGAGGGGGAGGGAGGGGTAAGAGTTTGGTAGTCAGGTGGTATGGTTTTTAAGCTACAGTCTCTTTGGGTGTTTGGAGCTAAATCTGTGGCAGGCGGCACACACACTTAGCCTGGCAAGAGCCAGAAGGGCGTTAACTCGTATACTTAAACAGAGAGTCAATGCCCTTCTGGCTCTCAACAGATAACTTTCAAGAAGGGGGTGGGGGCAATAAGTCAAGTCCATGCTCTACATGACAATTAGTACAAGGAAACAGGGGCTTCGTCTAGGTTAGAGTTTCCAAAAATAACGTTAAGAAAACGTCCACGGTCGCAATCATCAGGCTATTAGTCCAAAAATGTGTGCGTTGAATACACTGGTTCCAAAATTAAATGCAACTAAATGGAATGATGCTTTTAAAAAGTCAAATGAAAATTTGCGAGGGAACTTTTTTTTTGTTCAGCCGAGATATATGGTGATTTTGCATTGTAGGGATGCTTTATACGTGAAGGGGTAATTTCTATATATATGTATGAAATGTTTATAGAAATAATAGTGGTAAAATTTGAAATGAAACGGGTTGCGATATAAAATTTGATTATGGATAATATTTGGTAATGGATAAGGGTTGATATAATTTGTTTGCCTGTAAATTTCTTTTGAAATAAATAAAAGAACATTTCACTTTCTTCTTTTTTTCACTAAAGGACAAGGCATTTTTAACACTCATTGTGACTCTGGAAAAACGAAATCTAATCTAAACTGAAAACATTTTTGAAGCATGCAATCGAAAAAATGTACAGTGAAAAAAAAAATAGTTAACACAACCTCTGAAGTGGTAAAACAAACCACATGTGAGAAGACAAAAAAAACTGTCCTAATCTCACCCGATTTGAGAATGGACTAAACCACACACCTGAGCTTCACCAGTGGGCGCTGCCAATAGGCTGGATTCATCTTCGGTCTGATAGAGGGGTGGACAGGTCAACAGGGTGGGAGGGACAGCAAGAAGCCATTAAACCATGGAATAAATAATGGGGAGGGATGAGAAGAGGTCGAAGAGAGAAGAAGGGAGATAGACAAGGAGGTTGACCAAATTATTCCACATAAAAAAGGAGAAAAGAAAAGGAAAGAAAAAGAAACCCACAAAAATATAAAAATTAGAAATGATAGCAAATGAAAGAAACATTCTTTAGACAGATATTTAAAAAAGGTGAAAGAAAACATATAAAGTATAGTTAAAGAGACATGTTACAAGAACCCTCAATCCATTGTAGTTAATAGTGCATCACAAACATTGAATTTGAGTCTATTTCAATCTTGATTTTCAATTAGTGTAAAGAGACAACATAAAACACACAGATTTTGAAAGTACATTTTTTTATAAAAAAAAGAAATTTACATTAAATAATCATCTCTTTCATTTAAGAAAGAATCTACCCCTAATATCATAGAAATCCAAGTTATAGGTCTGGAACTAGTTATCCACAAACTGAGTATCACATGTATAACTAAGAAATGTGAAATATTGAGAAGCAATTCACACACATTACATGAATTCTCACATGTGATAATAAAAGTCGAGATGAGTATTGACAAAACAACAACACTATGAAATCAATTATGCTTTATATGAACACATAAAATGATAACAGTATTGAAGCTGATTATGATGATTGGATATACCCTTTCTTGCAATCAACCAATCTAATCAATACCACTAATACATTGGCTTAAAGATCCATAACATTTTTGGTCGATTATCACATCTTAGAGTATTTACTTCAGGTTTCAAATCCAGAAATGAAATAGTGCTTACATATCATTACCTTTTAGCATCTTTTTCATGTTTGCATTGACCTTTATGGCAATTATGCACATTACCGGTATACTGCACAAATTGCTTCTTTTTTTAGACATTCTCTTACTCCTTCAATGTTTGAATTTAACATGCATCAATGCAATTGCAAAGTAAAGGCATCTTTCGCTTACTCGCTATCTCTTTCTCTCTTTCTCTCCTCCTTGTTCCTCCCCCTCTCTCTCTCTCTCTCTATTCTCCCTCTCTTCCGCTTGCTTGCTCTCTCTCTCTCTCTCTATCCCTCCCTCCCTCTCTCTCTCTCTCTATCTTTTCTCAACAATACCACTGACACATGTTTATGAAGATGACTATGATGACGTCAAAGATATATAAACCTCTAAAACCCCAATGAAACGAAAATATATATATATATATATATATATACTAGGAAAAATGCATAAGTATGTGAAAATGGCTTAATGTTGCTAGAGGACTTGAATGTCATAATTCTCTACAGAATATATAAAATAAGTGATTATTAATAGATTTTGAAAATGGTGAAATAAAGAGAAAAGTTTGCATCAAAACAGCAGTCTATATCATATTCAATATGGTACAATATGGTACAAAATGGTACAATATTATACAGACTAACACCACTTCTAGTGCATATTTTTTAAATTTGGTGGATATGTAATTATTAATATGTATAACTCTTGATTTCATGGTTCGTGGAAACCAGAATAACTTTGTAATATCATCTGTTCAGCGCCAGAAGGGCCTTGACTCTGTGTTAAGGTATATGAGTTAACGCCCTTCTGGCTCCAAACAGATGATATATGGATGTCAAATACACCGGTATAGCTGCATAAGAACATCTGTTGAGAGCCAGAAGATTGTAATTACTCAATCTGAAGATGATATGAGTTAATGCCCTTTTAGCTCTCAACAGTAGACAAGATAATGGAATTTAATGTATAAGGATGGCAGCAGTCGTTAGTTCATTTAGTGCCTGTGGATTTACAAATGTCTGGAAAATATATATAATAATGCTCTGAACTGAAAAAATGAAGATATATAATTTGAAATATAAATTTGAAATGGAAAGGAATTCATTTTATTAAGTATTGTGGATGGTGTGAAGAAACGCTGCTTGAAAATAATTTTATATGTAGGAAATGGGGAATGAAATATAGTTCACTACAGCTTGATTGAGGGTGTATGTCAGATGAAATAAACATCCCAACTATATGCGTTCTTTCTTATCATGATATTTGTAATGTGGAGAAGCAAAACTGATGAAAAATTTAACAATTAGGAAATGTAGACATAGTAGCACCAGTACAAATAGTAGTAGACATAGACATAGTTGTTGATGTGAATGTAACAGTACTAGAAGTAGTAACAGTAATAGTAGTAGAAGTAGTAGAAATAGTAGAAGTAGTAGTAGAAGTAGTACTATTAGTAGTATAAAGAGAAGTAGTGGCATTAGAAGTAGAAGTAGAAGTAGTAGAAGAAGTAGTAGAAGTAGTAGTATTAGTAGAAGTAGTAGTAAAAGTAGTAGAAGTAGTAGAAGTAGAACTAGTAGTAGAAGTAGAAGTAGAAGTTGTAGAAGTAGAAGTAGAAGTAGATTTAGAAGTTGTAGAAGTAGAAGTAGAAGTAGAAGTAGTAGAAGTAGAAGTAGAAGTAATAGTAGAAATAGAAGTAGTAGTAGTAGTAGAAGTAGTAGAAGTAGTAGAAGAAGTAGAAGTAGTACTAGTAGTAGAAGTAGTAGTAGCATTAGTAGTCATAGTTGTTGTCGTCGCCATAGTAGTAGTAGTAGTAGTAGTGGCGGTGGTGGTGGTAGTAGCATAAAAAGCAGTACTAGTAGTAGTCATAGTTGTCATAGTAGTAATAGTAACCACAGTAATAAATCCTAACTAAACATTCCCTCACAAATGAAACTAACCTTGAGGGCGATTAATGTGATTGATCGCAACACGAAGGTTCTAAAATGCACTCATGCATACTGCCCTCAACGTAAGAACCTATCAACCAATCATCCTTGACATACACTTTTGCACATCCATGTGTTAAGCAAGATGCAAGATGCAAGATGCAGCAGACATCTGCGTCCGTGCTTACTTTAATAATAAACTTTAATAAATGAGAGAAAAAAGAGCATGCTACCCATTCTTCATAAACATGTATAATGTAAATGCATCAAACATGCTTTCTAAAAATGGTTTCATTAAAAAAAATCAATCATAATAAAAAAAAATTGAACGATTATATATTTAAAAAATGCTTGGTTCATTCATAGTTTTTTCCCTATCTATATTTATTTCATTAATCCATTAATTAATTTCATTTCATTAATTGGCTATAACCTGACTCACTATGCAGGGCTTATTATGCATTTGCTTTGAATAAGCTAATTTTGAAAAGAATGCTTGAGTTTTTATTACTTTTTCCAATTTTATCTTTTCAGCTAGACCTCATTCTATACCTAATTTTCAGCTAGACCTCATTCTATATTATTTGTGGATAATTCGTCGCTGTTTTTTAATGAAGTGACGGTGAAGAAGTGACGTTAGTGAAAAAAAATTGCATTCACTTTGCGTTACGATTTTCCTCACTACTGTCACTTCGTGAAAACAGCGAGGAATTACCTGCCCAGATTAGTATGAACTCGCTGTAAATTACATACTGTTAATACAAGGTTAAGGCTTTAAAGCATTCAAAATTAACTTTAAAACATTTATTTAAATGGACCTTAAACTTATCAGAAGCAAAACTAAAGAACTACTTTTCTTTAGAGATGCAAATATTCTTGGAGGAATGATAACTATATATTTCATGTTGTGATTTCTGAAATGAATTAAAATTCCCAACACTCCAAGATGCATTTGACTGAAAAACATGCAATGTGCTTGAAAGCCAATAGATTGGAAAACACTTATAAAATGTCAAGTATTTTCATCTTCAGTAATAGGGTATTCAAATTTTTTAGTTGTCTGACAGAAAAAAATAGTTTGATATATACTGAAGTGGTAATCATGAAAACATGAGAACATAAGGTGGTTGGATGAGCATGTGCACGCATGTAAAAAGGCAAGTAGCTGAAATGCTTCCCAGGGAGTGGAGAATGTGCACTATAATATGCAAAATAGTGATTGAATATTTTTATTATTATTATTATTATTACTATCCTTATCATTATAGTTGTCATCATTATTATTACCATTATCATTATCACCATTATCATTATCATTATCATTATCATTATCATTATTATCATTATCATTATCATTATTTTTCATTATCATTGTCATCATATTGCCTCTTGGGAACCAACAGGTCATTAACTCATATCTTTTAACATAGAGTTAACACCTTTCTGGCTCTCAGCGGACAATATGATCTGTTGAGAGACAGAAGGACATTCACTTAATATATATTTCTACAAAGGGTGAATGCCTTTCTGGCTCCAAACAGATCATATGTCAGTTGGATGCAATTTTTTTTTTTAAAGTTCATGAATAAGGAAGAGATTTGCAATGTGAAATACTATTGTGAGGTACATGTAAATGGTGATTGTTTGAATGTGCAAAATGTAAATTGTTTAAAAAAACAAGAGATTTTTAATGCTCAAATTGATTTCTGAATGATTACATGACATTATGTTAAATGAAATTGTCATCTCAGATCCAAAAGGACATTAAGTAATTTGATGTAATACAGGAATAATGCCCTTCTGGCTCTCAACAGATAAGGTACTCATTGTTTTTTACTGACAAAAATGAAAATAGTATGAATTAGATGGAAAATTATTAACCTAGAATTTATAAAGTGAAAAATAAATTGTTTATTGTTTATTGATTTTGACTGAAATATGACTGCTTAAATTGTAAATAGACTATTTCCCAGAGCTGCATGAACTTTGTAAAAACTAAGCTGAATTACCACAGTTATACCCCTTTCATAGTGGCCTGATTTTCATTGAATGCGTCCAACAAGCGATTGCGCAATAATTCTTCACTTCCAGCCGGGGCTCGCCACAGCGAGCGAATTACACCAGTATGAAAGGCACATGAGGGAAAGCGGCGGTTTCACCTTTGTTTACATAAGGCAAATTCTATCGGTATTTTCATCGGTGTGACTCTGATAGAAGGACTATGAAAGGGGTATTAGTTGGGTCTATGTGAATGACTTATACATGTATGCCTATTAATATCATACATTTGGGATGGAAGAATATGAAGAATACTATATGATATAAACATTTTTTCCTGAAAATAGTGCCTGAAGATGTATACAAATTAATGAAATGTGTATTATGATGTGAGCGCTGTCAATTATATATTTTTGATAACGATATTATGTAGTATACCTTGTTTTTGTGTACAGCGTGAAGTATGAAATAATCACAATGCAAGTGCTTTTTTATGCAGTAACGTGAACAAAAAGATGGAAATGCATATAATGCGTTGCTCTATTGCTACAGATGCTGCTGCTACTAGGGAAGAGAGTCTAACTACATACATTGATATAGTGATAACCGGAGGGGGTTTTCGGGATAGGAGTCGGCGAAAAATTCTTAGAGGCTGATTCAATCTGTCATGAAATACAAGAAATAAAAGAAAACATGGATAGAAGGCATGCAGAGAAGAAACTAATATAGGTGGCAGAACATGTTGCCTACCAATACGCAGAAGGACTTTAGCTTTTCCAAAGAGTTAACGTCCTTCTTGCACTCAGCAGGCAATATTCTTTATCAATACAAACATGCAAGAAATTTGTACACACTATACTATTCTTAAGAGGAAGCAGAACACATTGCCTACTGAGACCAGAAGGACTTTAATAGCTTTTCCAAACAGTTAACGTCCTTCTTGCACTCAGCAGGCAATGTTCTTTACCAATACAAACATGCAAGAAATTTGTACACACAATACTATTCTTAAGAGGAGGAAGCAGAACACGTTGCCTACTGAGACCAGAAGGACTGTAGCTTTTCCAAAGAGTTAACGTCCTTCTTGCACTCAGCAGGCAATATTCTTTATCAATACAAACATGCAAGAAATTTGTACACACAATACTATTCTTAAGAGGAGGAAGCAGAACACATTGCCTACTGAGACCAGAAGGACTGTAGCTTTTCCAAAGAGTTAACGTCCTTCTTGCACTCAGTAGGCAATGTTCTTTATCAATACAAACATGCAAGAAATTTGTACACACAATACTATTCTTAAGAGGAGGAAGCAGAACACATTGCCTACTGAGACCAGAAGGACTTTAATAGCTTTTCCAAAGAGTTGACATCCTTCTTGCACTCAGCAGGCAATGTTCTTTATCAATACAAACATGCAAGAAATTTGTACACACAATACTATTCTTAAGAGGAGGAAGCAGAACACATTGCCTACTGAGACCAGAAGGACTGTAGCTTTTCCAAAGAGTTAACGTCCTTCTTGCACTCAGTAGGCAATGTTCTTTATCAATACAAACATGCAAGAAATTTGTACACACAATACTATTCTTAAGAGGAGGAAGCAGAACACGTTGCCTACTGAGACCAGAAGGACTTTGATAGCTTTTCCAAAGAGTTAACGTCCTTCTTGCACTCAGCAGGCAATGTTCTTTATCAATACAAACATGCAAGAAATTTGTACACACAATACTCTTCTTAAGAGGAGGAAGCAGAACACATTGCCTACTGAGACCAGAAGGACTTTAATAGCTTTTCCAAAGAGTTAACGTCCTTCTTGCACTCAGCAGGCAATGTTCTTTATCAATACAAACATGCAAGAAATTTGTACACACAATAGTTTACTTTACTACTAAGAGGAGGAAGCTAAGAGCTTATCGATCATGCAAGTACATACTACATGAATGCTGCCTGCGATATATATGTGTTTAGGATCCATTTTATCAAGTATATTTCAATTTCTCTTCTGCTTACTGCTAGACTTACATGTATATGTTCAATAGTACATGACATTCCTTCTTAAAAATGTAAATTTGAAGAGTTGTTTCCCTGAGACCATCAGCTGTTATACAGCAGATCTATGTCTCAAAATGTTAATAGATACTGTTGAGGCTTGTTAAAAGATTATTACAAGACATATTAATTTGGTATGCTGAATACTGATTACTGAATCCTTCCATTTCTTACCTAAACACTGGTTTCATTTGCCTATATTTACCAAACTGTTCTACATGCCTATTAAAGCTAGACATGTAAACTAAACGTTTTCGCCATTTGTCTACAGAATGCAGAGTATTGCAACATTTGTAAGACAAATGCACATCTTAAAACTAGAAACCAACATACACATTCAATATTGGATTTAATTATCCCAGTAGCAATTTCAAAGTAAAAAAATATGACAGGAATATGAGATATTGTCAGTTATCTGTTACAATATATACCTTGTTGATCTAGAGACTAAAGAGATCAAATGAATTACCTTAAAAGGAATTTAAAAGTACCGGTATATGTACAACATTTTCTTTCATCTTCCACACAGTTTTGGGTAGCATGTTGTCTCCTACAAATTGTTTTTTGTTCAGCAATAGAACATTGACTTAATGAAAATGGCTTTCATGACTAAGCATGACTTCAATTGGCAACACTCTGGTATAAATAAAACAAGCATGGGTACTGGAGGAAGCAAATCAGGATGGGGGAGGGGGAGGGGGAGGGGAGGGGGAGGGGAAGGGGAAAATAGGACAAGCAAAGCTGCATGAGTTAGATCTCCCCTAAAGAAAAATATTAATGGAGGAAAAGGTCAGTATGGGGAAGGAAATATACATGCAAAATAGGAATATAAATCATAGCATCATGACAAGCACACATGAATCACATACAGATATGGCATTTATTTACAGAGGAGAAGGTATTTTAGTTTTTATCGGAGGAGTATATCATGAATTAATGTTTGTGGATCAGAGGTTATTTTCTATTTCATCTGTTGAGTACGAGAAGGGTACTATTTGTATTACAAGGTTGTGTATTAAACACCTTCTGGCTCTAAACTACAGACACGAGAGTGTTCTGGCCTAGTGGTGTAAGGCGCTTGACTGGAGATGCGAAGGTCGAGGGTTCCAACCCAGACACGGCACTAATATCATTGGCAAGATATTAACCTGCACTTGCTACTCTCCACCCAGGTGTTCAATGGGTACCCCATAGGATGCGACTGTCATTGATAGTCAAACAGTTTTGATCGTCAAGTAACGCCTGGCTGGAATACTCCCCAGGGAGTGGAGATTGTGCACACAATGTGTGCAGGCAAGTATTGAATCCAATGACCGGGGTAACAGTATATATGTAAACCGCTTAGAGACATCGTGGCTGTATTAAGCACTATATAAAAGCAGAATATTATCTGGTTCAGTGGGTTATAAGCAAACTGCTGTAGCAAATGTTAGTGATTATAAAAGGAATGTTCACCGAGATGATGTGCTACCAAAAACAGACCTTTAAGAAGTTAAACAAGCATATACATGGATATAAATGTCACGAGTTGAAAGCCTTCAAGACAGTTTTCATATTAAAGGCCAATAAATATGTTTTCTGTTTATGTTGATAGGTATAGCATGGGTAAATAGATGTTATTATGAAAAAAATCAATAAAGCATGTCCTGATTCATAGTTTAAAGATGTATATATAATTGAATACAATTCTTATCCACAAAATGATTGATTTGTTAATATTAAAATCTGTCATAGTCGTAATTCTCCACCTCCCTTTTGTTTATGCTCTATGGGTAAATAAAACATTACAGAGTTACAGTTTTATCAGTGGTGTGTCTTCAACTCACTTCTACGACATATAGAAACCTTGTTAAAAAAAAAACCCAAAAGAAGATGATTCTAGACACAAACATTTAACCTGTTATGAGAAACCACTGATGAAACACACTATAATAAACATACCAAAGAAAATGTATAACACATACTGATATGTCTTAAAGAGCTTGAACACAAGCTTAGCATTGTATATGTATATATATATATATATATATATATATATATGTAAAGCGCTTAGAGATATCATTAACGTATAAAGCGCTATATATATATAAAAGTGGAATATTATTATCATTATTGGTTTAGACTTTCTATAAAGATGGCCATTTTCTACTAGAAATCACTAGAACAAAGCAGATTTGAAAAATTCCCACACTAATATATTCTTCTTAACACTTCAGAATGTTTACTGCGATAATGATTAGAAGTTCCTATAAATGAAGTTAGTCACCTAATATTTGAAGCAAAAATACAGTTTGATGGATCTAAATACTTCATAATATATACTGCCATAATTATTAGATTTTCCTACAAATACAAATGAAGTTAGTCACCTAATATTTGAAGCAAAACATATGATAAGATTAGCCTGTGCTTGGTTTGCATGGTTTAAACCATACAACTTGCCCTATAAGAAATGAACACACAGGACTACACAATTTTGAGACCGATGTTAGCCGAGAGATTTCCAATCACCAGTATAGTGATAAATATCATGATGACGGTGTTTCTTTAAAAACTTACTGGTGCTATCAAATGTGGGTTATCTATTTCAGCATAATCTCCATTTTCATAGACTGGATAGATGATATTAGTATGATTTTTAATCTGTAGTGGAGAATGTGAAGAAAAGAAAATCACATCTTACACTATGAGTGGGACTACAAAACGACAAAAGATGGAAAGAAAAAATTAAAACAAATAACCATACAACTTGCCCTATAAGAAATGAACACACAGGACTACACAATTTTGAGACCGATGTTAGCCAAGAGATTTTCAATCACCAGTATAGTGATAAATATCATGATGACGGTGTTTCTTTAAAAACTTACTGGTTCTATAAAATATGGGTTATCCGTTTCAGGACAATCTTTAGTTTGAAAGACTGGATTCATGTAATCGGTTTTTCGTTTAATCTGTAGTTGAGAATGTTGAGGCAAAAAAATTACATCTAACATTATGAGTGGGACTATAAAACGACATAAGATGGAAACAAACAATAACAAAGAATCTAAATTAAACAGAAAATAATACATGAAATAAACATAAAACCTAACACTTTGGGTGTGACCATTGACAAATAAAGAAACAAGATACTAAACAAGGAATCTTGAAATAAAACAAACAATCATACATGGAGTAAAAATTGAAATGATTGAAAAATAAAATTAACAGAATCTAAAAAATGAATTAAGAAAAGAAAAGAAAGAGAAGAATCCTTCATCTTACTATTCATATCTAAGATAAATGTAAATTTCTTTTTTCATTTAAATGGCAATTCATCTTCATATAACAGCTTTTTAAAACATGTAAGAAAAAAAAGAAGAATATAGTAAACTGAGAATTTTTCATCCACTTTTTGTATGCAATTTGTATTGTATGTAACATATATGGATTGAGTCAGTAAATTGGATTTACAATTGTATTATTTTTATTCAATGAGTCCAAATTACATATAGTACCGATACTTACAAAATCCCTATTCCTATACCTCTCTAACAGATACATTTCCAAAGGATTCAATCTTTAATCAAACAAAAATAAGAATCAAATCACTTTAGGTATCTGTGCATTCATTTTTCCTCCCTATTTTGTACTGCAGCCTGATTAAGTTCACTAATTTATAATGCACAGGCATGTGAACAGATAGCTCAACTAATGTGATTAAATCTGATAAAAAATAATCCCGCCAATACAATATACGGATGAGAATGTGTCATCGTCATGACGACAACAGTATCGTCTGCCCGTAGTCAGGCCGGGGATGTGATAGAGAAGGATGTACACAAAAGGGAAATCAAATAGAGATTTGACTAGGCAGATTTGTCTGCTTTAATCTATCGATATCTTTCTCAGTTAGGAAGAGGAATGTAACAAAAGAGTGTTGATTTTAATATGCATGTGGTTGCCATTTCATTCAAACATTTTCCTGCATTCCTAATGAATGTATACTGTAAAATACTTATAAAAAAAAATCATGCATGCTGTCTTGTTCTTCTCCTACATAAATATATAAAAGATAAATTGGTTTGTTTGTTTTACCCCACTCATGTATATGCTTGTAAGTAAAGCCTCGGTCACAAATGCCATTATGAACTGCTACGAACGCCGTACGAATAATTTTCAGACAATGGAAAAACAGGGAGATTCATACAAAATTATCGTTTGTACCATACCATTTTACACAAATGTCTGATTTTAATAGGCTATATATTTCTACTACATCAGCAATATTGCACGCGTATCATCTACATGATGTCCTATCCATTTCTCTCCTGATGGGCATTATAACTGATATTTATATTGGCATGAGAATCTAACCTATTGGTGTTCATATCCACTTTTAAAATGCATTCATCATTATGTGGAAAGCTTTTGCATTTCAAATTTTAACCAAAAAGTAATGAGATAAAAGATAATCTCACATCATGCAGGAATGAGTGTGCCATTTGCATAATTAAAAATTGTCATGTTTTGGTTATTTTGAGAGCTAGCCTTTAACTTCAAAAGGAAAGCATCCTAACATATGTAAATGATATTAATAGATTAAGTTTATGGAAGATTGTATTACCAATAAGTCCTTTCACTCAAAAAAGAAAAGAAAATAACAAATGAAAGAATTATTAAATTATATAAACAGGCAATACTTTAGACATATTAGATATCATGTTCTCAAAAACCCTTCCCTTTTAAAAGGGAAAACCCCAAATGTAATATATTACATTATTATGGAAATTAGTTTACCTAATGGCAAGTTTCATGACAGCCCCTGTGTTGAAGAATTCGAGTTGAGGAATTCAAGTGGAAAAACAAAGTACTTGTGTCAGATACGACAAGCTAAAAATGTCACTGACCTTACGTACAAATATGTATTCTAATCCATACATGCTTCTACGGCGATGGTCAAGTTGCCAGAAGCTCACCCTACATAGCAATAACTAATGCATGTAACTGAATGCTGACAAAAAAATACACTAAATCATAATGGCTAAATGCTATGTTTCGTTACTAGGACCTGTGTTATTAAAAAAGCATCTATAAACTGGATAATATTTGTGAATTTTGTCTACTGTTGTTATTTTAGTTTCAACGGCGCGTACCCTTCGGTTCTGAATATTTACGCCGTCTTTTGCTTCATCAAACAGCCTTCCACCCACACACAGCTATAACATGATAATATCAATAGCAGTAACTGATATGAGTGAGCAACAAGGGTGAGATCTCATGGGAAATTGGTAATTGAATACCCCGCCTTTTTTAAAAGGGAATTTCCCAAACAGATAATATGTACATTATACACCAACTATTGAATTCTATAATTTAATCAATCAATGAATTATCAAATAGCCCGTCTTCCTGATAGGGAATAACCCAAAAGATTTAATGATTTTGAAATGGCAACAACAAACTTTCATGTAAATCTGTGTTTCTACAAGGAAATTTTCAAATACTTGACCCTACTTTTTTTCCCCACTCATACACGAGCTAGTCCAAGAATTTCATATACTAGTACTGACATGAAAAGCCCTCTCTTATTAAATGCAATAAAGAAAACCAATGCTTGTTTGTGAATTTATTTTTGCATTCAGATAAATTCAAATTTTTATGGCTAGTCTGGTTCTTTAGATTACATGAGATAACTACAATGTATTTATCTTTAATTATGTAGAAGTCTTCATGTCAATTTTTTTCATATTTACTTTGTATTGCATTTATTTGAATTTGTTATGATGTAAATTCCACTCAATTAAACTCTTGAGCAGCCATGTGGTTTTTAATAAATACCATACCCTTTCAAATCAAATAAAAAATATGGGATATCACTATATCATCCTAAATAATCATATTCTCTAGATATTCTCATTATCAAAGCATGCAAAAATAATTTCACTGAATAGGATTTGCTATTACCCTATTCCTGCTATCCAAATGATTTTAGCCTGAACTTGATGCCATGCATTGCTAATGTGCAATAGCACCTTCAAGGATGATTTGTAAACAGTTTAAAAGAAATCAATTACACAGAGTCTGGGTTTACCTTTGAAGTGAAAACAAAAAGTGCAGAGCTTAATAAATAATGTATGTCTTCTGATTGTACATCACACGCTCCAGCTACAATTACTTTGTGGTTGATTTCTGAAATTTATTGAATGCCCAACTTCAACCGTGAACCCAACACTACACCAAACCTTAAACCTATTACCACTACGCCTAACCTGAAACCCAACTCTACCCTAAAGACCAGGGGGGTGTTTCACAAAGATCCTAAGTCGGACTTATCTCTAAATTGGACTTAACAATTATGGAAAGCTGTTAGCATCTATGAAATTATTTTGTAAAAGTTATTTTAAAAGGCATAAAATGTTGATTCAAATCATTCATATTTTCTATTATCAAGAAGATTTCATGTTCTTGATGTGGAATTTATAAGAAATCTAAAAATACTTGACTTTTCGCTTTTAAATATATTTTATTTTAAGGCTACAGATGGCTCTCCATAATTTTGAAGTCCAACTTAGGATCTTTGTGAAACACCCCCCTGACCATGTATCTTTGATGAAATAGAGCTTGGGGAAATCGTCGCCAGAGAAAATATCAGATCACCTATCTTCCAACCTCAGAAGATGCAAGTATAAAGCGTAATAGTCTTTAATAATATGTTACGATATAACTGAATTATGAACAATGAAATTTAATACCAAATACATAGCTGGCTGTCAATCTGTCAAAGGAAAAGTCATTTTTACATAAAGTGTCCATTAGTATCTGCTGTGAAGGGAAAAAATCAAACATAATAATTGATTTGATAACAACAAAGCGATTTTTGATTGATACATGTAATGATTTTCATGCAGTATGTCTGTAATATCAGCACCCTAGTATATATAAAAAGATAAAAGAAGGAAGTAAAGAAGAAAACAAAGTATAATTCCATGCTTTTATACACAGTTCGGCATCAAGGATATTAAGTTTGATATATATACATGTTTGCATGATAAAATAGTTGTATAAATGTCAAATAACATAAGGATATTCATATGAACACTACATGAGTATCCAACAATCTAACATCATAATTATACAATGACATTGGTGAATATATGTGACATACATAATATCAACAATGCATAAATAGTTTATATTTCGCTTTAAGAAAAAATAAATTAAGTGGCAAGGCTTATCATAAGATTCTGTCCATCAAACCTACGGGGGGGGGGGGGGGGGGGGGGGGGGGGGGGGGGGGGGGGATTCATAATAAGTTTGTGAAAAGTTCACATTTTCACCTTGCCACTGCAAGAAAATCAAAGGCTTTTCAGGGGTGGTTTACGGGTAAGGACGGACTTGAAATCTAACTTACTATTGCAAGATTTCAAAGACATTTCTTTGATTAAAAAAAAGTTTTTAAAAAGCCCCATTATTTACTTTGCCACCGCAACAACTCAAAGACTTTGGGGGTGGTTAAAGGGGTAAAGAAGGACCCCATATCTACCCTGCAACTGCAAATCACAAAAACTTTTGGGGTGTGGGTTTAGAGAGGTTACGAAGAACTCGGTAGTTACCTCGCTGTTGGAGCGCATGGCGAAGAGGTTGGCCATGATCGAGGAGAATCCGGGGGCGAGACAGCTCTGAGCGATGAAGCCCAGCTTGAGCTCCGCGATGCAGATTACGTCGTCTCCCTCGCGCCAGTTCCAGCTGGGGATGTTGAGGAGATGGGCCTGCATGACGGTTACAAAAGGAACAGAAAAGATTAGGATTGCAGGTTTATATCAATGGACAAAATATGCTACTGCTTTATAAGAACGGCCACACAGTGCTATGTCGAGTAAACAGACTCTAATGGGACTACCTTGCTATTATAACAAGAAATCAACAGAAAATTTATTATAATCACAAGGATTGAATCATTGTTGAAGCATTGTAGGGTAGCTTTGGACCAGAATACCCCATACATGTGACAGAGGACCCAGTCAGTGAGGTATCCCTTTAAATGACCTTCCTTTTTCTAAAACTGATATTCAAGAAGTGTTTATAATCATTAATTATGTTTACACTTTTCACATGTATAATGGTTTATTATTGGTTGCTGTTTTTAACCAAATTGTATGGGTGGTTTAAATTTGTAAATAAACTCATGAATCAGAATCAAATTTGTATCCAATTATTTTCCTTTCATTGTATTTCTATGGATTGAAATTGTAATGAATAAATTTCCTTTCACACCGTGTAGTTAAGCACAGAATAAATGTACTTTAAACAGAGGTACTATCAAAATATCATCAAGCCCACAAAACAATTATCCTGATATATTCCACACATCTAAGCTTACTCAATCCATCATATGTCAACAATAATCCACTCAATGCAAGCTGGATAATGAATGCAATATCGTGGTAATTCATTTCAAACACACATAAACACATTCCGACGAAGCTACATGTACAGTGTCATTTGTTTATGGTATGTCTCTGTGAACCAGATTCTGCCTCTTTCCAAGGCTTTGTTTCATTAAATTTTTGTCAATAACAAATGCCAAAATTCTACAACCAGTTTATTATCAGCCATCAAATGCAAGGATTTCAGTAGCTTATAACAACTACTGTAACTTGTCATGGATAACAAGTTTTATGAAACAGGGCCCAGATCTAATATGAACTTTACATGGAAAATCTTCCAGGTAAATATTGAATATAATTTTTCAAACTCTTTTATGAGTGCTAAAAAAAACACTTTAACTTAAGATGTACAATGGCCCTGATATGAGGGGGATAGTTTTTGACGGAGTTGACCCTTGTAATGTTCTCTTATGCCCCCTCGTTCAAACCCCAACCTATTAATGTAATGGAACAGTCTACTTTACCTTTTTGTGGTATTGCATACGATGTGCAATGACCCTGATATGGGGGTGACAGTTCCTAATCGACCCCAACCCTATAAATCAAATGGAACAGTCTATTTTACCTTGTTGTGGTATTGCATAAGCTGTACAATGACCCTGATATGGGGGTGGTAGTTCTTGACGGAGATGACCCTCATGATGTTGGCTGCATCCTCTGCATCTGGGTCAGGGCAGTACTTGTCACACAGAACCAGACATCCATCTGCATCTTTCATCTGTTGGAAACACAGAGAGATTACATAGGTATATTGCAGTGTACAAAATAATTTTCTAGAGAGGTGACCACTAAGACAGGTTTGACTGTATTTCAAACATCTTATATTATGTCTTACAATGCTGAAGAAACAAAGCTCAGAGCAAATGCAGCAGGAACATACATTATATAACTCTCTTTAATACCAAAATAAGATTTTTTGATTTCTTTAATCTCTCCATTTATTCAATCGCTACTCTCTCTTTCTTTTAAATGCTCAACTGTGTATTTTAATTTGCTATTCAACAATGTCATAAAAATATTTTCCTTTCTACTAGACTGAACAACTCCCCCACTTTCTTGGGAATTCACATTTCACAACACTACTTGTCTACCCTTGCCCTTTCATCACTTCAATGTTCAAACCAACAAATAAAAAAGGCATTCGTGTCTCAACCTTTTCTCAGCCAAGGCAGGCAAGAATAAAACATTTTCCTAGGCTTCCATTAGAAATGCACGCCAGGGTGGTACATCAATGCAAATCAGTTTACAATGTCTTTGAGTGTGCAGTCGAGCAAATGTTCATGACACAAATTACGTGCTTGGCTTGCATGAGAAAACATTCTAATGTAAGCATTGCTTGTTCCGTGGGAAAACATGTCTTGACTTTCATGGACGAATGTGCAGAGGTAACACCCCCCTCTGTATCTACAAGACACAAAGTGCGCTGCAATACCACCTAATAGGGGACACTAGGTACTGACTGCTTTTATTTTTCCACACAAGGCACAGAGTGTGCTGCAATACCACTTAAAAGGGGACACTGGGCACTGACTGCTTTTATTTTTTTCATTCCAGGCACAAAGTGCACCACGATACCACCTAATAGGGGACACTGGTTACCGTCTGCTTTAATTTTGTTTTCATATATTGTTTTCTGTATAAACAGAGTCCTAAAATTTCACTTTAGACCCCTCCTCCCCCCACCTTCCCAGATATCAAAATGTTAACAGGAGCCTGGTGCACATGGGCCCTGTTGCAGGTGGACCCTCATTATTTGCTCTGGATCCTGGATGTAAGAACATGTTCTTGTGAAGATCAAGGACCCGTTTCACAAAGCCTTTTTTCAATGACAAATGACAAAAATCAGTGACATATCTGCTGATAACCATTCGGAAGCAAGGATTTCACTAGCTTATAACAAAAACTGTCATTTGTCACTGATGACAAGTTATGTGAAATGGGGCCCAGATTGCATCACTGCCCTTCTTGCTCTCAGGAGGATTGTTTGTTTTCTTTGAATGGATGATTTCTTACCTTAACTCTCTCTAGATCCACTGAGTTGAGGACAGATCCCTGGAAGTATTGAAGTTGGGTGAAATGCCTCTTGAACAAAGCTTGAAGTTCTAGATCTGGGACAGCACTGGAATGAAAACACAGAGAAAGATGAAAAATTACAGAGTGATTACTTTATGTTTATGTTTATTCTTGTTTGCAGGAGAATTATAAACAGAGGGGGATCATATACAGGATTGTACATGTAGTCGCATGCCACAAAAGACCTGCCAAAAAAAATAAAGATGGACTTGAAGTCATATGATTTAATTGATTAAGCAGATATATAAATATCTAATTTTTTAAAGTGTGTTCACATCTTCTAAAGATCAAAAACGATAAAAATGATCTTTAGAAGATGTGAACACACTTAGGCTGCTCCATTATATTCTAAGTGTATGTTTCCAATACCCCCCCCCCCCCCCAAAGAAAAAAGGATGGGGGGATTCTTAAGGATTCTATTTCGGGTTACCAAAATCAAGATTTCCTTTAAACTATAGATATTGCAGTGAAAGGTAATTCATGTTGTTTACAAATTTCAGGTGATTATCATTAGCACCCCAGCATGCTCTTGATAAAGCAACATGAGATTTGTCTCTCCTTTCCAAACTTCTCTTTCGTAGCCTCACTAGGCCTGTCCTCATCAGCTCGAGATTGCCAAATAGACTGCTATTTCTGATTTAGGAAATAATCCTAAAGTTACAAATCGCTTCTTCATCAGCTCGAGACTTGACCTCGAAACTTGAAACTCGAGCTCAAGATATTAGGGCTAGTGAAGAAACACCGGACAAATAGCGAGATATTTTGCAAACTAGCCCAAGATATCTTGGGAAGATTATCGCGACCAAATATCCCGCTAATTGCAACTTTGGACTGATGAAGACGCAAATTAACTGGATAATTTGCGATCAGGAAAGTTCAAATAGCGGGATATTTGGCAATCTGGAGCTGATGAAGACAGGCCTACCGATGCTGTGAAATGAGGTGGAGCGGACGGACGGAGCGTCTCCACCTCATGTGATGAGAAATGGTTCATCTAGGCTGAAATAATTGGTGTGACACGAGGCGAATCCCCCTCCCACGAGTCCCAGGGAGTCTGGATGGCACAGGGAAAGAAACAAGGCAGTGTAGCCAAGCCTGGGATGCAGCGTTCACCTAGCATCATGATCAAGGATCAATGCCTCAGGCCCTTTCAGGGGAGGAGTAGGTGGACGACTTGCTTTGAGAAAATCATCCAAAATAGGGGATGGGGGGGGGGGGCAGTAACAAAATCAAGATTTGCTTCTCCCTCCCCCATATCCCATACGGATACTCTGACAAGGGGCAGTTGTATTATAGAGTCAAGTTTTTCAATGAAATGATACAGTTCTTGGCAAACATTTTCCAAACAGATGAAGAAAAAAATGAAAAGAAGATGAATATGCATCTTTTTCACTAGGTCTGGTCAGCTTTATTGTTCATTTATTGCTGTTGGCCTATACATACTTTCCATGAAATGTAGCTTTGATTAGGCAAATGCTGGATGTTCATATATATTAAAAGAACAAAAAAAGTTTACGCCTCCATCTTTCTTTTACACAGACAAAGTTTGTTCAAAGCACACAACAGCATTTTTTAATTCCCTGAAAAGCAAGTAGGCTCCAGCTGTAAAAGACTTTTTCAACGACTGTTGGGTTAGTTCCTTGGAGAAACACCATCCCCAGCTTCTACCCAGGGGATTGGCCAGGGAGGGTAAAAACAAGTCCTAAAGTGGTGTCTTATCAGGGTTCATTCAAGCAGCATGCAGAATAGCTTAGCATGCTGCCTTAGGGCATATGCGTTGGCTGCTCCTAAGGGACTTAATGTCGAGATGCAGAACAGTTGTAGACGGTGTGGTTCCAAGAGATATGTTCTCATTGTGCCTTTAAATGTTTCTGCTTCTTCTCCGTCAGAGAGTGACTAAATGAGACCTAGAGCAGTCTGATCAGGGTTCAGTCAAACAAATTATGTTTTTCACCCTTCCTGGAACTCGAATTTCTCTTTAAGAATTTAAAAACCTTCTGGCTCTAATGGCAGAGAACATCTTCATCAAAAACCGCCATTCCTGTGTGCCTCACATTCCCAAAGTATGAATAATTGTTTACTTGAGATCTGTATCTCAAGGATGAGCACGAAGAGCTTCTGTCAATATTTGAAATTGTTGCCATGTATGCCATATTTCATCAAGTGTACACACTGTGATCTTTATCTCTTTTCCCAACACAACATGCGTTTTTGTTTTAATTTGTTCACAATAAATTCTAAAAATTTAAAAAATGTTGATGAGTTGTTGACAAATCCACCAATGCCCCTGATTTTTAGCTTTTTCCCCACCCAACCTGCATTTTTGTTTTAATCTGTTCACTATAAATTCTAAAAACTTAAAAAATGTTGATGAGTTGTTGACAAATCTACCAATGCCCCAGGTTTGGATCAAATTGATAAAAGGAAGACGTTTTAATGAGACTGATGACTGTAAATATTCAGATGCATGAATAAAATTTACTTTTTAACTAAAATTTGGAAATGTTTTTTTGAATACTCGGTTCAAAAATCAATTTGAAAGGCAAGGCCATATGAAAATATGATCAAACTTTAGTCATCTAGTTAGGTTGTTATCTATAATCATCCAGCTGTTGGGTATAACAATTACATTTTTAGACAAATTCATAAGCAACTCCACTTCTCTCACAGCCATGTGAAATGACAAATAAACCCATGAAAGAGATTGAAAAACAAGTCTCTGAGCCTACGAAAAGATGGGAAATGCCTGTTGAAAGCCGTGTTAATAACAAACAGTAAATCACATCGCGTGAAGCACCGTTTCTTCTTTGCTTCCACAGACAAATTACTTGGTCTGCTTTCCAAGCAAAACAGTTTAAAAAAGGTTGATTTCGGGTGAAGGTGATAAATAAGATACAAGCTTTCTCATTCTTTTCATGTCAGATTTGGATGAATGCCATAATAGAAATGTCCCCTGAAAAGGATTGCTCTTATAGGTTGATCATGTAGCACAAAGGTTTGGGTGTATAAGCAGAGCTGCCAACCTTGTGCGACCAAAAAAAGGAATCATGATGGCAAAAAAAAAGGAATTTCAAGCCAAAAAAAGAAATTCAAAAAAAGAACCTTACAACCACGCACGACACACTTCTAATGCAGAAATGTTCATTCATCATGCTGTTTTTTCCATACAAGCAGGTAATTTTTTTTCTCAAAATCCTATCGAAAGTGTGACTTAAACCTTCACACTGGATACACTATGGCACATGAAAATTCAGAATTTTATCCAGAGAGATTAGCAATCTTAGATTCTTAGATTATATTCTTAGACAGCATTTCCAGTTTGAACTAGTTTGAACAAACAAAAACTTTCGAAATTTAACCCTTTAAAATGGCATCTGATGACCATTTCTTACTCTTCAAATCAGCAATTTATCTGCAAGGCACAGAATCACTGCCTCCCAATGAATATAAAGAATGTTTAAAATCTTTAGATAGTGTTGTAATTTGAAATAAACCCTCCTCCAGCAGTGAGCAAAGAATGCAGAGATGTGTACGACGAGAGCATGCATTTCCTGTGCGAGACCAGGTTGAAGATGATATCTGATGCCATGCCAAGCCTGTAAAGAGGCCTGGATGAATTACCAGAGTGTGCTGCCTAAGCATCCTCAAGATCGCCTTTCGTACTACAGCTCGTGGCATCAGAGCGTGGGAGGGAATCAGTGGGTTGTTTGTTTTAAGGGGTAGCCAATCAATAATCCCTGCTTTAAAGGTAATAAAGATGGGTTCGTCAATGTAATGGGTTGGGGGAAATTGTGTTTTCCTTGGTGTATTTGGTGGGTCTGCAACCAATGTGATGATAAAGAAATTTGTTTTGTATATCAAGTAGTAAAATAATATATATTTTTGTTGTTGTTGTTGGTACTTATACAGCCTAAATACCTCAATGTATACTGAATCAAAGATGACGATGATGATACGATGATGATGATCGTGATGGTGATGATGGTGGTGATGATGATGATGGTGATGATGATGGTGATGGTGATGATGATGGTGATGGTGATGGTGATGGTGATGATGATGGTGATGATGATGATGATGTTGGTGGTGGTGATGATGATGAAAGTAATGATGATGATGGTGATGATGGTGATGATGACGGAGATTATGGTGATAATGATGATGGAGATGATAGTGATGATGATGATGGTGATGATAGAGATGATGGTGATGATGATGATGGAGATGATGATGATGATGGAGATGATGGTGATGATGATGATGATGATGGTGATGATGATGGAGAATTTTGAATTCAGGCCCTCCCAGTTTACGAGATCACTGCTTTTGGACTGAGCCATCTTGTATGTCTGTATAATATATTGCAAATTCCTTTCTGAAACTTTACTCCTATCCCTCTAAATTATATTTCAATTTCCACATATCAAAAGTCTACATTCTCTATACATTTCATGCTCAACGGCGCTCGATTACTCTGGTCATGGTCTAATAACTACCCCCAATAGATCTGCCATATTTTTGCATTTCCCCCTTCCCTCGTTATCTAAACAAAGATATCTCGTATATAGATTTATTTGGGCCTTCTGGGAATAGCCGAATTACTGAAGCTTGCTTAGGATGGGCATGCTCTAGATGGCCACTGGAGTGTGGCGTAATGGGCAGCATGGTGGACAAGGTGCCATTTTAGCACTTTTTGGTGTAATTCTTGATAACCAGTAACACTTGAATTTGTCTTCTTAATGCTGGTATAGCATGGATGGATGTATGTTACCTTATCAATCCAATAATCATGTATAAATGATACATTCTCATCAATTTTGTGAGAGATAGTCTCTAAAATTGCCCTAATATCAGTGTATTTCTAGTATTTCTACCATCAGCTCGTGAAGAAAACCTTCTATGCTATTATGTTTTCCAAAAATTATAATTGTTAATTTCTAATGATTCAGTTTTAAATTTTTGCTCCGAGTATTCATCAAGGATCAAATTTCACAACAACGACAAAAAACATCTGTTTTGAGCCAGAAGGAAAGTTAATTTTGTGTAAAAGTTTGTTAGTTGACACCATTCTGGCTTTAAACAGACAAAATAGCTTATTTAGTCCAATAATTATATACATGTAGCATACTAGTTACATTCTTGTGCAAGATTAGTCGCCCATAGCACACCAAGGGTTAAAACTCAAGGCTACAAGTTGACATGAAGCACGCTAATGCTATTAAAGGGTGTTTTATGGAGGGAACATGAAGTAATGACATGTCATAAATTGTTTTGTTTGACGACTTAAATGTTTTCCGCCCGCCTAGACTTGCACGATGAGATCTGTTTTATTCTCGCATGCCAGGGATAGTTTGTCCGGCGCTTGCAGTACAATGATATCATCGTCGATAATTGCCTCCACGAAACTAAACAGCATCATTCTCACATTCTGGCACATCTATGTATCTGCCATTGGATTGTCAGGGGGGTGTTTCACAAAGAATAAGATTGACTTTAAGTTGGACTCAACTATGACAGGCTGTTCATGCCACTGTTTGCTCTCACAATTATGATCTTTAGATAATACTTTTTCTTTCAATAATGAATTATTGAAATATGTTAATCCTTTAGATTTGTGACCATGATTTGTACGTCCTTTGAGAGACCAATGCCAGTAAATGGTGAGAGGAAACAGTGGCATGAACGGCTGCCATAGTTAAATCCAACTCAAAGTCGATCTTAGGCTTTGTGAAACACCCCCCCCCCCCAGACGTCTTGAACTCTTTATATGCCATACTTATAATCTCTCTGTGTCACAATCTATTTATCATGGGGCAGATGTATCAAAAACGTATAACGTCTTGTTGAGCATAATACATTTAACATAACTGTGCTTTCTCGCATACGAGAGGGCTTAAACAGAGCCCAAGTCGGACTTGGGTTCCTCATGAGCTCCTCACGTGGGGTTTAATGTTATTCTTAATGTTCCTCATACTCCTATTTTTCATTTTTTCATTTTGGTTGATTTTGGATTTAATGATGTTCATGCGTGGGTATATAGTCGTTCGTGAAGTAAGCAACTTGGCGATCACTACAAAACACTGAGCTTCCTGTGCATACTGCCGTGTGCTGCCCTCTATATAACCATGCATGAGCAACTTTAATACATGCTAGCTATACACTAAAGATTTGTTCAGGTAATTGGTATACTTTAATTCATTTCTATTCGAATAAATCCAATCGAAAAGAATTCTAATAGACTGAATGAACATGTATTCAACAAATTTAGCTATGACAAGCGACCAAACGTACAATGCTAATCACCAAGTTCAGAACTGACCTAGGATTAGGCAAAATGAAAATGGATATCTTCACCACTTCAAAGGCCTAGCTCGCTGTTCTGACGAAACACAGTATGATAAATACCACTACGAGGTCATGTCCTTTAGCGAGAAATCCTATCCACAAAGCCCGCACTCACTCCCTCTATATCTATCTCGCTCTTTGAGAAGGCGCAAATTGACAATTGCCTGCTTGTGCAAAGCTAGTATTGAATGAACACTGCCTTAAGATGCCTACATATGAATAGATATGTCGCTCTTGCTATGGATAGGCCTACTAGTATTAGGTCGGTGTATGTTGTTTCTGTAAATATTTTGCACTTAGAAATAATTACAACTTCAAAGTAGAATTTTAAGTGCTTCTTTTCTGGATGTCCATAATAATAGTCCATTCTTGTATAGCGCATATCACATTATGATAGCATATCTCTATGTGCTTCTCAAGGACTTTGGAAATGACATTACCCTGGTTTCAGCTTGGACATCTAATTACATACATCTTTATTGTCTCTCCGTAGTGATGAAATATTTGCTTGAGCTTTCTTTTGTCAAAGTCATGGGATAAGTCCTGGGTTGCAATGGGGTCAACTTCTTCGTAAAGTTTAGGGTAGGGTATTGTTTTGGCGGTGATATTTTTGCGGAGGCAATAATCGTATCTAGCACCCTTTTGTGTATTTTGTTTTGGATTTTCCAGAGGTAATAAGCCAATTCATAGTTGCAATCTAAGCATGAGCAGATAAAGGTCATTGCAGACAAAATTGTGAAATACACAGAGACAAAATACTGGATATGTGCTCATGAAAGTTATGTAATCATTATTCATTTATGCACAAGCAGTGCACTTCATGATACCCAGGTGGAAGTATTCTTTGAAAAGGGGGGAACAAAGGCTATTTATGTAGCACCTCCATCACTGTAGGAGTGATTATTCAAAACTGTACAGAGTGGGACCTCTTCATGTATTGAAGATCTGTGGATATTCAGGGTCATTTGGGACATGTGCTAACCGTGAACTGGTCTATTATCTCATTTCATTCTTTCTGTCTTTCAGTTGTAAAGCATTTCACAGATACGAACAAAGGTTTCCACATCAGAATCCCAATGATAAAATAACCTTTAGCTTATCACAAACACCAACACAGTGCAAGAAGGCAGGGAAAAAAAATACATGGGGCCCCAAAATGCCAAAGAGAGCCCCTAAAAATCATAAAAGAGCCCCCAAAAGTCATAAAAGAGCCCTGTGAAATGTGCATAGAGCTCAATGCAAAACAAATTAAAGAGTGTTATTTTCATGCAAGCAAGCTTGAAAAGTAGCCCTGAAATTTACAAAATATTTTTTTCCCTGCAAGAAGGTACACAATGACCAAGCCTTGTCAATGGTCATCGTGCCTTTCTTACACCAAAGTGGTTGACTTGCTTTTGAACAGGTGAATGATGTGGACTGACTTACGTGTCAAGGATGATGATCTCGACGTTGACATCGTCCCTGTCTTTGTGGAGAAAGTCTTTCAAGAAGTTGGCAACGCTGTCGTACGTGATGTGACCGCATACTACTATATGCCTGTGAGGGAAGATATGAAAGGAGATGTGTGTGAAAAAATTGCCCTGAAATAATAATTAGCTACATTAAGTAACATTTGTAAGCTATATATTAAAGATAAAGTTGAGTTTTGGGAAGTGCTAACAAATGATGTTATTGATCTTAATATCATTATACCATATCACAAAAATGTCATGATAGGTGAGCAATTTAAAAGGAAACATTTTGAAATTGGGAGACATTGTATGCGATATTGCTACATAATACTTTATGCCTGTGGGGGTATATAAGAAGATAGACATTTGTCAAAAAAAGCCCAGAAATAACAAAATAGACTTTGATATTATACATCATACCAACAATGTTAAAATAGAAAAGCTACAAAAAAGAAGTGTATGAAATAGTTCAATTACTAAATTGAGACTTCTATCAACTCCAAAACAATATACTACTACGTTATGTGGGAAGGAAAAAACAGCTAGAATGCCTACGTGTATGTATGCATGGATTTTGTCAGAACCAATTCCATCTAAATATAAATATAGACATTAATAGTGAGATGGTGAGATAAAAAGAGAGATAGAGACATGGAGGCAAAGAGGGTGTCAGAGAGGGGGAGAGAGAGAAAGGGATAGGTAGAGGGAGAGAGGTAGAGGGAGAGGGAGAGAGGTAGAGGGAGAGAGAAAGAGAGAGAGAGAGAGAGAGAGAGGAAAAAGAGAGAGGGAAGAAGAGGGATAGAGAGAGAGGGGAAAGAGAGAGAGAGGGGGGAAGAGAGAGAGAGAGGGGGAAGAGAGAGAGAGAGAGGAAGAGAGAGAGAGAGAGAGGGAAGAGAGAGAGAGAGAGAGAGAGGGAAAAGGAGGGAGAGAAAGAGAGAGAGACATAACAAATACACGGTGCCAAGCTACATGTACATCAGGAGATTGAAAAACATTCCCCCATTAGCAGATTGTTTCCATGGTAACCATACCGATGACAGTTTCCTTGTTTATCACCAATATTAGGGGGCAAAGGGTCTTCTTCTGTGTATCCTGCCAGAAGGCATGGAAACACCATGCTAACTGCTGTTTGCAGGTGGGAATAAATTAGACACAACAAGAGCGATAGATTTGTCAATTTCCTAAGTAACACAGGACAGAGTACAAGCTGATAACCACGAAAGAACATCATATTCTTAAAATACATTTTCATACAACTATATAAATATATATATATATGATGGTATAATCTGACGAGGGAAAAAACCAGACAGGAAAATCTATTTATAACAGTATATCTTTTTAAAATTAACAACAAATTTTGTTTATTATTGGGCATGTGCCCGAGTGAGAAGTTTTTAAAACTATATTTTAGCTGAAGTGATGTAAAGGTAAGCTTTGATGAGGTGTAAACAGGGTAGTGAATTTCATCTTGACTGTTTCACAAATGAATATAGTGCCAAACAGACATGAAATTTGGTTTTACACTTTTTACCACAATAATTGAAGAAAAAATTGTTTATTTTGAAATAATATACTGTTGTGTGCAATTAATAGTTAATGCATCTTTAACTGATTCAAAGGAAAGTGAATGGGAGAAAAGATTACATGAAGGAGATTGAAATAAACAATTTCCACATTTTCAGCTTAAATTAATACTAAATGTATCAACCCCACCGTGTCGCAGTGAATAAGTAAATTTCTAAATTACTGCCCCCTTCCCTTAAAAAAAAAAAAAAAAAAAAAAAAAAATCCATGATAGCACTTTGCTATCAGGGTAAGATATGAAACTATTTTACCCTTTCCAGAGATTTAAAAAAATTGTTTTCTACGATTTCAGCTAGAAAATAACTACTCAATGCCACAGCCATGCTAAATGAATTATGTTATAAGCAATTTCTACTACTGTTTCAGCTGTAAAAAAAAATGAGTATTCAATGCCACAGCCAATGCGTAACAATGAATTATGTACTAAGTAATTCTTCTTCTGTTTCAGCTTTAAAAAAATGAGTATTCAATGCTACAGCCATGCTCAATGAATTATGTTTTAAGTAATTTCTACTTCTGTTTCAGCTTTAAAAAATGAGTATTCAATGCCACAGATATACTCATTGAATTATGTTTTAAGCAATTTCATCTACTGTTTGAGCTTTAAAAAAAAGAAGAGTATTCACTGCCACAGCCAATGTGTGGCAACAAATTATTTTTAAAGCAATTTCTACATCTGTTTCAGCTATAACAATTATAAAAAAGTTAGTATTCAATGCCACAGCCATGCTCAATGAATTATGTATTAAGCAATTTCTTCTTCTGTTTCAGCTTTAAAATTATGAGTATTCAATGCCACAACCATGCTCAATGAATAATGTTTTAAGCAATTTTCTTCTACTATTTCAGCTTTAAAAAAAAAGAGTATTCAATGCCACAGCCATGCTCAATGAATTATGTATTAAGTAATTTCTACTTCTGTTTCAGCTTTAAAAAATGAGTATTCAATGCTACAGCTAATGTGTAGCAATCAATTGATCTTTCCTATTCGCACAAACCTCTTATAAGAAAGTCTGCACTCAAAGACTACACCGATAGGTTACAAAGATTTGTAAGTCTGCCTTCTTGTGTATCATTTGGGCATGAGATAATCAAAACCCTTGCTATTTGTTTTATTTAGGACGGCGTAATGCCTTGTTCGTGAAGTAAACAATTCGTCTAATTAATCAATCGTCAGAATTACACACTGAGCTGTATAGGGCATGCATGATCACGTATGGACCCGTATCTACCCCACCCTAGCCTCTTTCTCAAGACGTCACAAATTGTTCAAGAGTCGCCTATGGGCGAGTCTTTGACCACAGTGATTTTCATTAAGATATTTTTACTCTTACATGTCTTTAAATTGTGAAACAACTGTCTATCTAATTAATCAAAGGACAATTCACAACCTTACACATCGAGCTATGGGGGGGGGGTAGGGGTATGCATAATCACGTATTAATGAATCCTACCTACCCCCCCCCCCCACCGCCCTACCCCCTGCCTCAGTATGTCAAAAGGTGTTCAAGATACATCGACAGGAGTCTTTGACCAAAGTGATTTTTAATACGATCTTTCACTCTTACATGTCTTTAAATTGTGAAACAATCGTCTATCTAATCAATCACTCGTCAATTCAGAACCCACCTAATTAATCACTCGTCAATTCACAGACTTACACACCGAGCTATAGGGGGTAACTACGCATGATCGCACATCATCTCCATGATCCATCCTACCCCACCCCCCAGCCCCAACCCCAGCCTCAACTTGTCAAGAGGTGTCCAAGCTGTGTACACAAGAGATTTCTATTATAATTTTCCCATATCGTCTAGCACTTTAACAAGATACATGTGATTGAGCTGGGATCACGCTCTTGCATTTGATGGATCGGGAGTCTTATTATTTGTTCTCTAATCTTTTTCATATGTACAGTACATGTATACTGGTAGTGATTATCTGCATTTATATTATTGTAGTACAAGTACTGTGAATTTTCATTGTCACATAAGTACAAATATGATACTTTTGACACAAATTTCCCTCAATTAATATATTATTACAAGAAAATGGCACTGTGTCCCACAGTTTAGTTTTAATTCTTATTAATCTTTTACTTTTTAAGGAAAGATGATGGTTACATTAATATTATTGCAATTTGTTACATAAACAGTGCAAGAGAGAGAGAGAGAGAGAGAGATAGAGAGAGGAAGAGAGAGAGAGAGAGGGAGGGAGGGAGGGAGAGGGAGAGAGAGAGAGAGAGAGAGAAAGGGGGAGAGAAAGAGAACAAGAGAGAGAAAGAGAGAGAGAGAGAGAGAGAGAGAGCTATTTCTCAAACTGTCTATTAACATTTGCACAAGCAATTTTCAAGGAAATCAACTACATATATCATACTATTCATCTCTTTAAAAAAAAAAACTCACATGAATGTTATGATGTGAATATAATTGTTTTCACAGTATATAAATAATGCAGAATAAATTGTGAGATCCATATACAAACTGTCAGAAATCAAACACCTCATTTGAGCCAATCCAACCATCATGCCATTCATATTCTAAATCAATTACCTCTAATACGAATAATCACACTTCATTGATTCTCATTATCTACCACAACACCAACTCAATTAACGATCGCCAGTTTACACCCTCCTATTAAGCGACCAAACCCAAGCCATGTTTTTCTGGGTCACTTCTACAACGGGATGAATGTCATGAATTTCATGAATAATTAAATGATAGCGAGATATTGCTATACGTTTCCTTGTGATAATTTGTTCGGTGCTGCATATGACTTGGTTCAATTACAATAGTGGCCTGCAGTGGCGTAGAGGAACCAATCCATTAAGTGGGGGGAGGGAGGGGGGGGGGTCTGAATTGAGTGGGGCACCAGTCTTACGTGAAAAATAAAACGCAAATTTATGAGGATATTGATTGGGGGAGGGTGCGAAAGGTAGTCTAAGCGTCGCGTTTAACATCCTTTTCCCCCTCTCCCTTTCCCCTTTTCTCACGTTTTCTTTCTTTTCATTTTATCCAACATTTAATCAGGAGGAGGGGAGGGGGGCACATGATCCCCTGCCTCCCCTGTACTCCTCCCCTGGAGCTACGCCACTGGTGGTTTAAGTTGCAGTTTGGACGAATACATTTCTGCAACCCGGCACCAAACACAGGGGCAAGGATTTCAAAAAGATGGATGACAAGAGAAGATGCCGAAGGATAATATTGTCTACTCAGAACCAGACTGGCATTAACTCTTTGTGAGACGATACAAATTATACCCTCTCTGCTCCAAAAAGATGATATTTCAGAGAGCATAATCCCGTTTTGCTCTTAGGGTTTTATGCATGTCCTATTTCCCAAGGTCTGTGTACACTTACAGTTGAAATCTTTAGTTTACTTAACGGGATATATTACTGTCTCATGCCATTACTTATACATGTATGTCATATTTTGAAGCATTATCTTTAGATGTAGAGGGGTGGACATTATAGGGAGAGACAGGAAGAGAGAAAAGTGTGCAAAAAGCTTGTACTAGCTGGATAAAAAGAAGCATAGGAAATTAAAGTGTAAGGAATTAAATCATCAAGAATAGAATATGAATGAGATGAAAATACATAAAAGGGAAATTGTAATTTAAAAGTCATCCTCTCTGTAGCAAAAGATAAAATATATAAGTAAAACAAACAAAAAAAGCAAACAGATGTAGTTAATTGCCTACAGGATGGATTGATGCACCAACACTCACAGTAGGAGACCGGTCAAACATATTTTTATACAGAGGCAAATGAAAAGTATACCTTAATAGAAATTCTGTTTAAAACTCCACTCAATTACGATTTTAAAATAAAATTTGAACGATTGCATTTAATATCCATCACTCAAAGACTATGCAAAAATATTCCAATACATCAGCAAATTGATGGCAATCATTTTCAAAGTCATTAGTTTAATAGTCCACTAAATGGCAATTGTGAGAATGTATGGAATAAATGAGATCAATTTAACTGATAGCTATTTTTGTTAACTCACATTAGAGCCTAGAGGAAACACTTACATTAAGTGCACTTCATAACTTCACTATATTGCAAAATCCATACAAATTTACCAATCATTCATAATCTAGTGTAAACAATTCTTTCACTGCGAATATGAATATAGACAAATACCTACAATCCGAGTGCATTTTAGTCGACAACAAAGATATACAATAAATAGTTAATATTTCACTTGGTACCATTTCAAAATATTTATTCACATGCTACAATAACAAATAAAAACACAGTATAAAGGGGCAGTCATTTTGCCAAAATTGGATAAAAACAATTTAAACAAACTGATAAAAGAACTAAATTCTTTATGAATTTTCCAATTTAAGCAATTTCAGCTCATATCAAATTATATAAGGTAAATGCCCTTCTAGCTCTCGTAGTGGACTCTTGAATGTAAAAGTGACTTCAGCATTTAGAGTTTTTAGTTTTTCAGCGTTTTTAGTTTCATTTTGGGAAAGTAAGTACACAAGTAAATACACAATGACCATATGGGAGCAGACTGCAGATATTCTATCAGAGAACCATATGACTTGGTAAGAAGATATACCCCCTATTGATACTGCATCTGTTAACATGTTTTTTTTTCACCCTTATATTAAGCTGTATTTAATGAAAGAAAAGATGAAAAGGGGATGTTATCAACAATCTGCAGGTATATCTCGACTTGTACCAAATATCTGCTTTCAATGAGGAACTGGAATATATAAGCAGGGCTATACATGAACTAAGGAAAGACTATGGTGAAAACTTGATTTGTTCCAATTTATGTTTCTTGAGAATTTGATATATCAAAGCTTACATCTCAAAGTATTCAAAATAGGCCTAATTCAACCAGTCCATTTTTCCTTCTTGAGTTAATATGAAACACACAAATAACATCAAATTTACAAGGGGTATGAATGATTCAGTTGTTAACTGAAGGTCTCTTAGGTTCAACTCCTTACCCCTCCCCCCCTCAACAACAAAAAAGGAAATCTTAATCAAGTGGCCTATGTGTACAGATTTTAATCTGGATCCCCTATTTAAAAAAATTGTGTGGAGCCCTGTATATGAATTTTAAAGTCTGATCCTACGTCATCAGAAAATATCTTGATCTATGAAATATCTGATTATATCACTGAAGATGAGGTTCAAACACGGGCTCTCTCCTATGACAGCAAAGAGCTTCTTTTCCTCCAATACACCTCAATGCTCTCATATATTTTCTAAACACAAAGCAATTATAATCCTACTAAAAAGGTGAATTCTTTTGACATGCTATACAATTACAAACAACCTTGAATAGAATATGCACTTCTGTATTGTCACATAAAGAAGAAGAAGAAGAAAACAGATTTCGGCTATTTATGCCCTTGTAGGTATGCACTTATCTACTTATGCGCATCCCAAATCCTGTCAAGGCGGTCAAATGATTGTACGCACACGTACTGGGTTACAGATTTGAAATGCGCCTAGCCCTTGTCGTCGTGGACGGGCATCCCAAAATAGATTTCAATATGCGTATCTGTGTTGACCAATAGCTCTCTGACAGATACTTCTATAGCCCCATTCGAGTGTGATTATCCTTTCAGAATTATCGGTCGAATCTGTTTAATGCTCTATCCCCTTTTCTTCCTACCCTTCCTCTTTCAGGAGATTTTCGTCCTGATCCTACAGGTCATCTTGCAGGTTTTCCTTCTAGTATTTCAAATTATTCAATATTTCTTGATTCCCTTGCTGTCTATTTGTATTGATCTCTCTCTTTCTTTCTCTCTACCTCTCTCTCTCTCTCTCTCTCTATCTCTCTCTCTTTTTCTTTCTCTCTACCTCTCTCTTTCTTTCTCTACCATTCTCTCTCATTCTCTCTCTTTCTCTCTCTTTCTCTCTCCTTTCTTGCTTTATCCATTTCTTTATTTGTCTTTCTTTGTAATGATCTAATTGGTCTAAATATTGATCTTTGGTTGTTTTGGGGTTCTTAATCTTTGTTGTTTTCACAAAGTACCTTCAGAATTTAAAAAAACACTTACTGGTTAATTTTAGCATAGGGGGCTCAATTCACAATGAAAACCTTAATTTTTTAAATGATTATCATTATTATTCATTCGACAAAGGCAAAATCTAACTCATAAGTGATAGGAAATCATAATAAACATCTTTCAAAGCTAGAAAGTATCCACACAAGACAGTCTATACTAATATTCAATGTATAAATAGCGCTGAAACAACTGAACGATACAAAAAGAAAAAGAAAAGGAAAAGGTGCCCTTTGTATCAGATCACACTTGCATTCCCCTGAGTCTATTCTTTATCAATGGGTAGGCTCATATGAACTGCAATGAATCAATGATTCTTGCCTCTTACACAACCTAGATCAATGGGCCAGGCATGGGCAAAGGGTTTTTGCCAGAGAGGCCAGGCTTAATTGAAGTTGACCCAAATATGCACGCTTGTCTTAGCTCACACTTCACCATTCCATTCCCATTGCGACTGTGTACTTGATGAAAAGAGAATGCTATGGCATTCACTGCAGTGTCAAGACATTTGGGGGGTGTTTCACAAAGACTACGATTGACTTTAAGTTGGACTAACTATGGCAGGCCGTTCATGCCACTAGTTCCTCTAACCATTCCTGGCATTGGTTTCTCAAGGGATGTTCAAATCATGGTCACAAATGTACAGAATTTACCTTTATGATAGTTCATTATTGAAGGAAAAAATAGTATCTAAAGATCATATTAATTGAGAGACCAATGGTGAGAGTAACTAGTGGCATGAACAGCCTGCCATAGTTAAGTCCAACTTAAAGTCAATCTTAGTCTTTGTGAAACACCCTCGTCGTTTGGCACTGATGCAGCAACGGTTTGTGCCTATTCATTCAAGCTACTCTGGTAGGTTTCGTATCAATTCTCTCCCTGGTATTGATGAAAAGAGAATTTAAAACGATGTCCACTGTCATGCAACGGCATTTTAACCGTGCTGAAATAGTGTTTCATGCTTCATTCATTCGAGCAACTCTCGTAGGTTTTGTACCAATTCCGTCTCTACACTTGATGAAAAGAGAATGGCACGACATTCGCCGTCATGCCAAGACCTTTCGGTAGCATTGAAATGGCACTTCGTGCCCATTCATCCAAGCTGTACTTAACGTTTGGTACATGGGTGCACGAATCTGTCCATCAAACGTCATCTTCTCAATGCAATAACCACTGATTTATTCAAAAGTGCATGCAGGAAATACTTCAGAGCATATTATCTGTTTGGAGCCAGAAGGGCATTAACTTGAATACCTTGATACAGAGTTAACGCCCTTCTGGCTCTTAACAGATGGTGTGCTCTACAAGAACAATGCTACCAATGGAAGTAATAAATGGCGTTATGGAATATATACAAAATACATTATGTCATCTTCTGTTTGGAGCCAGAAGGGTGTTAACTCTATGTTAAAGTATATGAGTACCAACCTTCTGACTCTCATCACATGATATCATAGTCATCTCTTGCTTTCTGAAGTACTTTCCCTGATTTCAACTCAAAATCAAGGGGTCATCGATTTTCTCAAACTAAATTTATTCTAAAAAGCATTAATTCTACTATTTCTGCTTTAACAAGAATAAAAATGATATCGGTTTTAAATTTGAAGCTGGTTTGAC